GAGGTCCTACCTTCTCTCAATTGCTCGTCGCAGTCCCGAACGACGCCTCTTTGCGGGAAGCTGCGTTTCCTCCTCGTTTTCATCACCCGGTTGCGCCTGTCACCAGGTGCAGGAGGGCCCTTGCTCAGCACAGATGGAGCTGCACTCTCCCCCTTCGCCCGAATCCTCGTGTATCGATTTTTCAAACTCAGTCCCGTGCGCGGAGGGTCGTGGAATGCCGCAATCGCCGACCAGTTGGTGCCATGCGTTTGGACCGCCTTGAGAAGTTCTTCGTCCTGCTCGCCTCCCGGTTCGTGTCAGCTGTCGAGCTCAAAGTAGTATCGAGAATGAATGTTTACCTCTTGTTCAGTCCAATTGCAATAACTGACATCGGGCCGCAACACCTGCCGCCAGTGACTAGAGCACTGATCGGCGCAGCGAGACCCCACGAGGGAGGCGATCTGAGTCCAGTTGTTGCCATGCTCCCGCACCGCCTCGCTGAGTCGCTTGTCCTCCTCCGGCGACCAGACGCCCTTGATCTTGCCGCCAGCCAGCGTGTTCCACCACCGCTTGCGGCAGTCTTTGTTCGAGCGGCCAGGGACTTTCCGAGCGAGCTCACTCCAGAGGACCGTGTCCGAGGTGCCGAGTGCTGTAGCAGAAGAAAGTGTCAGAGTGCGGGATGAGGCAAGGTGGAGAAGGTACTGTGGGAGCTGTCTCCATGCACCCACAGTTTTGAACCAGCTTGCGGAGGAGTTCATCCTCTTTGGTCGTCCAGCTGCGTCTGCTGCGCTTCATGCTTGATGGAGGTCGAGGTAGTATGACATTTGGAGAATCGCTGTAGGGGACACGGAAGGATATAGGGGATATCGGGCGACATGTACCACTCTTCCCTGCCACCGATAAGTGAAATGTGACTCAATCTTGTTGATAGGGGGATACGGTGCGGGCCAGAGCAATCACGGCGAACTTGAGACAAGTTTGACACTGCGACCAGACATTCAACTGCGAGAAGCTTCCACCGTATTGAAAAAGGGCAGGCTGAGAAAGGGAGTCACCACAGTCTCGCAGCCGGTGGAACATACCCCTCCTGCTCCTGTCTGAGTCTCACAATCGCGAATTCTTGAATCGTTGCGAGTCTGTACAAATCCATGAGGTGATGGTCCGCCCATCGATGTCTCGGGGTGGAAATGGCCGGTACTTGTGAGTTCCAGAATTGTGCCCTACCCTTCTCGCTCGACATGAACGGGCCACTCTCCAATCCCCTCAACACATTTTTGAATGCGAGATAGCATTGCTGGAGTCGATTGCCGAAGGAGTATCCGTCCCAACAAAATAGGAACGCGTGCATACCTCTTTAATTCTCACCGACAGAAGCCACCTTATTGAGACATGGCGGAGTCAATGTATTGACCTTGGGTCTGAGTTCTAAACCAGCGGGTGAACAGGGATCCTGTCAAGCGGTATAAGATTCAATGGTGCGGGAACTATCGTATCATTTCAACTTCAATTCATCGGCAACCAGCTGTGAGGCTGTATAGTGGCGTCCAAAACCACCTACTCAGGTATCGTTGATACATATAAGTCTGTGCTTTGGTAAAGTAAGAATCATTGGCTCCGGCCGTTGCAGTGTGGATACCAGCCCCAACAGCAGAAACCAACAAAACCAAAAAACGACAGCAGTCGGATTTGAACCGACGCCTCCGAAGAGAATAGATTTCTAGTCTATCGCCTTAGACCACTCGGCCATACTGTCTTGGATGCGAGTTTGGCTCAAAACTGGGCTTGATAAAGAAACCAAAAGCAATGCAGCAGCCCGTTGTCAACTCATCCTTGACTGCATTGCACTAACCAGTTGATCATCGGAAATATGGAAGATCGGCCAAGCCTTATAGCATGAGTGTTGGCGTATAAGCTACAATACTCAACAACACGCCCACCCTCCTCTTTCAAGCAAGACTCTGTATCGACAGATGTCTCAGGCCTGTCCGTATTCATTGACCAATGTGCCCTCTGTCTTAGGGGACAGGCTTGGCGTAATCGTATCGCTTAACAGAATACCTCCAATAATCTCGTCTGTATACGTAGTCTAGTCCCCATCGGTGAAACATATTGATGTGTGTGGTACAAATGAATCTTTATCACAGGTCTGTCTTCACGCCTGTTGGAATTGCCAAGTCATCTCCGGCTGTCGACCTGCTCACGCCCAGTTCCACTACATCGTCTGTCTGCTATGCTTCAAGACACTGCCAACCCGACTTTGTCTATTAGTTAGACTGTGTTCTCACATTCAGTTACGGCGAGTAGTTCAATTACTCGTTTGCTACCTTTGCTTCTCCTATACGGGAGCTATTGCCCGACGACTTAGTCGCTCCACAATAGTGAGTTGCGTCTCTAGGCATGGGATAACGTTCTCCCCATTATAGTGGGCTACTCATCGTTCGTCCCTAGCTTCTTGGACTACTGCTATTGTCGAAAATCTTGTGTGACAGCTCATTTTCCTGCTTTGGAAGTTAACGTGCCGGGATGGCCCTGAAGAAGAGCTGTCACTCTCCATCGCCTAATATCTAGAACGCAGCCCGAAGAGCTTCCCTCGGGGTTACAGGCATTCATTGAGATCACTCGGGACCAGACTAAGTGCTTCATATAGCCTGATAACCACGGGAGATAACTACCACTGCTGAGTTCCACCCGTCCAGATCCAGCAGATACCGTTTAACATGCATGTGCCCCCCTGGTGCAGACGTTCCCCTGACTCAGAGTTCCAATTTTGGGGCAAGTATCTCGACTTCGCCACTTTTTTGCACCTAGCTCTGCGCCTCCTGAGCCATCTCCTCTAGTCGGCCAAGCGCAACGGGTCCTCCAGATGCCCATCGTTTCCCCAATCTCCTCGCACTGCACTATCCGACATCACTACTCGCACATCCAGAGCTCTGAGGCGGGCTTCAAAATATCCGATCAGCCTCAAAGGGGGTGGCAGGCGCACCAAAAACTGCTTGAAGCGTGGCTGTGTCCGATCCGCTAGGTATGCTGGATGTGACTAGAACACTGGCGCATCAACTTAGTGCGGTGCGTCTTTCATGTACGGCGAACGCTTTTACATTGTCGTCTAATCTCAATTTACTTTACTCAGGAACGGTGGTAGAAGATTACTCCGGCATTTATTCTCGCATTATCCACCGTCCAGACCTTCGATATTGGAAGGAAGGGGAGGAATATCTTCCCACAGGTCCAACGAGCTAGACCCTTGGTTCTGTTTCGGTTTTTTCCTATACTGTTGGCGTTAGTGTATGACGTTGTTTTGTTCTTCTACTCTGTCCTGTGTCTGTGCCTGGGTTTAATTATGTTGAGGTTGGTAGGGTTGTGACCTGGCTTTGGACAGCGAAGAATGCAGATGATAACAAACCCAACGATGGTGGTTGAAGTGAAGGACATGAGAGTATTTTGATCCACCAAGCCACATGTCTACAGTAGTGCGCAAGTACTACCAGCAACCGTCAAATCACTTGCAGAATATTCTATTCAATCGCATATTCAAAGTGACGAATTTTCATCGCACCCACTGTCCCCATGTCACCACACACTCCTATGAGCCCAGCATTCGACCCTCAACCGGCCTCCTCAACACAGATTCTGCATGATACCAGGCTGGATCGCCTCCAGCCTCCTGCAGAGCGCATTCCACACGTATGTGGCCCGCTGCTCGTCGGCCGCGATGGGGGCATAGGCCTGCACGGCGCCGGCGCGCATGTATCGTCCGTGGGTTTCGCGCCCGGCGGCGGCCGTCTGGACCACCAGCCGGGCACCCTCCTCGGCGGTGCGGGCGGTGATCGCCTCGAAGATCTTGAAGAGCACCCTGGCTAGCCCGGTCGACTCGCTGATGATGCCGGTCTTGCAGAAACACGGGTCGAGGGCGTTGACCGCAATCGAAGAAGAGCGATCGCTCGTCGAGTCGACGAGGGCGGCTAGCTTGATCATCGCGTAAAGTTGCAGTAGCTTGGAGAGGTTGTACCTAATGCAGCATATTCCATGAGCAATGGATCCTGTGGCACGTAGGGCGGGTATACTGACTGGTTCATGAAGTTCACGTGGGATTCCTCCCGAAACCAGGTGAAGATATCCTCCCCGTGCTGCGCAGGGTACTCGGCGATGTCGTAGAGCGCGGAGGCGACGAAGGTGATCACCGGCGTGATGCCATAGGTTCGAGCTGTCGCCTGCATTTTCGGGATCATCTGGACCGTCAGCAGGAAGGTGCCGATGTTGTTGACGGCCAGGGTGCGCTCGGTGTCGTAGACGACTTTGAACTTGTTGGCGTGGATCCCGGCGTTGTTGATCAGGACGTCGACGCGTGGAAGTGAGCGAGCGGCCCATTCTGCGAACCGCTTGATCGAGGCCGGGGACTCCAGGTCGAGTTCTCGGACGTCGACGAGGTTGGTCTTACAGTTCAGCTGGGCCTCGATCTCGCGTTTGGCCTGCTGGCCTCGGGACCGACTGCGGCACGCGAAGATGACCTTCTCGGCCCCGAGATGAATGAGGTGCTTCACAGTCTCTCGTCCTAAGCCTCCATTGGCGCCAGTCACGATGATAGTCTTGTTGGTGAAGGAGGCGGATGGTTGGGGGATACGGAGAAAGAATTGGGTATAGAAGAAGTCGCTGAGGGTGGGCATCGTGCGATTTTGGGTCTACGCGACTATGAGAGTATGGCTGTCGAGGAATTGGACTGTGGAAAGTGACTCTGAATTGATAGAATAAGGCTCTTCCTTACGCATGTGTTCGGCGTTCAACTATATACGTCGTCTTTTGCTATTTTTCACAGTGGCATACAATCTCGGGGTTAAGTCCAGACAGGCCGGATATAACAAGTCCGTGGAGATCAGCATAGTGCAGCCTCAGGTATCAGGCACCAATTGCACGTGAGGCTCGTGATCGGTTAAGTCCGCGGATTTAAGGCTGTACTCCGCAGCTTACTTCGCATCATTCATCATCATCATTCTTGGTTTCTTCTTCAGTGGGCTGTATTCTAGATGCAGTCTCCCGTCCAACCCGTGTCACAACGACGACGCGCCCGCATTCCTCTATCGTGTGACCCCTGCCGCACGCGAAAGTGTGTAGATCACATCAATGCTCTGTATGATCCGAGGCAATGGCTCCATTGCTGACCTAGATAGAATCAAATGCAACCGGGAATACCCTTGCCAGAACTGTATCACTCGTGACGAGCAGTCATCATGTCACTTCAAAGGGGCCAAGATTGACTCCCTTTCGAATGCTCGGCGTGAGAGTCAGCTCGATCCCATGCGCCAGCGGATCGACCAGTTGGAAAATATGGTGAAGAGACTCATTGCCCACCAGACACCCGAGAGCCCTAAGCCTGGCGACCTGGTCGCGTCCGCTACCAAAGATGTAGCCTCTGCGGGAAAGGTAGTGCTCGATGGCGCCCATTCAGTCTACCAGGGTGGCGATGATTGGTATGATGTGTTAGAGGAGGTATCTCGTCCTGTTCCTGATTCCAAGGCCACCTCAACTATCTTCTATCACCTGCCGGTTTGCTGTCATTCAAGCTCAACTGATGATTTTCAGATCAACCAACTCAAAAACACCTGGGCCCAGGCCCAAGACGACCGAGTGGGCCATCAGACTCCACCCACGCAGTCGCAATTAGCCGATGGATCGAGCCTTCTGTTCGGTCAAGTGAAGCCCATAGATCGAATCGAGATCCTGGCCACTCTCCCACCCAAGCGCGAATTGGACAATCTGGTGGCTGTTTTCTTCGATCGCCCAACCTTCCCAATTGCCGTTCCTCGTACGTGTCAGCCACAGCTCACTTGGTCCGCGAGTCTGATACATGTCTTAGCCATCATCCACGAGTCGACCTTCATGCGGGAGGTAAGAGCACACGACCCGTATTGATCATATCCTAGGGTAACCTTAGCGCAGTATCACGAGCATTGCAAGAACCCATCCCACGCGAACTTCATCTGGCTGGGACTCTTATTCTCCATTCTTGGTATCGTCATGCTAGCCTATCACCAACACGGCGAGCCACCAGAGTACGAAGGCCGCTCGGAGTCTCTCTTCCAATTGTACCGCATCCGCACGGCGCAGTGTCTCCTGAGCGGCGACATCGCCAAATGCCTCCCCTACACCGTGGAGACCCTGCGCTTCAACGCCACCGCCGAGCTCAACCGCAAGGACGACAACCGTCGCGGCCTCTGGATCATGACCGGCGTGCTAGTCCGCACGGCCATCAACATGGGCTATCACCGCGACCCCGCGCACTCGTCACCCCCGATCCCCCCCTTGCAAGCAGAGTATCGTCGCCGCATCTGGCTCGCCGTGATTAGCATGGACAACATGACCTCGTTCGGCGCGGGCCTCCCTCGCATGCTGTCCGCCATATACTCCGACACGAGGGAGCCTCGCAACCTGCACGACTGGGAGCTGCCCGCGGATGATGCCACCGCTGCCAGCCTCCCACCTTCTCGACCCTTGACCGAATCCACCGCGGTGACCTACCTAATCGTCAAGGGCCGCCTGTGCCACGCCCTCGGCCGCGTCGTAGACCTCACGTGCAGCCCTACCTCCAGCACCTACGCGGATGTCCTCGCCGCCGACCGCATGCTGTCCGCGGCCTACGACAGCTTCCCTTCACACATGCAGCCACCGGCCCCGCCGCAGCCCCTGGAGCAGCTCCGCCTTTTCCACGCACAGATCGGACTCCGGTCCATCTACCACCGGGCGATGTGCACCCTGCACCGCCGGTTCCTGACCCAGGCCAAGACGAACCCGCAGTACCGATTCTCGCGGGATCGGTGCCTCGCCTCCGCCCGCGCGCTGCTGGCCACCCAGCGCGATCTGTCCGAGCAGTGGTACCGGTTCGCGCACACGCGCCAGATCCTCAGCTTTGCGGCGATGGTGGTCTTCCTCGAGCTGGAGCTGATGCGCCAATTCCCCGGTGCGGAGGACGCGGTGGAGCAGGCGGATCTACGGCGGGATCTGGAGACGTCGGTGGCGCTGTGGGGGGTGAATCGGGGGACCTGCGACGAGGCTGGGAGGCAGTGGCAGGTCCTCGCTGGGATGCTGGAGGGTGTTCGTAGTCGCTCTGATGCGAAAGATGGTGATGGCGGTGGTGGTGTTGAGGCGGCGTCGGCCGATCATGCATCTGGCCTGGGGCTGTGGGGCCCTCCGTCCCAGATGCCGGGCGTCGATGGTTTCACTTTCGAGAAGGAATTGGCCTCCGTCGAAATTGATTGGGTATGTTTTCTTCGTCGCTGGCGGTGAAAATTATGTGCTAATCGGTTCTAGGCTGCATGGGATTCTTACATTGAAGATGCTGGTTTTGGATCGGGACCAATCTACTAATCCATGGTTCTGTGTACCGTAACCTGAGAGAACGTAGACCTACAGCAGACTATATACACGCATAAATCCATCCCGATACACATTCAAACTCGTTTCCGTTATTCACCCTGCACCTGGCCCTGCACTCTACCAGACCCCCCGATCCCACACTCCTTTGCAATGCAATAAGGGGAATCTAACTTCTATGCTCTAACAACGATACAAAAATCTCAAATAGCACAAGAATGAAGGAAGCGACCATAAACAAGTATATATAACATCATTATCAACATACTAAACCCGGGTTCAGTTTAGAGACAGGAGGAGTCATCACATCGTGGAACATAAGCCGATAGCTGCTGCGTGGCGCCCCGGCAGGGTCGAAAGAATCTCATTTCAGTTTTTGGGCTTTTTTTTTTTTCGCTTTTTCGTTTTTCATTCCGGTACGGCCCAGGTATAGACGACCTTGTCGTCGCCGTCCTCTCGTTTGCGACTCTCCGGTACGGCCCAGGTGTAGACGACCTTGTCGTCGCCGTCCTCGCGTTTGCGACTTCTCTCCGGTATGGCCCAGGTGTAAGCGACCCTATCGTCACCGTCGGCTACTTCGCGTCTGGAGGATTCTACATGAGATTATGTATGTTAGTCTACCGGTAGATGACAGGCCGACTGAGCAACTAACCTCCGACGAGTGGTGCAGCGTTGGTGAGGGTCAACGCGGCCAGGCCGCAGTATAGCACCATGGTAAGATGCATGATGGGTGTAGTAGTTTGCAAATGGAGGAATTTGCAAGTCGATTGAGTTCGTTCCTCGAAATTCGTCCCCTTATACCAAAACACGAGAATCGGGTAAGAAAGGTTCAATTAAGAAGTTGCCAGCAGAACCACCCCCACCGAAATGAAACGCTTGTATTGACTTTCGTAACGGTCGCTAAGAGAAACTGACAGGTGACAGCAGAGAAAGGACAGGCGACAGATTGTCGAGACAGCGGAATCCGGCGGGTCACAGCATGGGATTGAGCATCCTTCACAGAAAAAGAGGGGTGGGGAGGGTTGGGAGCTGACGGACGGGGAAAAAAAGAATCAATGGAAATGGGGGGAAAATGCCTTAGTTAAGGTGGTTGAATGGCCGAGAAACGTAACAGCGAACAGTTCATTCATTTCATTCATCCAAGAAAGTTAAGTAGATAAGAAAACGAACATTGAGAGAAACCAAGGGCAATGAACCAGTTTACCCATCAACCTGGGCGGGCGACGACACTGCAAAAGGTTTCGGCTGCCGCTTGGAGAAACACGAGGGAAAAGCGAACTGGCAGGGCGTCCACCGGCCACAATACCTACGTACATGGCGTCATGGTGTTTCCCTTGGCAAGGTATGTAATCCAATTTTGGGTTTTTTTTGTCTGAATTCCGACCGGGAGTGGAAAGGGTTTCCTCCGCCCCCAATCGCCTTTCTGCTGCCTTGCAGTCATTTCAATTCCTTCTTATGTCTGTCTGGGCCGAGCGCGGCATGAGGGTTGGTGGGGCGGGCTACGAGGACACATCCGTTGAGTAAAGTCGGTATGTATGGATGTATGGACGTGTTTTCCTTTCTTTTCCTTTTTTTAAATTTTTTTTTTCTTTTTCTTGTTTTCTTAATCCATTCGCTCTCTGACCGAGATAGAATACAGGTTCTTTGCAGAGTAATCCGATTATCCCGTCTTGTCAACTCAGCCACCGTTTGAGGAGGGAAAGGATAAGAACAGAAGAAATCAAGGTGGTGGCGCGGGTATTATTCTCACTGTATGTACAGTTTTTACAGGTGTAGTGTTGGAAGGAGGAACTACTGGCAATCTTACCGCAGAACAAGGATCTCTCGGTCTAGGATTGTTTATGCACCTCTGGCCCTGCATCTACCGGCACGCCGGAGTCGCTCTTGTCGTATGATAGGAGGGATAAGAGAAGGAAGAAGTAGAAGAAAAGTCTCAATTTTAGATTTTATGAAGTTCTACCCCACCCTTTACTTTCTTTCTCTTCTATCTGGCGGGGTGAGTTGGCCATCATGTCGTTCGAACTCCCCTCCAAACCCCACGAGCCCTTGATGCGCGGGGAAGAGGACTACCACGATGAGCCCGCACCGCCCCGACACCGCAACGCAAACCCGCGATCAACCTTCATCCGGTGCGGCTGGATGCTTCTTGGATTTCTGGTTGCTGCGGTGGTTTTCGGCCTCGGGGTTTCCATTGGGAAGGGTATTCCGACCAGGAAGCGCGAGGGACTGTTGAGTACGATTTCCCCCAACTTTTCACAGCAACATACTTGAATCTAACACTGTTCTTCCCTTGACAAACGACTGTAGTCCCCGATGGCGACATCCAGATCCACATGGAATACAACGGCACCTTCTCGCAGCATCCTTCGCCTGAGACCGACGCGGCGTGGGCCTCCCTCTTTCCCAAGGGAGTCGGTTTCGTCAAACACCCAACCCTGGCGCCCGAGCTGTCCGGGTTGGTCGTCTTCCACGCGCTGCACTGTCTCAACGCCCTGCGCGAGGTCTACTACGCCGCCGTGGACGGGCAGCTCCCCCATGTGGCGCACGAACACGACCACATGAAGGACCCGCACCACGTCCGGCACTGCTTCGACTACTTGCGCCAGAGTCTGATGTGTGCGGCCGACACGAACCTCGAGCCCGTTGACAAGGAGCTCCAAGGCGTGACGGGATGGGGGTATAGTCGGACGTGCCGGGACTACGAGAGCGTCAAGGCGTGGGCGGAGGCACACTGGTCGAACGATCCCTCCTAGCATTCTCTGCAGTGTATACAGATCACGAGTTTCTTTATTCTATTCGACATTCAATGAGTCATGATCTTCATAAGTCCAAACCATCTGCCATGTACATAGAGTGAAGTCATCAACCTAAGCGCCGCCCAAAACCCCGGGCTCCCACGCATCCACCGCTCGTGCATCATTCCACTTCCGCAGTCGCTCCCAATCGACGCAGACATGATTCCCCTTGGCTTCGACCGTCAACTCCCTCTGCTTACCCTCCGGACCGGTCTGAATCCACCGGAACCCACTCAGCGTCACGTCCGCCCGACACAGACTCGCCTCCCGGAGCAACTCGACGCAGTGGTCGACGTGCGCCTCCTCCTCCACCAGCACCGCCGCCGGGGCGTCCGCCAGATAATGGTCGCGGTAGATCCAGTGGCGGATGCGCTTGAGGCAGTGGAGTTCGTGGAACACCCCCAGTTGGCCGACAAACCCCCCAGGACCTTCGCCTGCGGGCCCGACGATCGGGAGCGAGGTGACGTTGTAGAAGGCGAGGTCCTCCTCGGTAACGCGGATGTTGTTCTTCTCAAACAGCGTGTGCCAGGCGGCCTCGAGCTCCGGCCGCGGTTTGCCGGCGAAGGGGTTGTCGTGGAGGCGGACGGGCCACGGGCGGGTTTCGTACCCTACGGCGTTGGCGGTGCGGAGGGATGGGAAGATGGCGTTGTTAGGGGTGGTAATGAGTCTGCCAAGGGCGATCGGGTTCTGGGTCAGGAGGAGGAGGTAGAGGTAGAGGGGGATGACCAGCGTGTATGCGACCGTGATAATGCTGTAGTGTATCCGCAGCTGGGTGCGCTGGCGCGGGCTGGGGGTCGCCCGTTTCCCCGCGGTCTCGGACAGGGTCTCATGGTCGTTGAGGTCTTCTCCCTCCTCCTCGGTTGGAGCGAGTTGATACCGTTGTTCGTCCTTTCTCATGGTGGATGCTCATTGCACTGCATGGGGGAAGAGCAAGCTCCCTCTATTCACTGGGCCCCCATGGCCATGAATAGAAAGCCCCCCTTCGGTGTGGATGACATAGCCGGGGCACTGGTGAAGAGACAACAACAACAACCACACCACACCACACCACGCCACTTTTCTCACATGCAAGGGTATCGGTCTCGTATTGATGCGGTAAGGCTGTGGAAACGACATCCCCAGCCTTAGGCAGCAGGTATTCATCTTCTTGGAAGAGGGAGGGGGTTTTTCTTTTTCTCGGAGGATATTTTGGTGGTACAGGCGTTGGGTGGGGTCCCAGCAGCCACTTTTAATTAACTTTATTATATTATAGTGCATCAAGAATGAGCTGAATAATCCAATCGCTCTGCTAGTCCGACTGCGCACCGATCTCCACATTCTTCAGCAGGGATTGTCAGTGCCACCTGGCCGGGGTGGTGGATGGGCTATGCCGCTTTGATCGGGAGGTGGGGTATTCTGGAAAGGAGCACATCATTTCGGCGTTCGAACAAGTCGCCAATAACCCCAGAATACACAGTTCACCGGTCGCTTTTATCGCTGATGTCGCATTACTAGTAACTGTCATGTACTCCTAGCAGGAAGTACCTCGTAGCGAGGCCTTGGACGGCCCGCCAAGATTCCACTCGTGCTGCTGCAAGGAATTGATTCTCGTATCCCGGCTCTAGCGTGGGTCGAATGTGGTCAACCCGACCAGCACATGGCGGGCCACGAGATGATTTTCTAGCAACATCAAGACCCCAATCCGGCCGTGCGAATCTCCACGGCATACGTGGGAAGAATTGGCGGTGCAGCTCCCCGGAAGCGCGGGGGTAATCGGCCATCCATCAATGGCATCACAAATGCCATTAACTGACATAGTATATGATCCCTGTCACCTCGTGGACCACCACGACGCCGTCGGTGACTTTGTCTCCACTCCATGGACAGCGCCATCGACTCAATCGATTGACCCCGTTCATCGTCTTGCATACGGCGTGACACTGTTGCCACACTAACTAGCTATACAGCAACCATGCCGTCCCGTCCGACCTCGGATGCAAATTTTGCCGACCTCGGCCGGTCAATCGCGTCCAACCTTGACCGCATCACCCAAATCTATACCGACCTCCAGCAACCGCTACCCTCCTACGAGATCGACTCACCCCTCGACTTTCCGGTCGAGGTGCAGCAGCTCCGGCAGAAAGTGCTAGATGCCACTCTCCAATTGCAGCAGCTGTTACTAGGCCCCAAGGAGAGTTTATTTTTGTGGGCAGTGAGTCTTGTCTCCCATCCAGTACATCGGCAACGGATTCTATATCCGCAAGAGGTCCCCCGTCATGTGACTAATCTCAGCCCTCCCTGCCTCCTGCCTCGAAAGAGGAACAATATAGGCACCATCCGCGCGGTCTCCGACTTCGATCTCGCTCGTTCCTTCCCCGTCGGCGAATCGGCCACGTTCGCCGAGATCGCGACCACCGCTGGACTCCCGGAGCAGAAAGTTCGTCGGATCATCCGCCATGCTGCGACCGAGGGGATCTTCCGCGAGGAGCCGCAGGGGATCGTGAGGCACACGGCCGCTTCGCGGATGCTGGCGGAGGACCAGGTGATGCGCGATTACATCGATGTTCACTATACAGAGATCCTTCCCGCGATGAAAGAGGTCTGCATAGCAACCCCCCCCCCCTGCACGGCCCCTTCGGATCTGTTCTGTAATCATTTCGGACCTCTGACATGACAATTCTCACCTCACCGTGAACCAGACCCCAACCGCCTTGCGCAAATGGCCCAACGCCACCGATGCCGCCCAAACGGGCTTCTCGCTCTCGCAGCCCCCGACCCATCCCACCTTCTTCCAATACCTGACCACCCAGCCCGACCGCGCGCGGGTCTTTGCCTCGGCCATGTCGACCTACAGCACCGGGCCCGAGAATGACGTGAGCCACCTCCGCGACGGTTACGACTGGGCGTCCATATGCGGCGGAGGGGGCGGCGGAGGGGGCGTAGTGGTCGACGTCGGAGGTTCGACGGGGTACGTTTCGCAGGCTCTCGCGCAGGCATTCCCGGCCCTACGCTTCGTCGTTCAGGACACGGCGCCCACCCTCGCCCAGGCGCCCACCGCGACTGCTTCACCCGGGGAACACAGTCGGGTGCAGTTCATCGCGCACGACTTCTTCGCCGACCAGCCCGTCCACGGGGCGGACGTGTACCTGCTGCGCATGGTGTTGCATGATTTCGGGGACGCGGACTGCGTGCGCATCCTGCGCGCGCTGGTGCCCGCGCTGCGGGACGGGGGCATGGTGGTGCTGAATGAGTTCTGCTTGCCTGAGCCCGGGTCGGTGGGGTTGTTGGAGGAGAAGCATATTCGGTATGTTTTGGGCCCCTCTCTCTAGCGCAGATCTATTCCTTGTGGCGACTTGTTGTCGTCGCTGAGCAATGATGCCCCAACCTCGTCCTAACACCGATCCACTGATGATGATCTCTCCCAGAACAATGGACATGAACATGCTCAGCCTGTTCAATTCCCGTGAACGCGATGCCGCAGACTGGCGGGCGCTGTTCGCGCAGGCCGACCCCCGCTTCCGGTGGCGGGGCGTCACCAAACCGGCGGGCTCGAATCTCTCCGTCATTCAGGTGTCGTGGTCGTCCCCAAGTGCCGAGTGAGGCGCGTGGAGTGGATCTTGGGTGTGAAGATTATTCCGATTTTGGTGAATGACTAGTTGCGTGGGTGGGGGGTGTTTCCACTTCTCTTCACATCGTTGTAGTGGGGGCCGGAAAAGCCGATCGTAACGATTTCGTGTCTTGACTTTATTTTTTTTTATTTTTTTTTTTCTTTGGCGAACAATTTCCTGCAGAGATAGGCTGTGTGGGATTCTTGGCATTGGTTTGTTTTGTCAGCGGAGGTGATGAAGAACGCAGAGAACACAGAGGGCCAGACTTGGCTGTGTTGGTGGGGAGTGCAATGACTGAGTGAGAAGGAAAGAAGGAATGAATGCAGTGGGTTATGTCGGTGATAACCGGGGATCAGATGATTTTCCCATCTGCGGTTTTCTCACTGCAGTCAGGCTAGCTGGGTAAATCGTTGGCGAGCGGCGGTCTGGTCTGGGCCAAGATTGAAATGCCATGGTTGTAGGGGGGGGGGGGGTAGGCGGAGTGTGAGAAAATCGATGATCGGGGATCATCTAGGGTGAGAACAGGCACGCAAGGACAATCTTACTCACATACTCCGTACTTTGTGCTCATAAAATCCTATGTACTCATGCAACAAGTCGATAATCAAGCAATACAGCAACGAGGCTGTGCAGTTGCCCATGAATGTCCGAGGTTACGGACTCCACTCCTCTGCAGTGACTTCAGCCAAGGGGGGGGGGGGGAGCCCGAAAGGGGGCCTCGGAGAGGTTGAGGTGAACATCCCTCGTGCGCAGGGTAAGCCGGCCCAGCCAATCGAGTGGCAGGGTTCCCCAGGCTAAAAGATGACCGCATGGCCACATGCATGGTGTGTTGTGCTCCCCAGCCTCTTGCTAGATCTTGGCGGGAGGCCGGTACGTTCTGTCTGATTTGTTTCCTGAGCCGCGAGTCGAGGGGTGCTGCTTGCTGACTGCAAGTTCCAGATGGTCCAAAGATTTGACGGTCAGCGTAGGAACGAAAAGTCAGGAATCAACCTTAAAGTCAGTTCCGCTTAGATCCATAGGATGGATGTCGAGTAGACTAATCAAGAGGCTGTGATCAACCACTGGCACTGCATCAACCAGCTCATCAGCCCTAACTTGGACTACCGTGTAAGGTGCAGTGGAAAGGAAAGCGGGAAGGGTTGCGGGCCGGCAGGGGTGGAGGGGCCAAGTAGCCAGAGCGCTGGCCCCCAAATAACTCCAAGATACGGAGTATTCAGTAACTTAACTGCTCAGTGCCATTCTCTCACTCATAGTCTAGGCATTATGGTCACAATTCACAGCAGGGTGACCAGCCCATGATCTGGTTCTATCCCGTGTGTGGGATGCAGGCAGGCATGTAAGCACCCAAGCAAGGGGACTAAATATTGAATTTGTCCGAGGACCAACAACTATTCGATCGGGGCCTCCATGCTGACTCGCTCACTGGCTTACTGTCCCACGCTTATCCGACCGATAAACCCTGCCTGCCTGCCTGCGATTGGCACCCCAGCCAAACAAACATGCACAAGCGCATACCTAGCATGCTGACACTTGACCAGAGGGGGGAAGGGGAAAGGGCAAGGCGGAGGGGGAGGGATAGCGCTCGTCCTAGCCTCTTCGTGACTTGACAAGCAAGGTAGGGATTAGCAGCGAGCATCATGTATTTGCGCGACATTCCCCTCAATTCCCTCTTCCCTTTTCCTCAAAGCTGGTCTCTTGCGTTGTCGGTCCGTACGCTGGCAACCCGGATTGCACTGCCGCCCGCATGGGCTACAACAAGGGGGAGATGATAGCCTTAGGCTTCATCTTGATGTTTGTACCCGCCATCTTCGTGGGGTTACGTGTCTGGGCCCGGCGCCTCTGTGGCGCTCAAATGGGCTCGGACGACTACACTATCTTCGCCGCCTTGGTAGGATTCGAGCACCATTCCCTCGGTCGCAAACCTGGGTACTGACCTCACCGTAGTTATTCTGCACAGCCGTCTGTATCTGTCAACTGATTGGGGCCATCGATGGACAATTGGGCCAAACCCAGGCGACCTATCCCAATGGGGAGCCCATCCTGGACGACCCACGGTTTCTAACCTACGAACGGGTGCGTATATGCCTCCACCTCGCTCGAGAAGCTGAAAGAGTTGAGAAAAAGTAAGCCACTCTAACCCGCACGGACAGGCCAAATTCGCGCTGCACATGTTATCCGTGATGGGAGTGGGGCTCAGTAAAGCGTCGGTGATCCTGCTGTATATGCGCATCTTTCACACGCGGACTTTCCGGCGGGTGTGCCAGCTGTTTCTAGGGCTGGTCATTGCGTGGACGGCGGTGATGTTCTTCGTGTGCCTGTTCCAGTGCTATCCGGTGACGGCGCTGGTGGAGGGGTTCTACGGCAACAAGTGCATCAACACGATGGTCTTCTACAACGGGCTGAGCGGGTCGGACGTGGTGCTGGACGTGTGCGTGCTGCTGCTGCCCATCCCGATGGTGCTGCGCGTCAAGCTGGAGGTGCGGCAGAAGGCGGCGGTGCTGGGGATGTTCCTGCTGGGCGCGCTGGCCGTCGCCTCCAGCATCGCCCGCCTGGCCGCCTTCATCGAGTGCGAGCGCGTCCTCCTCATCCACTACAATAACGAGACCTACTACACCTCCGGCGTCTTCATCTGGACCGTCGTCGAGCTGGCCCTCGCCATCATCAGCGCCTGTCTGCCCACCCTGCGTCCACTCTTCTTCTATCGGAACCGGGGCGGCCTCCCCACCGGCGACACCTTCAAGCTGGCCCACGAGTATCACGATCACATCCCCTCGCGCCAGGCACGGTACGGTCGCCCCACGGACACGATCGACGAGCTGGAAGCCGCTGTGCCGTGTGACCGGAGTGGGCCCCCGGCCAGCGTGCAGATTCAGATCCAGCGCACCTCCTCCCACGAGCGTCCGCACCCGACCGACGGCGTCATCGTCGTCGAGCACAGCACGACCTGGACGGACGTCGAGGCTTTCAAAACCGATGTTGCGATTGGCAAGTGACGGTCTCGTAGTTCTTCTGATGAGTTGTATGCTGGTATGAGTAATCGGATCATGTTGTTCTCTCCATAGCCTGTGCCCTAGTTTCCTAGTTCATAGTGAATCTGTACATTGCCCTCGATGGGACGTGTATTGACCGCCAACTGTCCTGCGTCTATGCGCGGGTCGAGTTAGGGGTTCTTTGCCATTGCTAACTTTACAATACTTGCTGTATGTGTCTCAAGCTTTGAGATGGTCATGTCCCGAGTTGTTTTGATCGCATGTTCGAGTGCAAGTTATCTTCATCTGGGCTCTTTCTTGAGACCTATCACCTACTCGAGTTCTCAGCCTGCCCAATCCACTAGAGCTCCTCTAGGAAAGGGACATGATTTCATTGAGCGTCCCATCTCGAAACATTCCTCCACCCTGCCCGCCAATAGCTTAAACCTGTGCCCCATGCACGAATGCCGCACAAGGCCCCAGACCCACCATCAGGAATAAGCAAAAAGAAATAAGAAATAAGCCTGGGGTTAAAGAAAATGCACCTCAATTACTGAACACGAGTCCCCATTCAAACTAATGGCTCATACCACCAAGGGTTTCACGTGTTCCTGTGGCTTCTGGAACTAGTTGAGAATCAACACGCCCCGTTCCTGGTTCGTATGATCACAATCCCAGTGAGCACCCCACTAGGAGTCTCTAGTCCACTGCTAGTCAACTCGCACTCCCGACAGAAAATTACCCAGCATTGACCCCCCCACCCCCCGCTCAGTCAATTTCAAGTCGGTCTTTAGTACCATTGAAAAGCAGAAGAATGTCTGCAGTGGCTTGAAACGCCACCGCATGGGCGCTCCATTCTTGACGGCGCGCCGGGCGTTCTACAAAACCCTGCCGCGCACGAGGCGGCCATGTGTCTCGTCCGGTTTACCCGGTAGCTGCAGCAGGTAGCCAGCTAGCGCATTGCAACCGCTTCAGATTCCACAAACGGGATATCTTCCTCGTAATCATATCGACAAAGAGAATAAGCTGCTAGCTTCGCCAGCAGAATAGTCAATGTAGCGCACCGTGACTGGTCCACCCCCGCGAAGCACCGAACCGGAAGTCCAAACCGAGGGTTGACGATGCAAGTTGACAATCCCGCCCACCGCCGTCGGGGTCGGAGTGGGAGGAAAGGATCGAAGGCTAAGCATCCACGTGCGCCTTTTCGTGGCGTGGTTGAAAGCATCGAATCGGCAGTCTGGCTCAGCTTCCGTGCAGACCAAGGGGAAGTCTACGACTACAGCATCCAGCTGGCCTTTGATGGTGTGGGGCCCAATCTACGCCCATACTGCTCTTTCTCCCCGCCCCGCTTGATGGAACGGGATGAGCCCTCGCTCGGTCCCAGAAGTATATTAGATGCGGGATGGCTGGTGGATCCAACCTTTTCTATAGTTCATGCCTCTTGGTCCCCATCATTGTTACCCTGTGTGTGGTATCGCGGTGTGAAACACTGAGATGAGGGTTCCATCAGCATTGCGGCTTGCTGCCTTGACAGGCCCGGCTGTGGTCGAGGCGTGGACGAAGTACACCGCGTTTGAGACGTGCTTGCAGCCACTGCTCTCGTCGCAGGCCACGATCCTCACTGCGTCGTCGACGGTCGTCGCCCCGCGATGGACGGAGTACGGCGAGCCCGTGACGAACCACGTCGTCAACGTGGCGACAGAAGCGGACGTGCAAGCCACTGTACCCTCCCCCATCCCGTATCCCCCAGTATCGGACTGACCCCACACCACAAACACAGGTCTTCTGCGCCAACGCCCACGACATCCCCTTCCTCGCCCAAGCCGGCGGCAACGCCTGGAGCACCACCTGGACCCTGACCAACACGACCACCCCCTCCATCCTCATCAACCTCCGCGCCCTCAACGCCATCACCTTCTCCCCGACCCGCACAACCGTCACCGTGCAAGGCGGCACCCTGACCTCCGAGCTCCTGGCCGCCGCCTACGCACACGACGCACAGGTCGTGACCGCGAATTGCGACTGCGTCGGGGTGATGGGCGCCCTGCTCGGGGGCGGGTACAGCCGCATGATGGGGGAAAGGGGGTACATGATCGACAACGTTCTCTCACTAGACGTCGTGCTAGCAACCGGGACGCGGGTGACGGTGACGGCGCGCTCGCACCCGGAGCTGTGGTGGGCGCTGCGCGGCGCCGGCGCCAACTTCGGGGTAGTCACCTCGGCGGTCTTCCGCTCCTACCCGACCCCACGAACTGAGAACCACGCCTGGCTGGGCAGCCTGGTCTTCAGCGAGGACAAGCTCGAAGCGTTGGTGGCGGCGATCAACGACCTCCCGCTGAGCCCCCAGATGGCCATCTTCCTCTACTTCGCCACCACCGGCGCCCCGGACTACACGCCGGCCATCATCGCGTTCCCGTTCTACCTGGCCCGCGCGGGCGCCAACACGACGACGACGATGACGGAGGAAGCCCGCGCCGCGTTCCGCGCGATCCTCGCGCTGGGCCCGCTCTCCGACACGACCGCCTGGACACCCTACGACCGGGTCAACGCGGGCAGCGGCGCGTTCTGCGCCGCCGGCGGCCGCAAGATCAGTCTGGGGTCCGCGCAGCGGACCCTCGACCCGGCCGCGTGGCGCGCGATCTGGACCTCGTTCACGCGGTGGGTGGCCGCGTCCGGCGGCGACCAGGTGGGGAACTCGACCGTCCTGATGGAGGCGTACAGTCTGGGGCGCGCGAGCGCCGTCGCCGCGGACAGCGCGGCGTACGCGTGGCGTGCGTCCAGTCGGTTCAATACCGTCGCCATCGCCTGGTATCAGGATCCCGCGCTGGATGCGTCGGCGCGGCAGTGGGCGGGGGACGTGCGTGCGGTGTGGAGGGAGACGAGTGGGTTGAGTGGGAATTCGACGTGAGTTTGCCTCTTTCTTTGGATCTGCGATGATTGGGTGGGGAGGGTGCGTGATGGGCGTGCTGGATGCAAGGTGAGCTGTGCTGACTGGGTTTTTCCTGCGGGTTAGGTATATCAATTTCGCGTTTGGGGATGAGAGTCTCGAGGATATTTATGGGGATCATTTGGAGAGGTTGCGGTTGTTGAAGAGGGTCTACGATCCCCAGAATCGATTTAATCAGTTCTTTCCACTGGCGTAAGGGGTGGGTGGGTAGGTTATTCCTGTTCTGGTGTGGATTTAAGATGTATTGTACTGGATGCGTCCTCTGTACATGACTTGAGCGAATGCACGCGATGTCTTGAATGAGGTTTGAGGACTACGAAGTAGATGGTGAGATCCATGCAGCGAGTCGACACAGCTCAGCATAGCTCGCACTGCGTCTCGGGGTGAGGATTTGGTGAAGGGCAGGCTAAACCCTAACTAGGTAACTTAGTCTATGCAGGGTCGGAGTCGGAGAGTGAGTGAGTGAGATGGTGCGATTGCATTGCTCACGCTCTACCCGGGGCTTCCGGCCGCGCTAGGAGGTGAGCTAGTCCTGGATTCCTTAGATAGAACAACAGTTTTGAGTCAAGTGCACTCAGACACGAGCGTGTTGGAATCTCAAGGATAAGCTAGGAATGTGGCGGGGTGATCAGGTATGCGGCTCAGACGAGCCAATCGACCAAGCATCTGCCTGGATTGGTAGAATTTCCTCTTGATCTTCGATTAAATCTCGGAAAGGGTGATGAAGAATGGACTTGATTGACCCAGGTCGAAATTATTTGGTACTGTCGAATCGTAAGACGGGGTAGGATCATCATCCAGCGGCTACCCCGCTAACAGTTCACCCAGCCAGTTGACAGTGAACGAACAGGCTGACCAGGGAGGGATCTGGACTATCTCCATAATTGATCCACATCTCCACCCAGTTCCGGCCTGTCAGACCCAGACCCATCTTCCATTCTTCCCATCTTCCATTCACTGGCGATCCAGACATTCCACTATTTAATTGTGTAACACAACAGCCTTTAGTTACCCCGCCGAGGGGTAAGCCTCCCCTTCCCACCTCAACCACAACCACAAGCAAACGCAAATAACACCTTTATAATAGCCTTCTTCTCTCGTATCCTTCCTCATCCCTCCCTCCTCACTTCCTTCCTTCCAACACATCCCATCCATCTCGATGACAGCAAAAATGACAGACCTCAAAAACACTCTCGACCCCGTCCTCCGCGAACATGCCAGCATAGGATACATCGGGCGCGATTCCCCCTCCTTCTCCGAGACCACCCGCGTGTGGAACGTGGGCCGCAACAAGAGCTGCACCCCGCTCGCCGTCCTCCAGCCCCAATCCACCCAAGACGTCGCCGCCCTCGTTCATTTCCTCCACAACCAGGATCTCCCCTTCAGCGTCCGCACCGGCGGCCACAACATCGAAGGCAAATCCATCCAGAACGACACCCTCCTCATCGATCTCCGCGCCCTCGACTTTGTGCACATCGCTCCGGACCGCAAGTCCGCCACCGTCGGCGGTGGCATCCTGCAGGGGAAGCTCGGGGAGACGCTCTGGAAGGAAGGCCTGATTACCCCCACGGGCTCGATCCCGGATGTCGGGTACGTGGGCTGGAGTACCTACGGCGGGTACGGCCTGTTTGCGCCGCGCTGGGGGCTGGGGGTGGATCAGATCCTCGGGGCGAAGGTGGTCAAGGCGGATGGGTCGGTCGTGGATACGGATGAGGACCCGGAATTGTTGAAGGGGATCAAGGGAGCGGGTGGCGTGCTTGGGGTTATTGTTGAAGTTCGCGTCAAAGTCTATGAGGCCAAGCAGGTGAGCTTCCCCTATTATAGTTCCACATGGTTGTCGTGGGATGGAGAGTTAGAGCAAGATAGGCTGACAAGCAACGATGGACAGCTTCTCTCCGGCGTCATCATGTTCGAGTCCTCGGATATCAAGAAGACCTTCGTCGGGTTTAACGCCGCCTTCCAGGCCCTCCAGGACGAAGGCATCCCCGATGCCCTGGCCGTCCAGCAGATCGCCATCAACGCGCCCCCCGGCCGCCTGTTCGGGACCATCGTCGTCTGGACCGGCGACGACCTCGACGAAGGCAAGCGCTGGGCCGACCGGATCGCCCAGCTCGGCATCGCCATCATGAACACCGTCGCCCCCACCGCCATCCCCGACTGGTTCCGGGGCAACGGCGCCATGGTCCCCACCAGCGTGTACGGCTCCAGCCGCACCGCCAACGTGCGCCAGATCACCCCAGAGCTGGCCAAAACCCTCGGCGCCAGCCTCGAGAAGATGCCCGCCGACCCCGCCACCATGCTCTCCGTGCACCAGCTGCGCGGCCCGTCCGCCACCCCGACCCGCGACTCGGTCTTTGCCGCGCGCGAACCACACCTCATGCTGGAGATCCTTGGGTGCGTGACGGCGGAGGACCTGCAGGAGGAGGCCGAGAAGTGGGCGTCCGACATGCTGGCCAGCGTGCACGGCACCCAGGCGCAGAACCTGCTCCCCGGTGCGTATGTGTCGCTACACTGCGAGGGGGCCCAGGCGATCTGTGTCGAGGATCGGGTGAAGAAATTGTTTGGGGAGTTTGCCGACGAGGTGGTTGCGCTGAAGGAGAAACACGATCCGAAGAACTTGTTCGCTCACGCGGTTCCTAAGCTGAAGTAGGGGGTCCGTTTTATGCATGATGAGATGTATTATGATAGCACGCATGGGTCGTTAGCCGTTTGACGAATGCCTTTATTTCAATTTACTAGCATTGATTCTCCTATATCTGTTACGTCTGTTGGGATTTGTAGCTTGTAGATTACCACCTCCGTGACCACGTTCAGCTTTGGTATGTTCGCTGCTCTCTCTTGTATAATTAGTACTAAAGATCGACTCGGATTCATGATACTCACATACTCCACTCTGCAATGTCCTTGTCAATCTTCACTGTCTCTGAGAGCTCAATTATTTTGACCAATAGTTATAGTCTCTGATACTGTTCATTCTCTTCCTACAGCAATATCCGGGATATATACACACGGTCCATGAACGGACAGACTTAAGAACCATACCTAACCCACGAGAAGCGTCAGAGCACCTCGGTGAAACAGCTCTAGGAAGACCCATAGTATTCCAGTATGAGAGGAAGAATACGGTAAAAAAGGTCTAGTGCAGATGATCCATAGTACCAGCAGCCCAGACGCGGGGAGAGTGCATGACGTCACTGCGGCACCGGCTTCCGATACTGCTTATGTCAGCGCGCTTCTGCATTCCGGGCTCATATCCTCTTCTGGACCAAGCTGTTTGTTCTTAGGACAAGCAGATAAGGTAGTACGTGCATCTACGGGAGAGCGAGCAGAGCTAATATGAGGGAAGCTCAGTCTGCAATATCTGGTGTCTGAGGGCTGATGCATCGCTGGTTGTCAGCCGAAATCTGCCCGGTAAAACAAGATCGTCGCTAATCCCGAGCATACTCGAGATTCGTTTGTATACAGAGTGCATGCCAACTGGAGAGATGATCATGAACAGTCTATTAGCGGTGCTGAGGGAAAAGAACAGACCTAGGATTGAGTAGTGGTATCTCGAGCTCAGGTAATCATCGAAGGGTGTACGAAGGAGTCGAAGGTCAGATTCAGTCGTCACATAGCACCGCAGCTATGGTCTAGTGAACGTAAGCGGCATTCGGCTTCTTGGATATTACACTCTGCGCTCCCGTTGTGCTGATAATGGGATATGTATGGCCTGCGACCCAATGCTTCAGCCATCCGGCTAAAGCTTCTCCGCACGAGATAAATACTGTCGGGTGATCACTTTCCAGCTTTCTTATCAGATGCCGTCCGGATCGAAGTTCAGATCAGTCTTACACAGGTATGGCATCTTAAGAGGGAGAGACTCGATCGGGCTATGGTTGGTGGCTACCGAAAGATACCATGCACGGATGCATCAGGTTTGAGCCAAATTGTATATCTGGCCTATATGGTGCAGAGCAGTCTTCCACACACTGGATTGAATACTAGCATGTACGCACCACACTGACCCCAAGTATATACCGCACCATCCTCGAGACCACCCACACCAGCTCAATCCCGGTCGATCTCCACCACTGGCCCCGTATACTCCTTGCCACCCCAGAGCACATAATACACCGTGCTGAGCAGACTCGTCCCCGCCGTGCCCACGACCGCCCAATTCATCGTACTCGCCGTGGGGCTGGCCACGGTCGGCCAAAAACTGAAGAACACGCCCACCGTCAGATACGCGATCGTGAAAGCGTTCACCAGGATACCCAGCACGCCGCGGATATGGAACGGGCCCCACGCGAGCGGGGCCCCGGGGGTGTTGACCAGCACCGAGTCCACGGCCGCGACGGCGGGGTCGCGGATGCCGCCCGTGCACCGCTTCCAGATCAGCAGCGTGGCAGAGATGAGGTAGGAGGTGTAGAGGGCGCTGACGCAGAGGGAGACCACGTCGTTGAGGACCGCGGCGGATCCGAGGATGATCAGGGCCAGCAGGACGGCCGCGACGGTGACGACGAGGATGGACCATTGCGGGACGGCTTGGGCGTTGACCTGGAATTTGAGGTTAATACATGGTGGACTTCAAAGGGACAAGGACGGTGGATGGGGGCGTACTCGACTAAGGATCCGCCAGCCTGGAAGACCGCGATCCCGGGCAAAAGACCAGACCATGCGCGATGACGAGGCTAGCGAGCCGACTGCAGTGGCTGTGACCAGAACTGGCACGATGGCGCTCATCACCGTACAGCCGCCGACGGAACTCGTGGCTGAGCAGAACACCTGCATATAGGGATATCCGGTGGCCGATTCCAGCGCGGTATCAACATCGGTCATGGTGAACAAGGTGCTCAGGACCATGCCGAAGCCCAGCAGGCCGTTGATCACAACGGAGGTGAGGATGGACTGCGGCACGACGCGCTCCGCGTTGTGGATCTCTTCGCTCATCTAAAGCACATGTCAAGTTAGTGCCAGTCCGACATGAGGGGGCGAGCAGACTTACGTGAACGGCGGCATCAGCCCCCGTGAAGGAGAACATAGCGCCCGTCATTCCCACCATGAACGCCAGTCCTTCGCTTTGAAAGCCCCCGTCGTTTCGGAATGTTCCAAACACCTCGGACGCATCGTTGTGCCTGCCCAGGTAGAGGAGTGGGATGATGATGGCGAAGAAGCCCACGATGTGCAGGATCAGCACGAATCCCTCAAACTTGGGAAGCCAGGTGCTGGCGACCGCGTTGACGAACACTGCAAACGCCAGGATGGCCCAGAAGAGCAGTACCGTCTGCCATGCCGTCGGGACATAGGTGCTGTGGTTCAGGACCACGAGGCCCTGAATCTGGGAGGCGCTTAGGTAGCAAGTCGATGTGAATGCTCCCAGCCAGCCGATGACGATCAACCACCCTGGAGGGCAAGTCCGTCAACCAGTCATGACAAAGAACTCTAGAGGGACAGAAAAGGTCGGCAGGGAACCTACCTGTGAGAAAGCTAAGGTACTTCTGACATGATGCCGGAGACATCATCGAGACCCAGTGGTACTGGCCCCCGGACGTTGGGGCCCTATGCGAGAGGCATGTCAGATTCTGTCGGGCAGGAATGGACAAGAGCACATACATTGAGACTAACTCCGACAGTGTGAGGAAGGTCGAAAAGGTGCCCAACCAGACAACCAAAAAGCTATACACGGTTCCGGCCGGGCCTCCACTGTACGATCGGCTTTCGTTAGGTGCCACTCAGGCAAGATATCGTCCAGGTGCGCCACATACTCTTCAAACGAGATGACAAACGTCGACAAGATACCTTCCCAAGAGGCCAAGATAGTACAGGAAAATCCTAGAATGGACAGAAAACCAAAGCGACGCTTGAGGATCTGCTTCTTGCCCACACGTCCGAGCCCCTGGTCGTCCTGGACCTGGGTGTGACTGGTACTCGCGGCTTTGGTGTCGACGTGCCGATCGCGGAGAGGAATCGGGTCCTCCATGCTTACTATCGAGAAGCTTCAGCTGCCAAGATCCCACGCAGTAATGAGACAGGCGTGGTAGAAGACAAGAGAGCAAAGAAACAATCAAAATGAAAGAGACAAAACGGGATTGTATAATTTTTCTTCCCGATTCTTCTCGCCCGCGCTTTTGTCTCATGGCGCACAAGGACACTTGGTCGTCGTCTATCATTCCCAAAAGAGGGGCGCCAGCCCTGAAGTAGTGGCACGAATAGCCCCCCCCCTCCTGCTGCACTCGCAACGCTGCACGGGAGTTTAATTGCTGAGAACGGGTGGGTGAAACAGATCAAATAGCCGTCCTCCTTTATGCAGCGCAACCACCCCACCGGCAGGGGATATAAATTGATGCGTGACTAAATCCCTCAGTTCCCGCGTGTTCGCTCCAGTCGATCACTTGCAATGGGCTGACAAGCACTGCGCTTTCAGACTAAGCATATTTATTAGCCTCGGAGCTATCTTCCACTAGCAGGGGAACTAATACATCAAGTGTGGAGAATTCACATTGGGCCGACGCGTAGTCGTTTGCTACCAAGCTAAGTCCCACAGCCCCATCATGTCTCACTTTTCCTTATTCTGATAAGCTCTACTAAGCTACTGTCAAAGATTGAAGCCATGATGGCCCTCCCTCTCCCCGGCCCCGCCAATGCCAGCCATCCACACTAGCGCACTGGTTGACTGCGATTCGACCCTCCATCAGTGGTGATCGACTCGGTGGCTGCATTGGGATCGTAATGCTCCTCCACGGCCCAGGTCATCGTCTGACGGATGATATGACTCTGACTGGTCTGGCTATGCGCGTCGTCCCAGTCGCGCTCCCGCTGTTCTGCAAGAATGGTCGTGTCGTGAGCCGACCCGTGCAGTTGGTTCAGCTCATGCGCCGTGCCGCTCCGTTTCTTCTTCCCCGACCCGTACCCATATTGTTCGTGCGTCGAACTCTGCCCCGGTAGATGATAGAGTCGTAGCCCGGTGGACTGTAGTCCATCCATGAAAGGCTTGAGGTGAGGGATGCAAGAGACGATGATGGCCAGACACTGGACCAGCTGCATGCAGACGGCGACCTTCCAGATCTCGAGCAGGGGCTCATCCGGATCTTCTTGCATGCGGCCTCGATACACCAGCTCCATCACGATAGCGACTACGACTCTGAGCCCGCCGTCAAGGCTTGAGTCAGCTCATAATTCTGTCCAACCCACAGGAACCGGGTCACTTACAAGATACGAGTAGCGAAACACCCGATCACCACCGCCTTCTTCGTATCCGCCATCTGGATCTTGGAGACGACCAGAATGGGGAAGACCATCAGAGCGCATTCGGTGAGGATGTTGGTGATTCCGAAGTAGTACCACCATGCCGCCTGCTCGGTTGGTTAGTCGAGTTCTGCGTCACTTCGAAATGCGGTTCATCGGCACCCTACACGGTTGAAGCATGTCTGCCTGAGCCAGTTCCACGGTTGGGGCAGGCCACACTGGAACGCGACCGCAAATTCGCAAGTCACGGCCCATGTGGCGATGAAGGCAATCAGTCCCCATTCCACTTTGCGGGTTCGTTGCATCAGGAATGTCATGAATGCCAGAGAGCTCAGCTTAGCGAATGTGATGCAGGGGATGTAGAGCAATTCCGCCGCATATATTGACTATAACCCCGGCTATGTCAGTCACTGTTAAGTCTGTTCACGCGGATCCAAACACACCTTCAAAGCCACTGCCTGCTGATGCTGCGATGAAGCTTGTTGCTCTTGACCGTACCCATTGCCGGCTGCATTTGCGACACATGCTGCCTGTAGCACCGAGAAGACCTACACAGTGGCTCGCACGGTCAGAACAGGTAGTCCGTATGGTCACTCCTTCCGCAATACACCTACCAGAGCCACCGAGATCAGGTAGTCGTCCATCGTCAGCTTCCTGACGATGACATATTTGATCAGAAGCCGTGTTCCCCCGGAGAGCACAGCGATGACCATGAAGAACCATGCCAGAATTCCGATGACGGGGGCGCGGTTCGTGTCCGTAACCACAGTCATGGCTGCAGCAGACAGTGTTGCATGAGCGTCAGCGTCACCATAACGATTCCACCTCGCTCATCCAGGTTCTCCTTCATAAACCGATCACACGACGAACATCTCCAACGAGGAGAGAGAAACGAGGCGGAAAAAGTAGATTACCCTGGGATTGAGTGTCTCACCTGGAGGTGGATCCGGAGGTGGCCCGCGCAATCTATTAGGGTTCGGCCGGTTGGCGCAGATCCGTACCTTTGCGTGGCCCCATCACCCATGCACTTCATGCATATCCAACTTCCTACTGGATGGGAAAATTTCGGCGAATCTCAATCCTTGTCACTCCAGGACGGGCTGGCTGGGTCTCCCTAGTCTAAGGTTAGAGAATTAAATTCGGCTCTGTGTGACGGTTTCCCCCCCCCCTCTCTTAACCTTCGTTCGTTCCGGCCGTTGGATTTCGGCGCTATCCCCCCCTTTCATTATCTGCAACCCTAACAAATTCTCACGAACCGCCCGCGTGAGGATACTTCTGACATCATGGCAGCAACTATGCACGAAGGAACTGCCCCATTTCAGTATGAGCACCTCCCCAGACCCGCGCAGACCTGGTATCGCGTGTACGGCGATCTCACGGTCGGCACCCCCTTGGTGGTGCTGCACGGGGGCCCAGGGTTCTGCCACAACTACCTGCTGCCCCTGGCCGACCTCGCCGGCCCCCAGCGGGCGGTGATCCTGTACGATCAGATCGGAAACGGGCTGTCGACGCACTACCCGGAGAAAGTCGGCGATCAGGGGTTCTGGACGGTCGAGCTGTTTGTCGCCGAGCTGGCCAACCTGCTCGCCCACCTGGGGCTCGCGGCCGGCCGCCCCTTCGATCTCCTGGGCCACTCGTGGGGAGGCATGCTGGGCGCCGAGTTCGCCATCCGGCGGCCGGCGGCGGCGGCGGGGGGCCTGCGGCGCCTCGTGCTCTCCAACGCCCCGGCCTCGGTGTCGCTGTGGTTGGAGTCCGTGAACGGGCTCCGCGCGACGTTACCGGCGGACGTGCAGGCGACGCTGCAGCGGTGCGAGGCTGAGGGGCGGCTCGACTCGAAGGAGTACGAGGACGCCACCATGGTCTTCCTGTCGCAGTTCTCCTGTCGGGTGGACCCCTGGCCGCAGGAGTTTGTGGATAGTATCGTCTGGGCCACCGAGACGGATCCCACCGTTGCGTCTACCATGTGAGTCGATGTGCTTCTGGCTCTGCCGTCCTCTAATTTAGTTTAATGTCTTTAACCTCCGGGGAATAGGCTGGGCCCGTCCGAGTTCTGGATCGAGGGCAACCTGAAGGATTGGAGCGTGCTGGATCGTCTACATGCGATCCGGGTGCCCACGCTGCTGATCAACGGGAAATATGACGAGGCCCAGGATAGTACCGTCGAGCCGTTCTTCTGGGCCATCGATAAGGTGAAATGGGTGACTTTGGCGGAGAGCTCCCACTGTCCGCAGTTTGACGAGCCGGAAAAATATCTGCAGGTCATCCGGGACTTTTTGGGCGCTCGGTAGAGCTGGGGTGGCTGGACATGCCACTCGGAAATAGCTGATACCACTCAAGGGGAGCTGAGACATGCATATCACGCGACTGCGTCTGGAGAACCTATCAATGAAGATCCAATCAGTGGTCGTGAAGTAAAACCTTCCATCTTACATCTTAGCATTTACTACCAGTATTTTCTTGATTATGCTCTCTCCCAACGCGCATGATATCTAAGTACGTTCAACCACTACAGCTAGACATAATAACACCTTCGATATATCACCTCGTGAATCAGCTGAGAGAAAAAGACGAGAGAATGATAAAAAATGTCCACACACGAAGGAAAGTCATCAGTGGAGACATGGTCCAACAATCTTCACCTTTTTTGCCTTGATGTGTAACTCAAATAGTTTGAAAGCAGGCAGAGAATAAATACTGCACAATTGGGGTAATTCGTGTATTACATAATTATGCTAGTGCTGACGCATTCCCATGATCGGGTTATGGACACAATAATGTTCAGCACCCAAGCATTCGTCTCATCTATCACGAAGTTTAATTGAGGAGCAAATAGCCCGAAATGCAAGCTAAAGCGAGAGCTATACTGCCGGCACCGGCGGAGGCTGGTTTGAGCGGCAAAGCAGCCCCGTCAGCCCCGTCAGCCCCAACCACCGTGTCATTCACCTGCCGCACCTGCGCCAGACGCAAGGTAAGATGCGACAGGCTGACGCCTCGCTGCTCCGGCTGCCGCAGGGGCAACCACGAGTGCTCATACCGAGCACCGACCCCGCGATCGCGGAAACGCAAGACAAGTGAGGAGCCCTCGGAGCGGCTCGCGCGATATGAGCGCATTCTGCGGCAGCACGGCTTGCTGGACGGTGGCACGCGGCCGACGGCGAGGGACACCTCGCCTGAACCGATTTCGTTTCACCATAACGGACTCGACGCCTCGAAGGCTGGTAGGGTGCTTGCGGCAGAAGGCACGTCGAGGTATGTCAGCGGGCATCCGTGGAATAATCTCGGTGAGGAGGAGGTGCGACGCGTCTTCGAAGAGGAAGAGCAGGAGCAGCGGGAGATGGCCATTGCACCCGAGAGCTTGATGTCTAATCCGCTGATCGGTGCGCTCGTGGGCTCTCGACGCTCGCTTCTGCAGTACCACCCGACTCACGCAGAGGCCAGGCTGCTGTGGCAAACGCATGTCGAGAGCGTGGAGCCGTTCTGCAAGATCCTGCACATCCCCTCCACCTCTGCGATGATCGAGAGGGTTTCATGCCGCCCCGAGCTAGCGTCAGATGCAGATGAGTGTCTTGTGTTTGCCATCTATCAATTTTCAGTCTACGCGATGACGGATGCGGAATGCATGCTAAAACTGGGCCATCCACGCAGTACCTTGAGCAGACGATATCATTCCGCCGCGCAACAAGCGCTGGTCAATGCTGCATTTCTGAGAACGAGTGACATCCAGGTCCTTCAGGCTTTAGTCCTATTCCTCCTCTCCAGCCGCCAGTATTATGACTCGCAGACGTACTGGATACTAACGGGTGTTGCCGTGCGCATCGGGCAGCGGATCGGACTCCACCAAGACGGAGAGAAGCTGGGAATAAGCCCGTTCGATGTCCAGATGCGGCGACGCCTATTCTACCAGCTCATGCCCCTCGACGGCCGAGCGAGTCAAATGGCAGGCACCGTCGTGTCCATCCCGCCAGACGCGTGGGACACCCAGCTCCCGCTCAACATCGACGACGAGCAGATCTGGCCCGGCATGACGGCGACCGCGCGGGAGCAGCAGGGCGCGACACAGATGATGTTTTGCCTGTCGCGCGCCTGCATCGGGCGGTTCTTCGCGAGCATGAGCCCGCATCTGCGCAGCAACGGGCCGTGGAAGTTCGGCAGCCTGCCCGAGGCCGAGGCGGTCATCGGTGCCGCTGAGCGGGAGGTCGAGGACAAGTACATCCGCTACTGCGATATCGTCGACCCGCTGCATTTCCTGACGGTCGGGCTGGCGCGCGCGGGCATCACCGCCATGCGACTCCGGGTCCGGCTAACGAAGGTCCGGAATCTGACTGCCACGGACGCGGAGATGAGGGAGGTCTTGCACCTCGCCCAGAAGATCTTGGATACCGATGCGGCGGTGTCGGACCACGCGGGCCTGGAGAGGTACCGGTGGCATGTCCGACCGTTCTTTCTGTGGGGCACCTTCGATTCGTTCATCTTCGTCTTGACGACCCTGTGGACGCGGGCTAGTGTTCTCTCTCCGGTGGAAATTGAGGAGGCGTGGAAGAAGGTTGAGCAGGTTTATGGTCATCATGATGAGCTTTGGGACCCGAAGCCGTTGTACGTGGCATTGCGCAGACTCACGCTCAAAGCTTGGGATGCTCATGCGCGAAGCGACACGGGTGCAGAGCCGGGGTTCATTGCGACCTCGCGCTCATTGCAGACGACGAAGCGCACGGTTACGGAGGGGCCTCCAAAAGTATCCCCAGATCCAAACCCTGAGAGGGGCGACACCATGTTTTTGACAGCGCCGTCTGCGAGTGACATTGACGCGGTTCTTAGTTCGGTGGCTGAGAGGATAGATGGAGAGATGGGCAACGGTATCAACTTCGATGCCGTGGATTGGGCTTACTGGGATCAGTTGATCCAGTATCACCAAGGACACGATGATGAATGACTAGAAGCCTTGAACAGGTTCCTCCTAGGGAGTAGAGTTCAAAACTTCCTCGTAGAAGAGGATATATGATACGGAGTCGGAACCTTTCTCCACCCCGGTTCCGCAGAGAGGCTGGAAACGGATCTTTCAAACTGTCCCAATCCCGGTCCGTTCTGATCCTTCATTGGTCAAATCCTCGGGTTGTCCGCAGCCGAGCATCCAGCCAATCAGAAAATCCCGCCATCATCGACCATGTAGTATAAAAACCCCCTTCATGGTGACCACGGTTCAATCCCAACAGACAACATTCACATTCGGTCAAATCCAAGAATCATGCCGCAGCTCAGAGTCCTCATCGTGGGCGCATCGATCGCCGGCCCAACAGCGGCCTACTGGTTCGCCCGAGCCGGAGCCAAGGTTACCGTCATCGAGCGGTTCCCGCACCTGCGCACCAACGGCCAGAACATCGACATCCGGACCGTGGGCGTGACGGTGATGCGACGGATGCCCGGGATGGAGGAGGCGGTGCGGGCCAAGACCATCCCGCTGGCGGGCATCGGCTTCGTCCGCTCCAACGGCCGCCCGTATGGAATCATCTCCACAACCGGCGACCCCGACCAGCAGTCTCTCGTCTCCGAGTACGAGATCTACCGAGGGGACTTATCCCGGATTCTATACGACCGCACCGCGTCGCATCCCAACATCACTTACATCTTTGGCGAACAGGTCGCCTCGATCCAGCAGCACGGCGAGAAAAGTGAGGGTAGCCCCGTGACGGTCGAGTTTGCCAACGGCTCCCCTGCAGCGGAATTCGACCTCGTCGTGGCCTGCGACGGGGCGACTTCGCGGACCCGCGCGATTGGACTCGGGGTTGGCGTGCGGGATCACCTCGTTCCGACCGGTAGCTGGGCGGCGTACTTCTCCATCAAGCAAGATCTCCTGGGAACGAGTGATAACATCGGGAAAGCGTACAATGCTGTCGACGGGCGCTTCATCGCCGCTGCGCCCGACCCCTGGGGCGTGAATCGCGTGGTCATGATCAAGCACCAGCCACCAACCCACGGCAGAGATGCCACTAAATCGTTCCGGGAGGCGATGAAACAGGGCGAGGATGCACTCAAGAGATTCGTGGCGCAGACCTACCGCGGCGCCGGCTGGAAGTGCGACGAGGTGATCCAGGACATGATGGAGGCGGAGGACTTCTACGCCAGCGAGATCGTGCATGTCAAGCTGCCACACTTGTCGAAGGGACGGTTTGTGTTGGTCGGGGATGCCGGGTACGCCGCTTCGACGGGCACCGGGACAAGTCTTGCCATGGCGGGGGCGTACGTGCTGGCTGGGGAGGTTTGCAAGCACAAGGGCAATCTTGCGGGTGCCCTTCGGGGGTATGAAGATGTAATGCGGCCTCTGATTGATGACATGCAGAAGGTGCCCCGGTTTCTTCCGGCGATTTTCACACCGCAGACGGCTTGGGGGCTGTGGCTGAGGAATACGGTGTTTGCTTTCCTGTGTTGGAGTGGGATTCTGGATCTCACGCAGAGGTTCTTTGCGGGGTCTTTTGCCAATACTGATAGGTATCAGTTGCCGGAGTATGAATGGGAGGAGTAGACACGCTCGTGGGATGGTTGGATGATGGCGGTGTTTAATTAATTTAAGGTCCTCGCAACTCGGTCACATATCCCCCCAAAACTGCACCTGCTTTGTGGATGTGGGAACAGTCGAAGGCCTATTCACGGTAGCTTTAATGATAAACAAAGTAGCGATCATCTCATCATACCTAAGATGATGTACAGATGCTGTCAGGCTGATCACCCGTGTAACAAGAATCTGTGTAGAAGACCCGAGATGATTGCAAAGGCATTGCCGCCCATCTAGCAGCATGAGTTGAGGGTTCAGAGCGAGGTCCAATAATGTAGTACCAGGACAAATGAATTGCAAATGTTCACTTGAAGTTGGTTTGTTTGCTGCGATACCAAGCGTGTAGGGTGGTTTGAAGGGGGACACAGAGGTCTGAATGTATCGCATTCACTGGCGGAAGACCTTCTGGAGCAGACTTGGTCAACATGCCTGAGGCCGTCAACTGCACCTCTTTACTTTCTTCGCCCACTTTCTCTTCTTCTTCTCTCACTTGCTTCGCTGAGCTGGCCTTCTACCTCACCTTATTCACACCCACTGTTTTCATCTTTCATCTGACCGTGAAATCGCGTCTCTTTCCCACCCATCTTAACACCAAGATAACACGAACCCCATTCTTCCACACATCTCTCATAATCTGTCCTTGACTCCCGAGATTGACTGGAAACAATAACACTCACGCAAAACTCCCGGTGCCCATTCACTGACATCGCGCTCAAGCTCTGAGCTCTCCCAGCTTATCGGCCCAGTCTTCTCGCAACACTGTCTGGCAAACTCGGACTTGATTCCAAAGTCGCCGCCCAGTCCACAAGATGACAAACAGCTCTAAGATGCTAAAAGATGCTCAAGCGGGGGAGCTATGCGACTTGGAACTTGATTGTGATGGGGTGAGGCTCACCGTCCACAAGATCGTGGTCTGGAATGAGTCGGAGGTGATCAAAACTGCTTGCAAGAGTAATTTCATGGTACGGCCAGTCGTCTTGAGTATTTCTAGTTAGGTATAATGTCTAAAGCCGAAGAAGGAAGGTCGCACCAACGTCATCCAGATCCGAGATTTCTCTCTAGCTACCGTGAACCGGATGGTGCATTACATGTACCTCGGTGACTATACGTTGAAAAACAATTTCAGGTGGGCTTCAGGTATGTGGACCTGGTACAAGGATCTTGTGTGTTCGTATCCGGGTACATACTAACAGAGGTACAAGAACCCGCGCAGCCTACCGTTGAGACAATCTTGAATCCGCCCACCGCTGCCACAACAGACACCCAATCCGACCTCATCTGCTTCTCCGAGGCAGCTCCCAAGACCACCGCCTCCACACCACCCACAACTGCGGAGGCCCTGCGCCCTCATCTCGAGATGAGTATGATTGCGGGCTACTACATGCTGCCAGGCCTGGAAGCCTTAGCACTGAACAGAATAAAAACGACGGCTTCAGAACAGCCCTGGTCGCCTGCTGGGTTCGACGACTTGGTCTCGGAAGTCTATCCTTCCATTCCTCATGAGGCAACTCGAGGTTATTTATGCACCATGGTCGTTGAACACCTGAATGACTCCCGAGCAACGAGAACCTGTTCCCACATCTGTTCTCGCGGCAGGTTATCTCAATCCTGAAATCATTCGAACTTGAGGTATCTTGTTTGAAGCTTCAGAAAGACCACATGGAGCGAAAACTTCGAGAACTGAAAGCCAATCTGGAAAGTATCAATGATATCTGCGAGTGCCGTCACTGTGGAGAAGCGTTCCAGAGCTATATCCAGCTTGGGGGGAGAAATAGTTCAAATTGCAAGCTCCGTTGCAGAGAGTGCAGGACTCGACATGAACCACTGGCGTGATGGCTGGTCGCTGTATCTGTCCTTGCATCCTATCGATGGTCTAATGAGTTCTGGAGTGAGTTTCGCAAATGAGTCTGGCCCCTGACTGTATTATGTCACATTATCTGGCTTTGTATGCTACTTTCTAGTTCAATGATAGGAAATTCACCCATTCTATGCAATGGGCCTTCTGTTGAGCCAGCTGAGTCATCTACCCACGGGGAAAGTCACGTGCTCCAGGCACCAGTGGAGAGGCAACCACCAATCAGCTGTCTATCTGCCATGCCAAAGCCGATCAGAGTTTGTCGACCATCACGTGGCGCTCCTCCCCGATAGCATGCTATCAGTAAATAAGAAGTCACCCATACCTCGCCTCTTACATACCAGAATTACAAAAAGACCTAGAAAATAATAAACCACTCCTTGAACATGGACCTAGACATACAACCCGCCTCGTTCACTAAGGGCACACAACCAGACCCTCCACCACCCCAGACCCCCACACCAACCCATCCCCGACCAACAAACACAATGCACGAACTCCCCATCCAACCGCGGGGCCTCCTCTGGCAAACCGACTTCATCACGCCAGCCCACGAAGCCACCCTCCTCCAAATCTTCCGGCACGACCTGCAATGGCCCACCCGCCCCGGCCGCATCTCCTTACACTATGGCTACACCTTCGACTACAAGACCTTCAACATCGACCCGGCCATCCCCTACCGCCCGTTCCCGGATTGGCTGGTCCCGTTACTCCCGGCCCGCGAGCCTCGCGCCCCGGACCAGGTCTGCCTGCAGTATTACCCGCCGGGGGCGGGGATCCCGCCGCACGTGGACGCCCACGGGCCGTACGACCAGCTCTACGCGCTGTCGCTGGGCGCCCCCGTGCTGATGGAGTTCCGGCGCGGGGACGAGCGCGTCGAGGTCGACTGCGAGCCGCGCAGCTTGATGTGTATGAGTGGCGATGCGAGGCTGTTCTGGACGCATGGGATCAAGAAGCGGAAGACCGATGTTGTATCCATGGACGGTGGGGAGACGGGGGTGAGGGTTAGGGGGGAGCGGTGGAGTATCACGTATCGGTGGTTGAGGGAGGGCGGGGAGTGCGAGTGTGGAGATTTGCGGCTCTGTGATACCGCGCAGCGGCGGGCCGGGGTCGAGAAGGAGAAGAGGTCGGTGGTTGCGTTGAGGGAGGCGGCGGAGGCTGCTGGTGGTGAGGATGAGGGGAAGGGGAAGGGAAAGGGGGAGGGGGAGGGGGAGGATGGTGATGAGAGTTGAAGCTCGGGGGCTTGGTTTTGGTGGTTTACTTGTTTTCGCAGTCTCATACCCTAGCCTTTGGATTGTTCGGAGTTGGTCTTGTGAGGCTTCAACTTCGGGAGTTTGTTTGATTTGTTTGGTGATCGAGTGGTGTTGTTATGCTTACCAAGCAGATCTGTGATGAGTCTTTACATGTGTCAAGACTGTAGGAAGCATCACTCTGTGACATGCCAGATTTCTGTCACAGTCCAGGTGTATGCAGTGTAGACTCCAGTCAAAATATTTACCGATGCTGAATATATGTCTCGTCCGGGACCATCTTGTTCAGACAAGCATAATAGACTATTGGGCTCTTACATATATCATAGCCCGTGCAAGCCCTGTAACCAGCCAACTTGGCTGTTCATTCTTCTGGCACAAATGAAACTGTTGCTTCAAGCTGTCCAACCGCCTATACAGATACCCCTAACTATCCCCACTCAACTTCGCCTCAATGACACTCTGCGTCGCCAGCGGCGAGCTCCAGATCTTCACCACGCGCAGCCCCACCGAGGCCAACAGGTCCTGCCACATGCCCTCGGTGCGCTCGAACGCCGACACAAGCACCATCATCGTGTGATCGTAGCCCGTGGCCTGCGGGTGCGCCCCGACCGCCGGGATCACATGGTCGTGGATCAACAGGGTGCTGTACCCGGGGGTCATCGCATCGCGCAGGTGCTCCAGGATCTGCCGGGCCAGCGCATCCGACCAGTCGTGCAGGACCCCGTGCAGGTAGTAGGCCCGCGCGCCTGTCAATATCACACCAATCATGCGTTAGCCATTCACTTCATCACCGTACACTTTGCCATTGGAACTACCCCCTCCTCAGTCTGGGCACAGACAATAAAAGTGGGGAAAGAGGAGCATACCCTTAACCGGCTGCGGCGTGAAGAAATCATGCGCCATGGCGCGCACCTCGGCGGGACAGATGGCCTGGCGCACGACCTCCGGGCGATCCTGCAGCACCAGCCGCCCCGCGAGGCCGGGCTTCTTGCCCAGAAACTTGTTCATGTCGTGGCCGACGTTGCCGCCCACGTCGACCAGGAGCGGGATCTCCGAGTCGTCATCGGGCCGGTCGTCCGCCAGCCGGTCGTAGGGGAAGATGTCCAGCATGCCCGCCTGCTTGGCCATGACGCTGCCCATCACGTTGTTGAAGACGGCGCTCTCGGCCGGGTGCTGGGCGTAGTAGTCGAAGAGCGAGCCCGGGAAGTTCTTGGTGTACTGGAAGATGCCGTCGTTGGGGTCGGTGGGGTTCTGGTAGTCGGTCTTGGCGAGGTATTCGGGCATTTTGGCGAAGCAGGGGTTCACTGTGTCGTGTCTGGGTTTGAATTGGGGGTCAGTGCATTAGGTATGTGTCAGGGGACTCAGCGGGTACGGACAAGAATGGAATCCAGGCTCCGAAGACGGGCTCGAGGAGGGACCTGCTGAATGCGGATTGCTTGTATTGGTCGGCGGAGACCTCGATGATGATGTTGGTGGATGCCAGATGGCGGAGGATGCGACCTAATCAGGGTTTAGGATTGTGGGCAGATGCATTGCAATGTCCGCTGCATGCCGGTTGTCTTACCGAGTAGGACGGGGTCTGAGTTGGTCAGTTCAGCAAGCTGTGCGGTCGACTGCTCCGCCTGTTCTCCTACATGGAGCCATTTCTCGAAGAGCTGTAGGTCCTGGCTCACTTTCAGGGCTGCGGTCAGGGCAGGCTGGAGGAAGTGTTAGGGCCACAAACTCATTATCACGGGCCAGAAGTTCTACCTCTGTAATGCAAAGCCGCGCCACGGTATCCCACGAAGTCTCCAAACGACTGATCAGAGCGTACGCCTCTCTCAGCGCTTTAACTCGGTCGCCATCATACGCAAAGGATGTACGGTCAATACTCTTGATTGACTGAGTGAATTGGTCCACATCCACGGTGGTAGAAGGAGTCGAATCACCGATTGACGCCATTGTGGTTCAGCAACTGATCACTTCGGAAAGGGTGAAGAACTCGATCGATCGGGGTGCAGGGGGAAAGGTACATGTATTTCTGTCAGGGGCGATTGTGTCTGGGTCTTGCAGGCTGTCAGCTTACCCCTCACAGCACCAGAGGAAATAAGTTTGACCCAGCGCAGGTCGGCGACCAACGAGCGGATGCGCACTGACAATCGGCGGCGGGGCCCGGTCAATCGGATCCACGCAGACGGTGGAGATCGTCCGACTTAGGGCCCGCCAACCGCCACCGACTCTTCACCTCGCATACCGCGGCCCAAGTTCTTACAGTGATGCACATGTGTATGTCGATCTATGCAGTGCTAGCGTGACCCTTATTGGAACTCTCGACTGCTCTGGACCAATATTGGTCGCCCTGCTCTGAATGCTTATCGCATTTTTCTTCCTGGCGTGCATGTCTTACGCTGGGAAGTGAGTGTCGTGAACTGCTACTGGCAAAGTTTGGGATTGAATGCTGGAACTTCCATATATCAGTGCCCCTTGCTTTCACTATAGAGCACTAGAAGCTTCTCCCGTCTGGGCGGAGACCAGTTTGGGGCGACATTGCACGGACTCTTTTGATGCGACCAGGGTCCACACGTCGGCCATCCCCTTAGGTCGGACGCCATTGTCACACATCAGCTTGACTGTCGATTGTCAAGCCGAAATGCCATCAATATAGGTCAGCGATGGATTACCACTTCTATTAAAGCTAGGCTTAACAAAGTGATCGTCAGCTTGTAGTTGTGGTCCACTAAACGAGTCGTCTTCCTTATACCGGCTTTGGCCTGGTTGTGGAGTGTAGTCTCAAACTTTTTATGGTCTCTTTCACAGCTATAGTATCGAAGAGTGCCCACTTCAAAGCTGTCAAAGTGGCAACGTCAACGACAAAACAAGCCTGGTCTCCATAAACATGGCATCTGCAGAGCCAATTCTTACTCTTGGAAAAGGTCACTCAATGTTTCCGAAGTCGAGAGCCAAGTACTCCGTCGGGAAAAAGACTAATTGTTCTCACCTTGATATCTCGTACCAACCCACCGTCCTGAATGCAACGAGAGCGAAGCCACGATTCCCAACTGTCTGGGCTCGCGAGATTGTTTCTTGCGGCAATTGAGTCAAACTGTCTGGCGAGACGCGTGAGACTGCAACGCTAACGACAAAAGCAACATGCAGTACTCGTCGCATCTCGTACTGTAGAACTATCGCAAGTGCCATGGTGCGATGAGTGTGTGAGCCCTGCAGGGTCTGGTGATGCTTGATGCACCCGGGCCGATATCGGCGTGACCGGGGCGCGTGAGCCAGCCAATTAACGGTATCACGCATGTACAGGTAGTGTGGAGTACGGGAATGGCGCTCATCTGCAGGGATCTTGCTCTCGGTCGGTTGGTGGCATTGTTCTACGTCGTGTGGGCATGGTAGTACAGGAGGTCTCTTCTACGGTGCAGGAGGCTGTACGACAGCACGGAGGTGTTACTACATGTAATTTGCCGGTTGCCGTACGAGAGCGGGTCGAGCCGCCACGACCCAAGAAGCCGGAGTCACCGCTGTCGCAGCCACACTTCCATGTCACCTGATCGTCAGCCACGATACTGTGGCTAGGGCCGCGGGGCCAATTGCGCCGACCGAGTAGATGCCTCATTAACCTGAATGATCTCTGTGCCTGTGCCTGTACTATACCTGCTGTACAACATCACCATGCTAATTTCTCCCCATCAATTGTCTAAGTTAACCAGATGATTCATTTCAATTGATCAATCACTCTTTTATTTTGCGCGGTGATTCTATTCGTTTTGTGCGAGTTCTGGTCACAATGAATAAAGTATTGAAGCTTACAGAAGAATACAATAGTGTTATATGCTACCTACGTAGTATGTGCTGCATATTGGTGTCAGACCAAGAGACCAGCAAGAAAACAGTTCTGGTATGAGTGACCAATGTGGTAGGTATGGTTGGCTGGGACAGGCACAAAGCTTGTGATGCCAAGCCCGTGCATAAGAAGTGGATCTTCTAGTGGGGCAGTTGCCCTGCTCGAGTCCTCGACACGTCGCGCTTCGCTTCACAAGGCAGCAAGCCAGCTCCGGGAACCGCCGGAGTTCTCTTTCATTGTAACTTAACACCACCAACAACGACCTCACATACCTTCTCACCCTCACGTCCCCAGTGTCATTTCCCCGGATGGATGTATCGTTAAAGGACCCTTTTTGGGGCCCGCAAACCTCCTACTTGAAGTAAGCTTCCCCTCAACAATCACCTGATAACTGCCGTAACTCACCCGCTGTAGCTTCTGTGAAGAGGTACAGTACATGATCCTATGAGCCATGGATCCTTCAGAAGGGCAGAAACTCATGCCTCAGACTGTAGGACTATGTCGTCACTCGCTATGTGGCCGAGTTCATCAACACATGCAGCAGCCTTATCTACAGTGCGTCCAGGCTCAAATCAAGGGGCAACATGCCCAGCAGTCTGATGCCCGCCAGCTAACAAGACGCATTGCCACAAATCCGCAGTCCTCTATGGCATCTACGGCCTGAGCCAGCTTCGATCCAAGCCCTCTGCATCCTTCGCCCGGGCAATCCCCTGGTTCGGTCTGATGGGCGTGGGGATCTGCTCGGCCGGGTACCATATGACCCTGAAATACCACACGCAGATGTGTATGTCAGCTAACCTGATCAACTGCATCCCTTGACCCAAAGACTGACCGTGCTGGAATCCAGCGGACGAGCTCTCGATGCATTTGTTGACCACACCCCTGGTGTATCGGGTTCTCACGTTCCAGGTGAACCCGCAGTGGCGTCGCCTCATCGGCATCGCGCTCGCCCTTGAGTTCACCACCGTCATGGTCGTCCACATGGTCATGGACGAGTTCCTGCTTCACGCCGTGACCTTCGGAGCAGGGGCGTTGCTCATCGCGCGACGGACCATGCAGATCATCTCGCATCAGATCCCCAACCCGGTGATCAAGCAGAAGACCCGCAACATCGGGCGGTTCGGTATCTGTAAGCTCCCCCCCCCAATATCCTTCGAAGGAAATATCCCCACTTTTGACGAATCCTGACAGAAGCACAGTCTGTTTCCTCTTCGGCTATTTTGCCTGGCTGGTCGATGTGTGGGCGTGCAACCACCTGACCCGCGTCAGGGAGCTGGTCGGCGCGCCGGTCGCATTCTTCTTGGAGCTGCATGGATGGTAAGTCATTCCACCTTCTGCAGGCTCTTGTGTTTGTCAGCCACCGAGACAGGAGATTTGCGAAAGATTTGCCCCTTTCTTAACCGGACCAACTAACCTTCCAAATCGGGTAGGTGGCACTTCTTTACGGCCATCGGTGCCTATGTTGCCGTCGCGGTGGTCGATATGATCACCTCGGGCGAGGTGCACACCGACCCCTCGCCCCAGCTCGCCTGGCCGGTCTCGCTTGCTGCCCGGCTGATGGGGCCTGCTGAAGCGCAGTCGAAGAAACAACATTAGGGGGTCGTGTTTTCTTCTTATCAGTCGAGACGTGAGCGGGCGAGGTGCTTCATGTGATCGTGGTGTATACATTAGACGATATAGCCAGCTTGGGATGGCGGGCGTGTTCATGGTGGCATGCGTCCGTGGCAGCTTTTTTGGGGGTGGTGAAGGTAGGGGGTCAAAGATAGGTCTGAGGATATTGGTGGAGAATTCCCGTCCAGATGGGAGGGGAAACTCTTGTGCGTCTAGTGTATTCACTAGTTCCAGTGCAACTGAATAAATGTCAGCCTGATAGAAGCATAGGATTTTGAACCCTTATCACCAATTCGTCGATTTTCTCGATTATGCAATTCTTGGGGCGGGGGGTATGGATATGTATTCAACAAAGATGCATGGGGTGACTTTCGACAAAGATCTCACCTTCTTTCCTTTTGTTCAGAGCCGCTTCGTTTTGTTTTTTTATTTCCTCTCATTTCTCTACAATGCAGCCAGATGATAACTCTTAGATCAGACCTATTGTAATAACCTTCCCAAGTCCTAAGAAGAAGTCGCTAGTAATGTGCTGACTATGTGCATTATTAGTCATCAGAAAGCATAGCACAGCTAACGCGTTATGCGTTGCGAAGCACAGCGGGTGGACCCCACACGGCTGTAGAATGATCTGGTGCGTTGAAGGCAAGAGAAAATGATTCGGATTGCCGTTCGAACCGCCCAGGGTTATGTGTCACTGACTGTACTATGTCCGCAAGCTTAATCTGTAGTAATAGGAGCAGTCAATTGAATGCAAGTCTCGAAGAGTTCACTACAGGGGCAAAAATGGTTGTCATGAACCATTCATGTTAAGAACAAGAGTCTGGTAATGCACGCAGAGCAGCGCGATATCTACAGGGTCGGGTATCTCTGAATCACAAAACGTACTGTACAACCTCAGCCGGTCGACCGTTACGGGCCAACATCAACGTCAACACCGATCCGCACCCCACGCCCCCGTCACGTTCACGCCGCCGATATTGCGGATGCCCATCAGCCCCAGGACCGCCTGGCCGCGACGGATCAACTCGCCGCCCTGGCCGAGGGCGTCTCGACGCTGGATGCCGAGCCGCCGCAGCCGCTCGACCTCTTCCTCGGCCAGAATGTCCCCGCCCTTCCGCCCCTGCCACACCGCCTCGCGCACGACGGGTGCCCACGTCTCCGCCGCCGCCGCCTCATCCTGGTTCCCGGCGTACACCTTCCGCTGCCCGTCCGGGCGGGCCGGATCCGCGACCAGCTGGGACGAGAACCACTCCGACCGCACCACCTCGTACCGCCGCTCCATCCACCAGATGACCGGCCACGTGATGACCCACAGCTGGAGGATGATGCACGCCCAGTAGACGAACCCATGATTGCGGAGCCGGTTGATCCAGTGCGGCGAGTAGACGGTGATGGTGCCGTTCGCGAGCGAGGGGGCGACGTGCACGTGGCCCTGGTAGCCCGTGGAGCGGATGTGGGCGATGAGCGTGGTGCGCATGGGCGCGGCGTCGAAGCCGTTGAGGTTGCGTCGGTAGGTAAATCTACATCCCAAGCGGATTGTTAGTCAGACCTTGCTCCCCCCCGTAGATCATCGTTCAGCCGCAAAACGTACGATTTGACCGGGGCCGGATCGTCGCAGAACCGCCGACACCACCCCCGCAGCCCCGGGGCATCCTCTCCCGGCGCATCTCCGGCTTCCAACCCCACCATCAGTCGATCCCCCTCCCCCTCCCCCTCCCCGAGTTCCGTGGTCCCCTCGTCCGCCGGTAGCGCGATGCGCCCGCCCGACTTCTTCCCGTGCCGCGCTCCGCGCGACGGCCAGCGTCCCCCGCGGTACGCTTTCTGGTGATCGTGGTCGCCGACGACGGTGGTGTAGGACCAGCGCTGGAGGGGGCCGGTGCCGCCCCAGGTGAGCAAGGTGCGGGTCAGGTCGATGCGGAAGTTGAAGTCGCAGACGGTGCGGCGGGTGGAGTCGTTGCCGCGGCGCTCCTTCTCATGGTGCTGGCCGCCGATGATCAGGCACGGGCGCGGGGGCAGGCGGGTCTGCTGGTCGACGAAGCTGTACAGCGCCTCAGCGTCGGTGGCGAGGATAGGGTCTAGGGTGACGACCCCCGCGTGGCGGGTCTTCTCGCGGACGCTGTGGTACGGCTGGTGGCCGGGGATGGTGTAGGCTTCGTGGGGTGGGGAGAGCGGGTCGTCGCGGTAGGGTGCAGTTGGTGTCGGTGTCTGGTCGGTTTCGTTGTATGCCGGAGGTAGGTCGTCTTCCGGGAGCGGGTAGGGGATGGAGGATGAGGAGGAGGTGGTGGGGACTGGGGGGACTGGGGGGAGGTCTTTGATTTGGCCCATGATGATGATTTTGAGTGTTGTGTTGGAATGTAGTTGGTTGATTAGATTTGGAAACTTTTGAAGAGAAGAAGGAGATGAGAAGCGGACTGTGTTTGGTTTTAAGAGGGGAAATAAGCAGAGAGCACTGACTGCAGCAGGCAGCGGTGGGGGCGGTGGATCGGGTGCCTGAATGTTCCTGCCACTAAATCTACTCCGCCCCCACCGCCCCCACCGCCCCCATTGCCCCCTTGAGCCAGGGTGTTTATTGTATCTTTATTTAAATCTTCAGTCGATTTAGACAGGGATAAGGTGAGTTTATCTTTCGACTTCTGACAAGCCACCTTCTCTCTCTCTCTCTTGATTTCTAACTTTCATTTTTGGTGTTGTTTCTGTGTTCTGCTTGTCCTTGAGCCATTTTGCTACCTTGCTACCTTGCTACCTTCAAAGTACGGTACGTCAAAGGACGCAGATGAGGTGAAACATGCATGACCCCGCCTATGCTCTAAGAGTCTCTTAGTAATGAACTAAGATATATTTACAATATGGCTTTTTTATCTTTTGATCTTATTTGCTTTGACTAACGAACCCAGGATCCGTGGACAGTTCCAGGTCCAGACAGAATGAACACTATAGTTATACTTCTGACCAAGACATTACAAAAGCATCACCCAAGAGACACTTCATAGAGCCAGAAGGACACCCCATGGAACCAAAGGAAGCAGTCCTCAGCATCAGAGGCCTCTGATTCATCATCATCAGTAGGGTAGTATTCGTCCTCAATCATCCGGTTATACTCCTTGATCCGCTCCTCAAAGTCGGGCACCGTCCACGGCACCAAGGCCTTGCGCCGTCCATGCGGCACATACCCATCATCCTGAGATTCCTCCACCCGCGCCGCCGTCTCCCGCTCCACGAACCACATCCAGAAATCGTCCAGCGTGTCCATATACTCGCGCCGCACCTGCGGTAAGAGCACCACGTCGCCGGCGCTGTACTCCACGGCCTCCGGGGTCAACGGCCGCTGGGTCAAGCCTGGATCGTGGTGCTCGCCGCCCTCGCCGTCCATGGACCGGAACTTTCTCGCCATCTGCCATTTGTTCTCCAGCCACTCATTCTTCTCCTCCGCCGAAAGGCCGACCTGCGTGCTGTTCCGGACGCAGTACCGAAGCCCCCGGAGCCAGCCGCCGCCGGTGCACTGGCGGAACCCGAGCTCCATGATCTGGACGTCCATGACGCCTTGGAGGAGGATGTCGTACAGGACTCGGAGGGCGTCGGAATCGTTGCGCACGTCGAAGAACACTTTGGTCCGGGTGTGTGATTCGAGGATTGTCTTGAGGGTGGTGGTATTGTCGACGGCGGCCGGGGTGTAGAAGGCTGTGTCGCCTAGGGTGTGCACGTCCACGAGGTAGGTCCGACGCGGCTCTACGAGGTGGATCGCCACTATTGTGATCGTGCCGTGGCGGCAGAGGTTCTCGCCTTCGAGATCGACGTATAAGTCCTCGGTGGGGTTCACGAGGAGATCGTCCATCAGCTGGGAGACCCGCTCGGGGGTGTCGATGATAGTCAGAGGATAGCCATTGATGTCGTGTGTCCGCTTTCGATTACCCTATTTATCCGGTGTTCCAACGGGAGGCTGTACCTTGGTTGAATTCACGTTCAGGTTGAAGGTCAATGGCTTGATGCTACCAGGGAGTATCGATATTACAGTTGACTTGGATACCTTGGGCTTCTTATACCGCTCCTACAAAATCTCAATGCCATGGCGGTGCCGTCATTGAACCATGAATTGCCTGGGTCGAGTCTTTCTTCCGCCAGAGAACGTTTTGTTGCAGAGCAAATGCTTCATTCAACATATGCTCACTAGCAGAAGATTGTCTCTTTCGCTGGCAAAGACTTACAAAGAGGCCTCTGTCTCGGAAGAAAGGTGTGCATTTGTTCCGTTGTGAAGGATGACGACGGCCGTGCGGCCTTGGTAATCAGGCTGCTCGCCCACCGCCCACCTCGGTGGCCTTAGCTAACTAATTGCGCAGATAGCCTCACGTCGCAAAATCCATCCATTTTCCACCTGTCTCGCAGGTGTCATCAGATGAGAATTCACCCATGGTTACCTCCAACGATAGTAGGACTTACCTTTGCAAACTGATTAAGAAAACCCTACGCCCGTCTTGTAGCGGGCCAAACCGTCTCTCACGAAAGCAATCGGGGTGGGGCGGCTGAGGAGCCACAATGCGAAGGGCTCGCTCGAATGTGGGTCTATACGAGGTTTTGACAAATTTTTCATGCAACCGAGAGTCCCAAAGCCCAGCGTGATATGAGCACCCGAGACTTATTATGATTTAGATAAACCGAGAACCCTTCCATCTGTGATTCTATGACGCCTTGAAAGATCTCATGGGATTCGATCTGTAGTGTTTGGGTGGCCACGTCCTTTAATCACGTCACGATGCAAAGCGCGGAGACCCCGTGTTCTTCCATCTTCCAAATCAAAGAGAAAGATTTTTAGGCGACCATTCGGCGTAACGCAGATTCAACCAATGCATAACAGCAGCAGTAATCAGCGACCGTATCCCACAAGTGTGCAAATCTAATCTGATCTGATAATCTTATCAATAGAAACCGCCGCTGCTCGCGCCAAGGTTCGTTCTGTCGGGACCGGATCGTCCCCTGTGTGGTACGTACGATCCGATTCGCGGAGGGTTGCGGATCACCTTTAAACAACAGAATCTACTCCGTAGCTCGGGCGCATCGCAATGCAAAGCATTTCCTCGACTACATCCCTTACGCCTTCCGCAACAAACCCCCCATCTCCCGACCGTCACAATGACCCTCGAAATGATACCAATCACCCTCCCCAATTCCAAGCAATTCTACCTCGAAAATGCACGAGGCGAAAAACACCTCATCCAGATCTCCTGGCCTCTCCACTGGACAGACGAGCAGCCCCCAGCAGACAGCGGCCCACTCCCGATCCTGTAACCATTCCTAAAACACTTCCTTACGCCCTCGCTTCCCCCACCACTAATGCGAGACCAGATACATCGTCGACGGCAACGCGCTCTTCCTGACCGCGACCGAGGCCGCCTGGCGCCGGGCGGTCATGTCCGACTTCACGGGCGGCGGGCTCATCGTCGCGATCGGCTATCCCCTGACGGGGACGGGGAACGTGTACGACTTCCCCCGCCGCAGCCGGGACCTGACCCCGCCCACCTCCGACCCGGCCGTCCCCGGCCACGGCGGGGCGGACGAGTTCCTGACCTTCGTCACGGACACCGTCCGCCCCGCCGTGCGCGCCGCGTTCCCGCGGGTCACGTGCGCCCGCGACGCCCTCTACGGCCACTCCTACGGGGGTCTGTTCGCGCTGCATGCGCTGTTCACGCGGCCGGACACGTTCGACTGCTATCTGGCGAGTAGTCCGTCGATCTGGTGGAATGGGCGGTGGATTCTGGAGGAGGCTAGGGGGTTTTTGGACGAAGAGCGTCCTTCGGACGGCGAGCGGGTGCCGCCGGCACTGATGATGTTTGTGGGGTCGGGGGAGCAGGATCCCCCGCGGCGGAGGGGGGAGTCGGATGATGCATACGAGGAGCGCAGGCGGATGGCCGCGGATTGGCGGATGCGGGATAATGCGTTCGAGCTCGCGGAGATGCTGCGCGACTGCCCCGCGGTGCATGCGGTGCCGGTGCGGGTGTACGAGGGCGAGGAGCACACCAGTGTCATGGCTTGCTCCTTGAATAGGGGGTTGACGGCGTTTTTCGAGGGTTGGCCGTTCGCATGGTAGATGCTGAATCTGTATTGTGGATCGTGGTATGCGCCTTTCGTGCGAGATTGCCGATGAACGACTTCGGGTTGGACTGTCGGGTTGGGACTAGTGGATTGTGGGTGTGGGGGGACCAGCTCGGTGATAAGGACTTTAGAGCGAGGTCGTTTCTGATGTTCACAGTTGCTTACCTGTATGATTTCCATTCGGGTTGACTTGTCTTCTTTTTGGAGGGGGATGCTTGAGTGGGCCGTTGCCAAGGGTTTCCGCATCCCAAACCAGAAACAAGACTACGAGGCCATCGATGTATACTCCCCTATCTACAACTACATATGACTCTACACATGTCTGTGCCCGCGAATTCGTCACGAGTGGGTGGCTGTCGTGGTTTGAGGACGACGACGCATACGCAAGCAACAGGGCTTTTCGGGCACGGTGATTGGTCCAACACTCGCTCCCCACCGGAGAAGTGGGGCGCCTCGCTCGCCTGGTGTCCATGATGCATCAATGCTTTTCCCTCCAGAAAACCACTTGAGGCGGGCAATAGCCAGGTTTTATTTGCTTCGCAGGAATGAATCTGAGAGTAAGCCTTCGTCTCTCATGTCGTACCGACACCCACCAGCAAATTCGCCATGGTTCGCCCTCTGATCTGGGGATGCATTGGGGCGTGGTTTGCAACGGTGACTAGCGGCGATTTCGTCTCGACCAACTCCCGACGATACAATCAGGGCGCGCTGGGCCACCGGCCGCACCTGGAATTCCACTCGAGTAGCGAGTACGCCCCCGTGCTGCAGGTCAACACCTGGGACGCCGACAACATCTCCGACACGGGCTCGCACATCTTCCTCCGCCACGACGGGAACGACTCCTCCCCGCTAGCCTCGCCGCTCATCCTCGACAGCCACGACCTCAGCGCGGTGTACCTCAACCGCTCGTTCAAGAATGTGTTTGGCACGCGGGTGCAGGAGAACCACGGCAAGAGGTACCTGACCTTCTGGGGCGGGGAGAAGGGCGACGGGATCGGCGACGGCTACGGCCTGGCGTTCGACGAGAACTACCGCCTGGCCTACAAGATCTCAGCCCAGAACCTCCAGGTCCACAGCGACCTCCACGAGTTTGCCTTCACTGGCAACGGCACGGCGCTGGTCACCGGGGTCGACAAGATCCGCGCGCGGCGGTCCAATCTGCAAGACGGCTGGGGCACGCCCGAGCGGTTCGAGGTGCTGGATGCGGTCTTCCAGGAGATCGACCTCGAGACCAACGAGGTGCTCTTCGACTGGCGGGCCCTGGACCACATCAACCCGATGGAGTCGTTCGAGCCCCGGGGGAGCGGGTGGGATGCGTACCATCTCAACAGTATCCAGAAGGTAAGAGTCCAACCTCGGGAAAGTAGCCCTCAAACCAGACAACCCCCCACAAACTAACGCAAGGATGCTACGGGAACAGACACAAGCCGGCAACTACCTCATCTCCATCCGCCACATGCACGCCATCTACCTCATCTCGGGCACGACCGGCTCGATCCTATGGTCCCTCGGCGGCCCACGCAACAACTTCATCGAACTGCCGCCCGCCGCCGGCGGGGCAGACAAATCCACCGCGCAACCCATCCTGACCATGGGCTGGCAGCACCACGCGCGCTTCGTGCCCGGCACCAACGAAACGCAGCTGACCTTCTTCGACAACCACGTCAAGGTGACCTCGCACGGCACGTGCGACACCGACTGCTCGCGGGGCCTGCACATCGCCATCGACACGACCGCCTCCCCGCCGACCGTGCAGCTGCTCCGCGAGTTCCGGCACCCGGCCCGCCTGCAGGCCCAGAGCCAGGGCAGCGTGCAGCCGCTGGCCCCGCAGCCGGACGCCCTCGGCAACGTCTTCATTGGCTGGGGCCGCTGCCCCTCGTTCACGGAGCACACCGCCTCCGGGGCGACCGTCCTGGACGTCCAGTTCTCGCCCTGGCACAGCCCGGGCATCCCCGACGCGCTGGACAATTACCGCGCCTACAAGGTGGATTGGTCCGCCACGCCGTGGTGGGATCCGGCGATCGCGCCGCGGAAGGATGCTCGGGGACGGTTGGTCGTCTACGTGAGCTGGAACGGGGCCACGGAGGTGAAGACGTGGGTGGTGCGCGGCGCCGCCGGGGATGTGTCCGCGGCGGAGGACCGAAAGGGCCAGATCCTGGTGGTCTCGCGGCGGACGGGGTTCGAGACCAAGTTGGTCGTGGGGAGCACGCAGTGGCGGTATCTGTGGGCGGAGGCGGTCGATGACCGCGGGAACGTGCTGGCGGCGACGGATACCGTCGACTTGAACACGACGGAGTTGTCCATCGCCAGGGATATGTACGATGAGTCGGGGACTGCGGATCTCTTTGATCCGCCGCGTCCCGAGAAGAAAAGGTCCCACGCTGGCCTGTCGAAGGTGGTCGTGGCTGCGTTGGCCACTGGCGTGGCTCTGTTAGTTCTGGGCGGCCTCGCAGCGGCGGTTGTCTGGTGGCGGCGGTGTAGAGTCTACCAGAGTCTGGAAGCGGCGGACTTTGATCTGGACTTGGGCTCGGAACATGAGTACGGGAGTGATGGGGAGGATGAGGAGGGCAGCGACGCCGGCGGGGAGGGCAAGGTGTTAAAGTCACCGGGGGTGGATGAGGACAGCCGTGCGCTTCTTCCCAAGGGAGGTTAACATTGAAGCTGTGCCGTCGTCCACAGGCGAATGTGGGAAAGCCTTCATCAACTTGCTTCTGTGTACTCTTTAAGCCTGCGTGTCTTCAATAATGATTTTGTTTTGATCAGCATGTTATTGATGCGAAGGCGAATTCAAGCCTCCCGGCTCGTAAATCCATGTAGATCCTCGAAAATCTGCTAAGTGGGATACAGCAGTCGGATATGAAATTTGATGGTAGTGTAGGGTTATCTTCGTGATTGAAATTGCTTGGAGAGTGATGTCACACTGCATCGACAGATATTACTTGCAAACCTGAGAGCGTGGTAAGGAAAGAGAAAACAAAGACCTTTACTACGAACGCTAGACACAGTTTCCACCGACACTCCATCAGTCCCCTCGAAAGCTAGGCAGTAATTTTCAAGAATAATAAGAAGTGGTAAAAAGAAAAAGCCTGGGGTCCGGAATCCGCAGTCCGGTTACGGCGGCCGGCGCCGCGTGGTAAACCAACCATGACATTACAATACAAGGAAGGTGGTGCGTGGAGCCTTCCCGATCAACTGATCTAATCTGATCCGAGCCCCCCTCCTCGATTGATCAATTGATCAATTGATCAATTAATCCGGGCTTGATTGCGCCACGGCAACTCTGAACTCGCAATTCACATTGTTTTATTTGCTCTTTGGTCACAGACAAGCTGACAAGAGGTAAGTGCAAGTGAGCCTCCAGGTACCAAACCGCAAAATGAGCAAAAACGATTCAATCCTTCAATCCGAGATTTTGCCGTAGTTGAAAAACTTTGCGTTACTGGGACGATTGCATTTCGCTGCGATTCAAGGTCAGCGCGGGAGGCGCCTCGATTGGGAAACTGCGCTCGTCCGCCCGCGGCGTGAACCCGCTCTAGCATAGTGGGGATTCACATTGAGATACCATATTGGCTACGATGAACAGGGTCTCAGATCCTTTCTCCCTCTCTCGTTTTTTGTACGGGCCTCGGACCGCTACCTGACACTACCACCACGGTAGCACCTTCTTCTAGACCTGGCCAAGCCCATTGTTTCTTTCTTCTTTGGGCCATCTACCCGCCACCAATGATCCGTCTTTATACTAATAGTGTGGACTTTCCGACTATCGGCCTGTGATTCCGTCCTCACTCAAGGGATGCCAACTAGAGTTAGTTATTCTCGGCTATTTGGACGGGAACGTTGTGAGTGAGTGCCGTGGGGATGAAATTGATGCATACGGGCGAGATAGCAACTGCCTTCTTGGTCAGAAGTTGTGGTTGTGCCACTGCTGCCATAACTCGCTCTGTCGCTCCATATTTCCTCTCGAGGAGGCCCCTTTCTTCCCAGAACCGTAGGCGTGTTGAGTCCATCTCGGCCCAGGGCAGCCCAAGAGCAAGGTGATTAAACCCCATCATTTGCTGATCATGCTGCCGGCTTCAATCCCAAAGGCTCTTGTACCGGACATAGTCGGAGTCGCGTAAGAGTCAAGGTGTTCTCCCAGGAGTTTTAATTACAACGTGTCTGGGAGGTTGGTCTAACGATACTGATGCAGTGGTGCCAGTGTATCGTCCGATATCGTTGGGTCAACACCCCCACTCTGTGTAATCCTGTCGCTTGCTCCTGTAGCTAGGGTAATTTTGAACCCTAATCAGCCGTTTCGAGCTGTAATATAAACCAAGTGGCTCCGCGAGGAATGCAACCATGATCATGTGTTTCCTTATCAATCAGTACTCTTTCTCAGTTGGGAATAGTCCCAACTTGTCGCCTCTTGCATGAGTCGAGTAGTGCTGGTGGCATTCCTTGACGCTGAATCCTCTCCGAATCGGTTGTGCCTCTTCGGCTGGGTTAAATACTTGACCTATCCCTCTGTGGGTTCCATTCTGCTGATTCTTACTGCACGCGACCTCGACCCGGACAGTCCTTGCTTGTCTTTTTACAATGACGTTTCTGAATAAGTTTCAGCAGATTCGGGGTGGAACAAGGGCCGCACAGGTCGAGGATTCGATTTCAGATGAAGATCGCATTGCGACAGTCCAGACGAATGTCGTGAGCAGCAAGGATGCTGGGCCCACCCATCCCGGTGCACCCACTGATGACCCCATCAAAGATGTAGAGAAGCCAAGCGAGGAGGCACAGTTTGGTGTCCAGAAGATCGAAGCTGTGACCATGGCTTGGTCCAAGGCGTCGTTGGCTACGGTGCTTATCCTGTACGCGATCGGCTATCGAAACTTTTCCGAGATAATTGTTTTCCAGCTGACACCTCTACTCGCAGCATCTGGCTATTGACGCTCGTCAACGGCTTCAAATCCACGGTGGTCAGCACTTTGAACCCCTTCATCACGAGCTCCTTCCAGGCCCACTCGCTTTTGACCGTCATCACGATCGTCGCGGGGTCCATCACCTCCGCGATCTACATTCCTATGGCCAAGATGCTGGACGTCTGGGGACGCGCAGAAAGCTTCCTCCTCATGATGGCTCTCTGCATCCTCGGGTTGGTCCTTATGGCCGCCTCGCATAACCTTGCCACCTATTGCGCCGCTGAGGTAAGACGGTCTGCCCACCCAGTCGACCACGGTCGCAGAGATTCCTAACCGCTAGATCAAACATTTAGGTGTTCTATACGATCGGTTTCGGAGGACTTAGCTACACATGGGACGTTCTCGCCGCAGATGTGACAAACCTCAGAAATCGAGGATTGGCATTCGCCTTTACGTCCTCTCCAGGCATAATCACTGCTTTCGCAGGATCCAAAGCTGGAGCGGGATTTTACGCCAACGTCAGCTGGCGATGGGGCGTCGGCTGCTGGGCCATTGTCTTCCCCTGTGTAGCGCTGCCACTGTACGCTGTTCTCGCGTGGAACCTGCGCAAGGCTCGCAAGGAGCAGATCGTGGTGCGTGAGAAGAGCAACCGAACCTTTTCTGAAACAATCTGGTGGTGCATCACAGAGTTTGACTGTAAGTCCTCATGCTTCTAACCTAGAATTGACTTGCCTCGCTTCCTGCTGATCCACGCACAGTACCCGGGGTCTTCCTCCTCGCCGCCGGTGTCGTCATCTTCCTCCTCCCGTTCACCCTGGCCACTACGGCACCGAATGGCTGGAAGACAGGCTACATAATCGCGATGATCGTGGTGGGCTTCACGCTGCTGGTGTTCTTCTTCCTCTACCAGATCTACTGGGCGCCCGTGCCCTTCCTGAAGAACCGCTTTCTGCTCGACCGCACCGTCCTCGGCGCCGTGCTCCTGGACATGACCTACCAGGTCTCGTACTACTGCTACGCGAGCTACTTCTCCTCTTTTCTGATGGTCGTCTACAACCTGGACGTGGCCACGGCGGGCTACGTGACCAACACCTTCAGCGTGGTCTCGTTCGTGTTCCTGTTTATTGCGGGCTACCTGATCCGGCTGACGGGCCGCTTCAAGTGGATCCTGTGGTTCTGCGTGCCCCTCTACATCTTCGCCATGGGGCTGATGATCCACTTCCGCCAACCCAACGGATACATCGGGTACATCGTCATGTGCGAGGTCTTCTTTTCGGTGTCCGGCGGCATTTTCATTCTGTGTGTGCAGCTGGCCGTGCTCGGGGTCGTCGACCATCAGCACGTCGCCGCCGTGCTGGCCTTCCTGTACGTGGCCGGCGGGATTGGCGGGTCGATCGGCAGTGCCATCTCCGGCGCCATCTGGACTAATACCTTCGAAAAGGCCCTGAAGCGGTATCTCCCGGCATCCGCGCAGCCGGACCTTCTCACCATCTATGAGAGTCTGCCGGCGCAACTGGCGTATCCGGTGGGGAGCGAGGAGCGACTGGGCATCCAGAAGGCGTACGGGTACGCGCAGACGAGAATGCTGGCGGCGGCTACCGCGTTCATGGTCTTGGGGTTCGTCTGGGTGGGTATGATGAGGAATATCAACGTCAAGAACATGACGCAGACCAAGGGGAATGTTCTTTAGAAAATGGCATTTCTTAAGGGGTGCTGAGAGCCAGTCGGTCACGTGACGAATATACTCGTTCGTCCCATCAGTTTGATGCAAGGGCAGTGTTTGGCAGGTGTTCCTTCTCTGAGCTACCGTGATCGGTGTAACATGCCCGAATTGCGTAGGGGCGATGAGAAGCTGGAAACTTGGTTAAGGTACTGTGCTGCCAGTTCGTGGTGGATTGATTGTAACTTGACCGTTGGGTTGGATCTTGGATGGGCACGCAAGGCTGTGAGATGCAGCTGCTAGCCCTAATCGGAAGGGAGTTGGCGACTAAAACCAGCGCAAAAGATGCTATAGGCTGGATGTGGCCCCTCATTAGCTTGGCAGTCGTATTTGCTGCCACACTCTTGATAATTCGCTGGTTTTTCGGACTGCGTGCGGAGTACGATGTACTTAAGCAGGATTGTCATCCCACCTGAGGCTCAGATCTGCCTCGACCCCGCCACAGCCACACTGCCTGTCTGTCAGCCTTCTCCATCACCGCCAGGCCAGCTCTCCATATGAAGCCACGGAAGCACCATCGCACATTCCACCCTCAACATGCATCACCCTAAACCCCTCCCCTTACTATGGACGGAGCCAGCGCCGTGCTCGCCTTCGCCCAGCTCGGCCTCAGCCTCGCCACCACCCTGAACACCTACATCGCCGACGTGCGTCACGGCCGCGACGACATCGCCAACCTCGCCAACGAGATCGAGGCGACCGTCTCGCACGCCCAGGAACTCGACCGCATCATCCAAGAAAACAAAACCACAGCGCGCTGGAGCGCCCACGGGCTGTTTTTGGCCAAGAAGTGTCTTCAGGATTGCCAGGATGTGATCCAGCGGCTATCGAGGCTGCTCCGCCGCTCAGGAGGTGGGGACACGATGCCCGCGGCGGCGGCGGGGGGTAGATCCGTTCTTCCTGGCACAACCACCACCACCACCACGTCGGCGAGCGACACAACGAGCGACAGTCGGACGCTAGTTTCGCGCACGGAAATTGATGTGTCGCTTTTTGGCCGCCTCTCGTGGCCGCTGTTCAAGCCTCAGCTGCAGTTTCTGAAGCAGGAACTGCAGAAGATTAAGATCGAGATGCTGCTGGCGCTGAGTACTTACCAGGCTAGTTCGACGTGGGTTGCCCTGGGACTCTCCTCCTTTTTCTTGTCCTCTCATCTTATCTTTCAAAATAAGTTGCGTGTTTGTATATTGTTGAAACCTTGCGTGCTCATGTTGGTTGGACTGCAGGTCAAAAGAAGAAGATCGGAAGGCGATTGTCGAGCGCATCATCGCGCTGTGGCGCTCGCGCACCGTCGCCCGTCGCGAGCTCGTCCTCTGTGGTCGCAGACTCGACCGAGCGACCCGGCCTGGTTACGGTGATGTTCCCGGACAGAATGATCGATTCACTACCTATATGAGTGAAGAACGTGGTGAGGAACCAGCGCACGAGTTGCCAAGGACCAGAGGCATCTCGCCCGAAAGCCTCGACCGCGCGTATGCTCGCCACCGCGGCCGGCGTCCGACACGAGACGCGCCTGATGATCTCGAGAAAGAGCGACCGTACATGTCTGGCGATGAAGCCTTTGAGGAGGGCAGATTCGAGCACCCTCGCGAAGTCAGCACCACGCAATATGGGCCGCCATACGCTCCGGAACCCGAGGACTCGGGGAGGAGGAACCCCGTCAAGCAAGCGATCGACTATGCCCTGAAGTTTGCGCTGGCGCCGGAGGACGATTCTCGAGCGTCGAAGCAGAGGATCTCGTCGCTGTGGAGCAGATACAAAGGCGATCCTGTGGCATTGAGACAGTATGTAGCAGCCGGATATTATTCATGCATATGAGACCCATCTACTTACCTCTGCATTCACAGACTCTTAAGAATGGTCAACACCATCCCAGCAACGCAACGCAACCCCACAATCCCACTCATCCTACAAGACTCCACCACTGCAGACGGCCTCGCCTTCACCTGGTCTCTCCTCATCACCAAGACCCCAGTCTCCTATACCGTCCACCCAGTCGACTACCCCCTCCCACAGCTCACCAAGCGCCTTGCCCGCGAAGAACAAAAGTCCGCCCCATCCGGCGCCCTAAACCTCGAAGCGTACGCAGCGCTGACCATCCTCCCGCCGGGATATCGAGACCTGATCACCAACTGGCTCATTCCCGACCCCTCCTCGCGCCACCACTGGATGCTCCTCGTCGTGGACCCGGTGTACCCACCCCCACCCCCGAAGGACAGAAAAGCCACCTGGCGCGACCGCCTCCGACTCTCGCGCCCAGACCCACCCCAAGACCACCCCCGCGAACCGGCAAGTGTGCTCGCCGTTTTCAAACGCTGCACGCAAGCGGATGCCCGCGGTAGCTCCCGCGCCGAGTTCAGCCCCTCCACCAAGAGATTGCTGGGCACAGTCACCCCCGCCGTGGCGGGCGCACTGATCGCGGCGCTGCGGGAGCGCGCGCGGGACCGTCGTCGCCCGGGTCGGGAATCCCGACCGCCTTCGCGCAGCCCTTCGCGGCCGCGGTCCAGATCTCGTTCACGGGTCTACGAGCGTGAGTCGTACCCGGCGGCCGGGGATGGGCCGAGTGCCCGGACGCGGTACCGGTACCGGCCGCGCGAGCGCAGCTATGAGCGTGAGGCACGGCCTATGCGCGCTGAGGATCCTCGGGCGGGCCCGGTGCCCGAGCCGCGGGTGTACGCGGAGGAAGTGTCGGACTCCGAGGGAGAGGTGAGCGGGGACGAGGGGGGCTCGAATGCGGAGCTGGCGGATCGGATCATGACGCGGTATACGGGGCGTGTGGTGGCGCGAGAGGGGAAAAGGCAGGATGGGGGAGGATGAGGTGGTGGTTGGCATGTCGGAGTTGTTTGTTTGCCGCGTGTTTGATGTTCCAGGTATAGATCTTGGTTTACAGGAGATCTGTGGTTCGATCTGTTGGCTTTGGGGGACAATGAAATAGCTTTGGGGTGAAATGCAGGCATCCTGCAAACAAGATGCTCGGGATCATGTGTCATCGGAGGTGTCTTGAAAGCGCAGGCGTAGCTCATCCTCTCATATCTCTCCTTGGCTTTCAACTTCTCTCCAATGAGAGCCTTCGTATCCACTGACCAGTACTGAGATACTATTCTCGAGAAGCCGGTGGGATCATCGCTCTGAGATGCTGAAAACCTGGGCTGAATATGGTCTCTGAAAATATTGAATAGACCTTTGGGACTATCCAAGGCATGGAAGTACCAGAAATTCCCAACTCCCCACCCTCGCCTCATGGTGTTTGTCCGATAGGCGGAGACATTGAAGAGAGGTGGGTAACGCTTCTCTTCCTCCTGAAATATGTCCACGAACTTGCCGTGGGCCTCGTTGAATGTGTTGAGATGTTCCCCGAGGATGTCGTCAACGGGCCGGCCGGTCAGCCAGTACGGGGGACGTAAAGTCTCCACTGGCAGAGAGCACGTCCACTCCAGGTCAATCAGGTATCTGATGTGCCAGTCCTTGTCGACAAAGATGTTGCTTTGATGGAGGTCGGTGAAGTGCGGAAGAAGCGCCCGCATCATGGTCAAATTCGCCATTTGGGCGCGTCCGTCGTCCTCATCATGCATCGAGTTGGGTTGATGTCGTAGACGGCTGTCGTGGCAGGATAGAATATCATGGTAGTAGGAATCAGCGGAAGTATAAGTCAAGTTGCGGTCCACATTGGTAGGAATCCCAGCATTCTCCAACTGATGCAGGCGAAGGGTGAGCGGACGGTTGGTCAGTTGCAGGACTCCGTTTGTGTCGATCGTCCAAGAGCCGATACGGAGGAGTGGGAGTTGGCTCAAAGACAACATTATGCGGGATAAGTCCCGGTACAGGTTGGTTGTTCTGTCGCCAGCGTGTGAAAGTTTGTTCCAGGTTTCCGATAGCATTTGAACTCCTGGCTCGTCGATGTAGTCCATGACGAGGTAGCCGTGGTCTAGTATGTGTTGTCGACGGTGGCTGATATATGGGCAGGGCAAAGGACGGTCCAACAGCCACGACACGCATCGCTTGGCGTACCAGAAAATCTTCGCCATGAAAGACATGTGTTTGGGTATACTGAACTGCGTAGGATACCTTATTAGCCTCTCCATTAAGCTGAAATGCATGGCTTGCCTACAGTCTGACCACCAGGGAACCCAAACCCCCACAGCCGAGGAATCGGGATGTCAAGCTACTGCTGACCTATCCAGATAAAGGTAGCGGCCTCAGAGCGGAGCCTCTCATCCACATTGCCTGGATTTAAAGCCTCGCCTACTTTGTACGGTAGAGGGAATCGGATCATCACGCGTTTGGGCGACTGCTTTGTCCGACTTTCGATCCGAACCGGGATGCAGACGTTGAAACTGCCGTGGATCCACTCCTTGACCTCTTCCACGAAGCACTGCTCCCATCGACTTGATTGTAGATGGTCCGCGACGAGCATTGCGATATCTTGGCGGCGGCTGTATAGAGATACGAAGAACTCCATTCGGGACTTGGGGAAGGATAGCTCGAGCAGCATATCTTCTTCCTGGTCCAAGGCTTCATCTAAGGTTATCGATCCCCGAAGGAGTGGGAGGACTGCGGCTCGAGTACTCATCACGTTGCATTAGGGTCGGATGCTTTATATGTGGAGTGGCAGGCAAGTGTCCGGGGCGTGTTGAAGATAGCGATTCGTTTCAGGGGGTGCGATCGCAGGGATGTCCCGGGTCACCTGACTATGCATGAAAGCTTCACGTGATCAGGTGCACAACAAAGACTACAACATCTGTCTCATTTACGGATTTGTGCTTAGTCGATTGTACAGGGCAATTGAGGGGGTCCCGAGTAGCCTCTAGGTAATGCATTAGTTAGGTTTTCCATAGGTAGCCGAACTTCGAGGCTCGCGACCCGACAATGCCAATTGTTGCGCCTAGGGCTGTAGCTTTGGATTTCCAGATTAAAAACTTGAAGACTGCACACCTTACGTATCGAAGCTAGTGATGATCATCATGCAATATTTATGGTGTGAATCTTGTGAGCATACTGGCAGCTTAACGATCCTGTCCATGCCTCCATGCTTCCATACTCATTGTGAAGCCTAATGGCTGGGTTATGGTTGACAATCGAAGACTTGGTAAATCTGGAGATCATGGCATTAAATCATATCTGCAATCAGGCTCAAGGCTGGCGGTTAGGGCTGTAGCTGCATGGTCTAGCGTGATCCGGGCAAGTCACAGGAACAACGGACCTACGTCTAGATGCGATTTAGCATGCGGTTCTTAGATTTTCAAAAATACGAACATTGCTACATACACGCTCAGCTGACAACTTATCTAAAGCTCTGAAAGTAACTGGCATAGTTCTATATCCAAGCCCGACCCAGCCAAGAAGTTAGAACGGCCAGCATGATGCACCGGCAGATCGAAGGGTTTCAAAAAAATTAAACAGCCTTAAAGGTGCCACCAAGCAAAAGAAAAAATCGTATTATGTATATGTGATTATGGTACTGTGAGTAGTGTAACTGGTGAAGAGCAAGATCCCTTCTATAAAAGCTTCACCTTGTATGACAAAAACGTAGCATTGAGTACATAGTCCATCTTATGCTAAAGCACAAGCTCGGGGTCCGAGTAGTCACCTTCGTCATCTAAGTCTTCCCAGGCCTCCCTGTAGTCGAATCGACACAAACGCTCGCAGCCCTCCTCGCAGCCCTCCTGGAAGCCCACGTGGCGGCAATCGGTGCACCACTCCCGCTCGAAGAACCGCAACCGCTTGATACTTTGTTGTCCCCAGTTCCGATGCAGATAACTCCAAATCCAGAAATGGAACTCCCCATTCCTTTCAATGTCACCTCTGTTCTTCCATCCGTGACGCGGATTGCTCGGAATAGCCTGCCAGTACCCGATGACAGTTTCCGGGGTCAAAGGGGGCAACCCGCGAGGATATCGCCGACACCATTCGTCCCATGGCCATTTCAGGGATAGCCAGGACGCTTGGTGACAGATGTTCCAATGATGCCAGTTTCGGATGCACCACCTTTCCAGACCGGGATCATGGAGCGTGATCGCCTTCGGACATTCGCGCAGCGTCAGGAAAAGCTCCCGGTGGTGCATCGGAAATGTGCTCGTCGAAAGCCGGCTCGCGCAGCCCAAGCGAAGCATGGCCGCGGTGTCTCCCGGCAAAAGGTCCAAGCGGGTGTCCAGAAAGAACTGCATGTCGCGTATCGTACCGTCGAGATCGTCGAAGAGGGGGACCACGTCGCGGTAGTGCGGGTCCCGGCTGAGGGGGCCATCGTTGTAGGTCTCGTATCCGTTGTTGAGGATGAAATCGCGACCGTAGTTTATGAAGCCCCAGTCAATCGCACGATCCATGCGACGGGATGAGGGGATTAGTCGGAGGCTTTTGACATTGCACAGCCGACAAAACGGGAGAAAGACGACGTTGTGGTCTGGTTGGCGGGTCCCAGGATATGGGATGCTCTCCACTGCGCGACCGGCGTTCTGCCAATCGCTTCCCTTATGCTCCTTGAGGTCAATGGTGATCGACTTTATTGTCGCGGCTTCGAGAAAGCTTGTGAGATTCCGGATATTGTTCCATAGAAGGATGATCTGCCCGGGGTCGTGCGGATCCGGTGCGTAGATGTGAATTTGGAGATTGGTCTTGTGGTACGGGAGTCGAGAGAAGCGATCGCGGATGGCAGGGGTGGAGTAGGGTATTTCCCAGTGCAATCGCAGTGCCTTGCAGCGAATCTCAAGCCGAGAGCTATGCCATGATGGTGTCAGGTCGATGTCAAGGGTGTCATAGAGGCGGCCAGTGATCTCTTCGTAGATCGCGCGAGAGCAGCACAAAATGCTCACGGATGGTGTCGGCTTCCAAAATAGTCTTTCGTAAATCTCCAGTCGAAGCTCCAGGGGCAACACGCCCAGCTGTCCGAAGGGAGATGGCGGCATGCTTTGTAGCGGATTAAGGACTCGAAAAAAACGACAGTAGTTGTATGGGCGCCTCTGCGCCGTTGATTTAAACAGAGATAGCTTGTAGATACTGAGAAGTAGGAGGGAACAAGTGGCAGTTAGCACTTGGTCTCTCGAAATGAAGATGCCTCGCGTGGTTGAAAAGAGATGATCTGCTGAAGTGCTGAAGTGCTGTAGTGCTGAACAGCAGAGGTTGTGACGAGTGAGTGCGAAGCATTGATGTTGAGAGAAAAAAGGTAAAGAAAATCGAGAAGGGACAGTGAGGTGCCGCTGACTCATGGGCGCAGTCGTCCTGCGGGATCAAATTCCGGCTGCGCAACATACTACTAGGTACTAAGTGACATGGTGACATGGCAGTTACCCAACAACGCCATCATAGACACTATCCCACCAGTGAAGCGGCAAGCATGACCAGCCCACCCAGCCCATCCATACCGGAACACCAATCCTCCCAGGTCGCAGCTTCCCTGGCACTAGCTGGCCTCTGCAGAGCCACTGTATCTTGGCAATAGACCTCGTTCACACTGAGCTGCACAAGCTCGCCATTGGCCGCCATGCCATACTCCTTCCTGAATGCAGGCCCCCTTTCAACCTCAGTCTTCCAGGCAAGCTCGTCGCCCGCTTCCCACAGCTGTCTTCTGGCCGGAAGAGGGGATAGAACGAGATCTGTGGGATGCTCGCACATGGCGGCTGGGTCGAAGTACACCAGCATGCTCACGACCTGGTAGATCACGCATAGCCTTGGCGAAGATCAGTATTTGCCTTCTACTCCAGGCAGGGGTCCGCAAACCTTCGCCTGGATTCCTCAAAGAGCCAGTCGTTCCACGACACACAAGTTTGGTCGCTCCTACGCTCTGCTTCGGTGTTGGTGGTAAAGCTGCTTTCGCCGACCTGTCGGGCAATTACCTGCTCTGAACATTAGAGCTCGACCATGGACAATGGACTATTGGTGAGGCCTACCGTCACTGTCGAGAGCAACAAAAAATCGACATTATTGTGCTCTGTCTCACCCTCTTCAAGTCTCATGATAATATAAATGGAGAGAGCCTGCATCGCGGCAAGTAGTTCCCATTTGTTCAGCTTCGCGTGCTTCATGCTTCAGTCAGTGACTCTTCCGTCCCATAACAGAAAGATTGATCTGCAGACAGCGTACCTCCGCATGCAGTCGCTCACATTCCCAATGAACGTTCTTCCAAAATAACTTGCGATTGCCTCTCGCCGGTCCACTGGTCATATGCACGAGACTGATGCAGTTGGTCAACGGCTCCATGTCCTCGCTCTTGGCATCTAGACGGATCAGGTGGGGATGAATGAAGGGGGGAAGGATGCTGTCACGTAGCATCATCTTGGTGTAAGACCTCAGGGTGTGTAAAATCAGATTCGCGGACCTCTGTGCTCCCACATTCAGTCTCGGACGCTGCAACAGCGAGCGGATGTTCTGAGCTGGGGCCATGGGAACCCACAAACTTGGCGTGAGCTGCTTCTGTTCCATCGGAACTCTCGAGCCAACAGCCTCTGGCAGAGACTCTGGGGACGGGTATTGACCGGTCTCGGTGCATATTATAGGATCGAAAAGATTGTTGGGGCCTGGTGTTGCGTGACCGGCTCCAAGCAGAATTTGGTCGAGAAACCCGAGGTCCAGGCTCGATCCAGCGAGCCCAGTTTCCGCATACATCGCTACATCATCGCTAGTTTCACATACACAGTCTGCGTTAACAGTCTGATTGGACACATCAGGTGTGATCGATTGGCTGGTCCATGCATCGTCCTGTTCATTTCTGCGTCGTGCGTCTCGAGGAGTCCGAGCTGGATACTCGCACTCAATGGCCGTTATCACGCAACGGGAGCATCTCGGATGCTGCTGATCGCAACGCGCCTTTCTCTTCGCACAGGCCATGCAAGCGCGCGAACGCGGTGAATTTTCGTTCTTCCGTGACCGACAGTAATACCCATGCCTCTTGAGCGTAGATTCTGCAGGGTCCTAGTGTCAGGCAGACGTGCGGTACATAGTTTCGGGACGGACACTTACCCTTGTCGAAGGGCTTGTTGCAGCGCCCGCATCGTAATACAGTAGGAGCCAAGTTCGGTCTCTGCATATTTTCTTTTTTTAAATTCAACTTGCACCGCATGAGATACTGAATTCGATGGGCGGAGCCTATCTAAGTATCTTGAACACTTGTTGCATTTGTCAGCGATCTTGGTAAGCGGTAATCCTGCAACGGAGTTAGGGCTAACTGCTGAGCTGGAGCCAGGCGGGACCTGCCTGATTGGGAAAGGACTGTCGGGCGGAACATTTTGTCAACCTCAGGCGCCAAGGCGGAAAATCTCTGTATGCTTCACCCTCCAACCCGATAAGATGCCCTCTATTCGATTGCGGAGTCCTGAGGCTACCGAATTAAGACGCGATACTCGTGATGAAGTTAGATGAGACACTTCGTTTCTTATCTCGGGGAGGCAATTTTGTCAATACTGTCGATTTTGTAGCCATGCCTAACAAACGCACCCGAAGTGAAAGAAACATAAAGACTGGGTTGTCAGCATTTAGTAGTTCTATGATTAGGGATCAGCATCAACGTGCAGTACTTGCCATCGGTCTTCCCGCTACCCCTCGTCTTTCTTTTGGTTCGACAAGAACGAAAATAGCGATCTACAATGGCACCCTTCCCCTCCCCAACCGCCGTGTGGCACGACAAAGCCTACCCGGAGATCTCCCCCTCGCGCCCCGAACTTTCCGCGCACGGGAAAACCATTCTCATCACCGGCGGAGGCACCGGCATCGGTGCCGAGACCGCCCGCCGCTTTGCTCAAGCCGGCGCCGCCCGCATCGCTCTCCTCGGCCGCCGTGAGCTGCCTTTGCTGGACACCAAGGCCTCGATCCAGCGGGAATTTCCGGCTGTCGAGGTCTTCACAGCCCCCACGGACGTCACCCGCCAGAGCGAGGTCGACGCCGCCTTCAGCCAGTTTCTCAGACCCGGAGGGCAGATCCATGTCCTGGTGAGCAACGCGGGGATGATCGGCCCCATGGTGCCTGTGGCCGATGCCCCCGGCGAACAGGCCCTAGACGCCATCCAACAGAACCTACACGGCGCGTGGTGGGTGGCGCAGGCGTTCTTACGCTGCGCAGCGCCCGGCGCCGTCATCATCGAGACCTCCTCCAGCGCGGCCCACGTGAACTTCGGGCCCGGGTTGGCCCCGTACAGCGTCGCCAAGATGGCGGTGTTCCGGTTGTGGGATGCGGTCGGGTTCGAGAATCCGGAGTTGCGCGTGTATCATGTGCAGCCCGGGGTCGTGGACACGGCGATGAACCGCGAGGCTGGGGGCATCGAGGCACTCGGATTCGAGGATAATGGTATGTTCCTGCTTTTTCTTTCTTTTCCCCTTTTGTTTTGTTTTCTTTTTTTTCTCTTTGTCGACCACAAGATGAGAAACTCCGGCTCAAGAAGAAAGGACGGCCAGCTGACTTGGTAATTCTCTTCCGCCTACAGTGGATCTACCTGCGAGCTTCTACGTCTGGCTGGCCAGCTCCGAGGCGCAGTTTTTGCAGGGCAAGTACTTGTGGGCCAATTGGGATGTGAGCGAGCTCAAGCGGAATGCGGAGGAGATTCGCTCTACCTCGCGACTGGGCATTCAGCTGGGCGGGTGGCCGTTCGCAGATGATAGCTGGAGGCTTAATTGGGAGTCTGAGAATGTGTAAGGGTGCACCCCGGCCCCGGCCCTGGATGGCCACCTGGCAGTCCCAGGTGGGTAGCCAGGCTGAGGGCTCACTGCGGGGCTCCTAGGACTCTGCGGTAATCAACCCTCCCATCCCGCTTGCTGGAACCGGAAATTTCGCCTGTTATCCATTATTTAGCCCTGGCAGTTCTGTCTGAAGATTCTTCGTTGTGGGTAGGACACGGAATTTCCTCTCTTCACTCTAGCCTCCCTTGCCTCGTAAATGCACCGCATGCTGGTGTGCATGGCTTCAGGGCTTAGCAGGGTTGTGGAGGCACCCTGCCTGTTGTCATTGGCGTCCGATTCCCTACTATCTATGCCTCCTATAGACAGCACAGTAACACCGAGAAAATGCCCAGTGTTGGATTGTGATAAGATAGGCACTTTTCGCTCCCGCTCTCCCTCCGTTGTTTAGAAAGCTTGGGACTGGGTGTCCGTTTCCAAGGAACCGCAGAATGAGCAAGCAAGCCTCGCCCTATACAAATGAGGTGTGAAGCTCGTAGAGGGACTGCATGTCTAGACCATTGGAAGGTCAGTGTCACTCAAAACAACACCTCGTGTCCACGCAAATGTATATCAATGAAGTCATTACAAGACTGGTTGAACAACGTGCAGACTTTAATGTGTGTGCAGATGGAGGCCTTAGAGGAGGTCGTCGAGGAACTATGCCTGGAGTGCGCTCCTCCAAACAAAAGCCATCGACTAGAACGCTTGCGGCACTTTCAAGCGGATTTACGGGGCTTTGTGGGGGAGTGGGATTGGCTGGCTGACAATGAGTTGGCGCGCTACTTTCATAGTCCGTGGTCGCGACGTGAATGGGACCAACTGCGTTAGGACTTGAAGTTTATAAGGCAGTCTTTGGTTCAGGAGCTTACTGACTCGGTCTGGAACAGGCTCTACGCCCATTTTGATCGGTTCCGGGACGTGTTACGCGCTCGCGGCCGCTCAAAGCGCTTCAACGACATGCTGCAGGAACGCCTTGCCGGGTCATACCAGAGGGCCGCCAATTTGCGTCTCCCGGAAGACAACCGCGTCCAGCTCATGTGGTTCCTTCACGCAGCCTGTGAGGCTCGATACCCACGGGCCGACCCCAGGCTCCGGGTGCAGATCAGCAACCTCATATGGAGGCGTCGCAGAGTCATTACGCGTCAATCAAGCCACCTTCCGCCCGCGACGCTCGACTTCACTCGCACCATTGAGTTTCCTCCGATCCCCGGGATGCTAGCTGGTAAGCACTTCATTCGGTGTCCTTACTGTGAGCACCGATTTCTCCGCGATCTTAGTCAATCGAAGTGGAGACGCCACCTGATAGACGACCTGCGGCCGTATATTTGCATGTGGGCGCTGTGTCCACACACGTTCGGCTCCATTGACGCTTGGCTCAACCATCTCAAGGACGCCGATGCCCACCCTACGAAGCTTCTGCCTTCATTCTTGAACGAATGCCCCTTCTGTGGTATTCCTTGCGCCGATTCCCAGTGGTCCTCGGTGGAGAAGCTGCTGAGACATATTGCAGAACATCATCTGGAGGAACTTTTTCTGTTGGCACTTCCGGGGGGGCCGACGGATCTGTTCTCGAATGTCTTTCTGAGAGAAGAGAAGATTAGCCTGGAGCCTTACGAGGCTCCCGAGGTTCCTGAGGCTCATGAGGATTATCATAGGCCTTTCGGGAGCCCAGAGGATGATGAAGTCGAAGAGAGTGTTGATACAGAGGCAGACGACGGCCTGACCTCTGAGGGATTCCGCTCTCCTCGCTCCTTGATTTAGCGAAGCCTCGTGTTGACTCTAACTACTCCATCTCTCTTTCGAAGTGCCGGTAGAATGCACCTAGACGTTTTGTGCCCTATGTCGGGAGACAGAGCGAGGGTTGGGGAGAGCTGACACGCAGAGCTCTATTTCTTTACGATAAATTATTATTTACTCTGGTGATATTTATACTACCATTGCAGCTACCATTGCAGCGCTTTACACTCCCAAGACCTGAAAGTCATGTGTGGAGCTGGTTGGTTCCCTTGCCGGAAAGCGGGACAAAAAGCCGGTGAACCTGTCCCGGTCCTCCACACGTTCTCCGCTCCGACATAGCGATGTACTCATCGACACAGTGGAGCGGCCCCAGAAAACTACCCCAAGCATGGGAACATGATTACAGGCAAAGGGAAGGATGGGAGGGGAGTCTGTCTCCCTTATGCCATCAACCGTGGGGATGAGCGGTCCCTTGGTGTACCCCTCCCGTCTCTACCGTTTGTACCCTCGCGGCCGCCGGCCTCCTGAACAAAGAACTGCATCCAGGCCCTCACTTTTCCCGCTCTGTGATCTCCACAATAGCGGCGACTCTGGTGAGAAGATACCGGAGAGCATATTGAGTTTATTATGCTATGTTGTCTGTCAGATGTGGTGAAGACTGCCGATAGATGGGCGGATGGGCACGGATAGCATTGATGTGTTGTTGACATCCACCTGCCAAGATTGATATTTCCCTGACTGTCACTACTATGTACAGCGGATGCTCCAAAGTGGCGCCTCTGGAGCAGCTGCGTGAGTCAGACGAACGCCGCAAGTAGAGAGCAAAACGCGACGCCAACCCCTCAGACATCGCGCCTCTTTGCTCCGGCCTGCAAACGAGGTCAATGCAGCCTCCCCCTTCTATTCGGGTCTTGCGTGGTCTCTACTCTGCCTTGCGCAGCTACAGAAGAAGAGAACGAATGTGACAAAATGCATATAAACAGACATAAACATTCCCTAGTCATCAGCATCAGCAATGTGGAGAAGGAAAACAAGTCGATTCCCATATCCTATTCTTTCTGTTGGGCGCTGACAACCACTCCCCAAAATGGCGAATTTCAACGCAAACATCAATACCATTTCTACATATTTGGACGAAACCAAAAGGGTGGGCCGCGACGTCACCATCAAGCTTGTAGGCTGGTTTGTATGGTTGCTCGGAGACCGGTCAATCTTGGAAGCGCAGAAGAGACTCTTGCGCTCCAAGAATGATGCAGAAGCTGCTGAGGCTTTCAGAAAGGCACTCTTGAATGACAACTGATTGCTTGCGACAAGCGTAAGTGAAGAGTGATGGCATCAATGTGGTTGGCGTGGTCTCTGGAACAACACTGATCGCAATTAGAGCTCTATAATGAATTTGTCGTGCGTCAGCACGACAAATTGGCGGATTTGCCTCCCAGCGGGAGAGTTGCATCGACGGAACACGTCTGTTTGTGTGCTGCAAGATCGGGAAGTGAAACAGTTTAGCCAGCCTTCACATCTGTTGGAAAGTCATGTTCTGACTTCCACCTCCCATAGACAGCCAGTGTCATGCCATCGCCTCCACCGGTCGGTGTATGGTACCCTGAATTGTCATGAACCGTTCAACTGTCTGCCTTCTCCTCCTCAGACGGCGTACGGAGTACCTCGCACTTGACGGCGTCTCTTCCAATTCTCCCTGCGCGTTGGGGGGGATCTTCCCCCGTCGAAGCACCTGCTCTGCGTTCTCCATGCTATCTTCGCACGGTCGCCCGCAGAACTACTCGCAGTGTGAACCAGACTCAGGAGGGCAGTCATCGGCGGTCAAGGGGAGTGAACTATCCTGCCGTTCATGGACGGACTCGCATTTGATGCTGTCTGGTTGTTTTGGGCTGGCCTCCCCTCTATGCATCGCCTTCCATCGTCCTTCAATCAACTTCACTTCTTGCGTTGAACCGGTATCTGCCTCCACCATCGATGCACCTCTCCATCCTCGCAAGTCCAAGTTGCTGGTCCCCAGCCATCGCTTCACCGATGACGTCTAGAAACACCTCCCCACGCTGAGACCTTGTTGAGGCCATCCATCCTCACACAACCCCAAGAATGGTTGCACAAAGCCACGAAGACCAGGCAGCACACCCAAAATGTCCAGTCCCACGGTTACTCTACCCATGCGCACGCACAGTGTACAGTAGCTACAGTAGCTAGCTAAGTACGGTCCGAGCCGAGCTACCAAGACCAGCGAGCCGGGTGGAATGTGGGTATTTTCCTTGAGGGGCAAGCTGCTTGGGTACTGTACATTAACCATCTCTGGCCCTAGATAGGTAACTACGAGGGTACTACCTTGCCTGTTCTCCTTCCATCCCGCTGAAATCCACCCATTGTTCAAAGCGACCGAATCGGTCGGTTGAGTGGAATAGCACCTCTTCTTCTGAGGCTCCAACCTAGTAACTTACAGTACCTTACTTCCTGGTAGCCACTCCTTCCTCTGATACCTCCTTATGTTCTTCGCAGAAGTATGAATAAGGTAACCTCGCCTTGATCCATTATTTCGAAATCTTCATCTACCCCTCGCGATCAGTGAACGAACAGCTTCATCCTTCGTCCTTCCTAGGTTTTCTTGCTGCAGGACTACCTCAGGTATCTGCACGGGGCGGTGAGCTGGGACCAATCCGAGGCCGGAGACTGCAACAGGATTCTGCCACTTCGAGTGAGGGCTACTAGTAGTGCCTCGTCGTCAGTCGATCCACCAGACGACGAAAGCTATCGTGATGGTGGTGGTGGTGGCTGTCGTCGTCGTCGTCGTTGTTGTTATTGTCTTCCGGCAAGGCGGCCGCGGAGGGATGCTTGACAAGAACCTTGGCCACCCACCAGTACTCAACCGCATGGATGATGAACCCGGCCCGTTCCGTACTGGGTGAATCCGACGCGCCGCGGCCCAGGTCATCCCAGTGGGCCTTCCATCGGTCCAGGCCCCGGTCGACCGCATCGAAGATCCCGGGTTCGTCCGTGAGGGCGTGCAGGGCCAGCAGATCGAACAGGACACATTGGAGTGCTGCCGTATTTTGTGAAGTTAGTCAATCACGCGAGGGGCGAAGCTTACGGGGTCGGGCCGGTCCCACTCACCCGACAGAACGAGGAACGATCCAAAGACCGTGCTAGGGAGGTAGGCGTCACGGTGCGGAGCGCGACCTTCGGCCCGCATCAGGGCGCGCAGGACGGATCGGACCCGGAGGGGCGCACGTGACGGCTCGCTGGGGATGCCGACGAGCTGCTCGAATTCGGGGGTATCGCGGGCGTGGAACAGGTCGTCCCGCTCGGGGATCGCGAAGAGTACCTCCTCGAGCCGGAGCTGGGCTGGGTAGCGGAAGAAGATCACGCAGTAGCAGTCCAGAAGGTAGATGCCGGCCATGACCCTGATGCAGCTTAGTCAGTTTGGGATGCACTCTGTAGAGGGGTCAGAAGCCACGGACCGAACCAGCCCCTCTCGGAGCAGATACGCGTCCCGGCCAGAGATGCGGGGAACGCAGTCATTCGCGATCCGGTTCAGGTTCAGCATGCGGATGGCGGTGAAGAGCGCCGGTAAGCGCTGCAGGCGCATTCGCCGAATGCTGTCCGGATTCTGCTTGTACGCCTGCAGCGTCACAACGAGCATCGTGGCTTGGAGGGTTTCCAGAGTCCTGGGGTCGTTCAGGGCGTTGAGGCCTGGATTCATTAAGTGCTGGAAAGACGGGCCGCTGAATATCAGGTGCTCGGTTACGCTTGAGTACGTTTCTAGATCACTGCCATTGTAAGGGGAGGTGTACACCGCTCCGAGGAGCACCATGGTCAGGATAAGAAGCGTCGATGCTTCGCCCAATCGAAAGGTTGCGGGGTTGATGAAGTGATTGTGGAAGGCGTTGTCGAAAAACGCTTCAAGAAATCTGGCGATGTTCAGCGGCGTGAAGAGCTGTTTCGCGCTGTCGAAATCCACCAAGTGATCTGGTGGAAGACACTGACCATTTTGCAACAGAGATAAAATCTCGGACGACGTGTGTTCGAGCTCTCCCAAGTCAAACCGGTCCCCGGGAGCAGGGTGTATGCTGCAGGAGGGATCCAAAGTAGCAGTGTTGATGAATGATTTGAACAGGCTTTCCCAGGATTCTGTGACGATGTGGGGGTGGTGGGATTGATGGTTCACCGCACAGCATGCGGATCGCGAGTCTGCGGGGTTGCACTGAGACAGCAGTCGGAGACTCTCGTATCGTGATTCGTTCTCGACATCAGTGTAGTGCAAGAGGAACGGTATGGACAGTTTGACAGACTGAGAGATGGGAGCCGCTGGACTTGATGTAGCAAGGCTCGCCGGCGACTGCTGGCCTGGAGGCTCGTTGGGAGAGATGGATTTTCGGGAAAGGCTATGCGGACGAGTGAATGAGCATTCCAGGCCCCTTTGCAGGCAGGCCTCGCACGGGCAGTCCCCGTCGCAGAATGATCGAGCTGTAGCGCAGGAATTGCAGGCCGTTCGCTTTCTTCCCGCCTTGCCGGGATCAGAAGGGTTCTGGTCGCCAGCATTGTGCTTGCATGTTCTGAGATGGCGACGTAGAACGTCCCTGGGTGTAGAGTAAAGTTAGACGAATGGACCCCAGTGGATCTAGGGTTATTAATACCTTCTCCGATAGGCACCACCACAGTGGTTGCAAGTGAGCTTGGTCACCGGCGCATCTAGCTAGGGTTCAGATTTGCCGGAGGACTAATGCAAGGGTGGAGTGGCTTACGGCTGGCTTCATGTCGTCGGAGGTGGCTCTTAGTGGTGAATACTTTGTGACATACACTACAAGCCACTGTAGTCTGTGGGTCGCATGTCGAAACTGTTTGAAACTTGTGATTGACTGGAACCTGGGATACCGTCGAGGGCATAGTAGCAGGAGCAGAAGTGCATGAGGGGGAAAAAAAAGAAAGAGCGGAAAGAGGAAGACAAAGACGGCTGGAGGCAAGTGAAAAAGCCCAAGTGGGGCCCGGCGGGAAGACCTTACTACTTGCGGAATTCTAGTCGGGAAATCCCACATGCTAGTCGGAAAACCCACATCAGATTGTATACTACACCATCCCCTCCTACTTGCCAGTTCCATAAACCCAGCAGCAGATATTATACAGTCCTTAGTGAAAACGTCCCTCCGTTATCCCCACAACATGCATCTGTTACGCATAAGCTCTGCACGGGTGATCAATTATGGTAGGCCGATCTCGAAACCGTTATGGATTGCAGCTGACCTCCCTCGTTTGGCATTCAGAAGTGGCATCCCCATGCCTTCAGTCGCGCGCGCACCCAACTCGCCTACCGCTTCCCCCTCGCGCATTCTACTCAGTCAAGTCTTTCCACCACTCGAACCATACAGAAAACAGCACCCCTTCACCATCCACCTCTCTCTCAACCGAAAAACGACCCATGAACCTAGCCGAGCACGTTCTGTACGCAACCACCCTACCTCCCTTAGGATCTCAGGGCTGACCTCCGCAAGCACCACCTTCGACCAGATCGTCAACTGGGCGCGACAGGGCTCTCTCTGGCCGCTCAGCTTCGGGCTCGCCTGCTGCGCCCTCGAGATGATGCACGTGTCGATGCCGCGCTACGACCAGGACCGGCTGGGGATCATCTTCCGGGCGTCGCCGCGGCAGGCGGACGTGATGATCGTGGCGGGCACGGTGACCAACAAGATGGCGCCCGCGCTGCGGCAGTGCTACGACCAGATGGCCGAGCCCCGCTGGGTGATCAGCATGGGCAGCTGCGCCAACGGCGGCGGCTACTACCACTACAGCTACAGCGTCGTGCGCGGGGTCGACCGCCTCGTCCCCGTGGACGTGTACATCCCCGGGTGCCCGCCGACGGCCGAGGCCACCCTCTACGGGGTGTTTCAGTTGCAGAAGAAGATGCGGCGGACGAAGGTTACCCGGATGTGGTATCGACGGTGAAAGTTGTCGCTGATGGATGGAGAGTGGGCCCTTTTTCTCCCGTTGGTGTTATTTATGTGTTTGGTATTGTGGTGTTATACTCAGGTTGCAATGTTGAGTAGCCGGAAGAGTCACGTAGCTGGACAATTGTACTACATCTGCTTACTCGAGCTCGAAATGTTTCTGGTGGGTGACATACTAAGCTATACGAGTTGTTTATTTGCACAAGATGGAATGAGAAACATTTCAAGATACAGTCGGGATTGACACATGTTGATTGAGAATGTGGCAACATTAGAGTTCGAAACAGGATCCAAAAATGTTTTTCAGTAGGAAGGTAAGATTAGTCGGTAAAGCCAGTCCAGCTTTGTGGCCCTGGATCAAAAAGTGCAAACGGTAAGCAGAATGAAAAGCCTGGGTATCATGAATCACCGGAGAATGGCAGAGCCTTGACCCGTTCAGTACTCCGTACATACGTATACACACCTTCAAAACCAGCCCTAACCTACCTGCGCCCACCCTCTTCCGCACACTCCCAGCACAACCCACATCCCGCTATGCACCTCTACCCGGGACTATAAATATCCTCATTCTCAATAACAAGTCGACGATCCAACCGCTTTAAAGCAGACAACCTCTCCGCAAACCGCTCCAGCGCCCCCGGGAACACCCTCGCACGGTCCTTGAACACCACCTTCTCGACATTCGGGAAAATCGTCTACATGCCCCAAAGGTCACCTTGTCAGCTCATCCGCCATGGCTATCAACCTTCCCACGAGTCGTGGGTAACGCAACGCACCGGAATCTCCCCAAACAACGCCTCCCACTCCGCATGCCGCACGCAGTACGTATCCGGCCACGACTCGAACCGCGGATCGATCTCCAGCACCTTGACCCGGCCGCCCCGCACCGGCGGCACGCACGACAACTCACCCCCTCCCGCCCCGGGACACACCAAGGTGACAGACTCCAGCCGCGGGAACTCGACCTCGCGCAGTGCGGCGCCGTACCCCTGCGCGACCGGCTCGGAGACGGTGACGAGGCGGGCGCGCGTCACCATCGCAGCGTACATCTGTCGGCGCGCGGGGTCGGCGATCCGCACCAGGCGGTCGGGGAGGTCGTTGCTGCTGTGCGATGAGTCGAGGTCGTCGCGCCAGAGCATGGGGAGGGTCACGGCTGACCAGGGGCGGTTGACGAGGGCGCAGCGGTACAGGGCGCCGGTGCGCGTGTAGTGGTATCTGGTTTCGGGCTCGTCCGCGTCCTCGTCGCAGAGGATGTCGGAGACGGAGCCTTGGTCGTCGCAGTCATCGGTGGATGGGGTGGGGGTGGGGGTGGATTCTCGGAGTCGGGGTGCGCGCGTCACGGGCCAGGTGTTGAGCGTGTCGGCGTGGATCCAGGCGATTATCTCCGTCAGGAGCTCGGGGAGAATGAGGGCGCGATGGCCGGCTTTTGTTGGTGTGGGTGGATTCATGGTTGAGACAGTGCTTTGGTGGTGAGTTGGTGGAAAATGGCGGCGGGCTGTATCCTTTTCAGTGGTGTTGCGATGCGTGTACATTCTGCACGATTGCACGTGGGGTCGGATGGGGCTGACGCTAACAGCCGAGTGAGTCACACAATATGTTAAGCTTGGACCACTATAAGGTTGGCTTGTATAGGGCTTAGCTTGTGTCTGTGTTATCGGGGGCCCGCATGGGTTACACAGCGGCTGCATTACGGAAGACTGCATCGCGCGTGGCGCGACGGGTGTAGGCCGCAGATGGCGTAGTGGTAGAACGTCGTCGGCTGGGCTGCGGGTGACAGTAAGACTTGGGGCCCTTATCGAGTCCTGGAGCCTTTGGATTTAAATCCTGTTGCAGCAATATCTTCTTCTCAAAAGGCGTCTATTTTAGTAGACCCCTGGAGGAGCCGATTTGATCTCATGTATGTTAGAGCTGGAAACAATCCGGCGTGTTCAAAGTATTCGGGAATAGTTCCATTTTAATTCGGCACCTTTATAGCTAGTATACCCAGAGCACAGGTTCTATAGGTTAATAGAACTATTATTTCTATCATCATCGCGGGTGTATCCATGCATCGGATCACTGTCTCCGATCAAAGTGCGGTGTATGCGGGTAGCCGACGGAATCATGTTAGGAGCCGCAATGACGTCGAAGGACTCGGAATTTCACTCTTTGGAGATATTCAACAAGGAACAAAGCCCAAGGGATCCGCTTATATCATCAAATAGGTCTGTCACGCCTAGGCCAAGACAAACCCATAAAGAGATTCGCACAGAAGATGAATTTTAATTATTACAAGAACAGAAAGCTATCGGTACAGAGAACTTTTTTCGAGCTCGAAAGTCCACTGTGGTGTCTAGGCCAGGATCTATTTCAGGCACCGGGCGCTCCGCGCCGGGGCCCCGATGTCGTATCTGAGCGAGGCGCTGTCGCGCTTGAGCGGGATCGCCTCCTGAGCACAGCTCGGCTCGCTGTAGTAGAATTCGAGGCGTCAGTATCAAGTCAAAGCAAAGAGAATCGCCCAACCTGGACGTCAGTTGAACCCGTACCGATACAGTTGGCATGTCATGCCAGGAATCAGCTCAACAGAATTGATAACACCTGCGGGTCTATACACATTGACGTTAGCACCACCTCCACAACTATTAAAAAGGACTGCTCCTACGTCGTAATGCAAGATCCATCCCCATTGCTGTGGACGTAAGGTCCGAGGAAGTGGTCCTGGGCGAAGAGTCCAGCCTGCATGGATGTTAGCTTCGTCGCAACAATTTTCCGGTGGAGGTCCACTAACCTGGGTCGAGGAGTAAGCCAAAGCGGGAACAATGGCAACCAAGGCACTGGACAGGAAGAGGGCGAACTTCATCTTGGCGGTGTTGGTGGTGGTGGTGGTGGTGGTGGTGGCGGTGGTGGTGGTGGTGGCGGTTGTCGACGTCGATGAGATTGATGATCTTCAATTTGCCACATGCAATCGGCGCGCATTTATAGCAATCAGACTAGGAGTGGTTTCGACGCGAAGCCTCGCGGTTTGTTTGTGTTTTGTCGACCGTAAATGGAAGTATGCAAATCGCAATTTGGTCTTCATACTTTGTGTCACATAGACCAAAACCAAGGGGGACTTTTGGGCCGCGCATTGGCTCTAGGGAGATCAAGAAACCGTGCGGAAACAAACTCCCCGCCCTACCAAGCCGACTTTCCGTGGTTTATTATGGTATGCAGCATTCCGATCGGGGTTGCCGATCCCTTGCTCCTGACCTATGAAGGGCTGCGCAGGTAGGGAATTCTCCGGGACACGGAGTGTTACCCGAGCAGTACATGTGTGTAAAGTTGATTGTCTTGTATCTGCAATGGAAAACAAATACACCATATAGATTTGGTGACATATGATCGCTGAGTATGGGTGGCAGAAATGACTTGGGCTTTTCTGGAGTTGTGGTAGGATACGGCATTTCTGACCAAAACGAGGGTCGGGATTGAAGGGGGGCGAGGGGTGGAGTGGTAAGAAAACAGCTAGACGGATATCAATCAAGGATTCTACAATCGAAGAGCAACTTCTACTAGAAGTCTCCTTCACCCTATTGGCATCCAAGGTTTGTCTTAATTCAGCCAGGGAAGGGGTGGATTTGCCCAAGAACAACCGACCCAAGATTGCGGTACCCGGTGCAAATCTGGTGGAACCCTTCTCAGCCTGGTGGCCTGCATATCGTACTTTCCTCGACACATAAAGACTTCCTCACTACCTGCTCGCCAACAAAGGCTCAGATTCCCCTGCGATCGCCTCCAAAGTGCCGACCACAGCACGTCTCCGCGCCGCCAGCAAGAACAAGAGCCCCTGTCCGACCGCGAAAATTAGACTGTCCACCGCCGGCCACCCCACCCACAGGAACCAGGCATAGACCAACGGCCAAGACAGCGAATAGTCTTCTGGGAAAGGTGGGCAGGTGACCCGAAATGGCCAGGTCCCCGCGAGCAGCAGAAACACAGCCGCCTGAGCACCCAGCCCCCGCACACTGATGCCACTTGGGTGCTGGGGCCCTGAGCGAATCAAGGCAACCACCTGACACAGAAACGCCCCCAGACCTAGCCACGGCACCGCCGGGTTGACGTACAGAAGATGGCAGCCGCTGAAGATCGCGTGCGTGAGATCGGCGTCCGGGTCTTGGTAGAGCAACACGATGAGCAACGCCCCTGGTGCGAGGGAGATGGCGAGGAAGATGCCGTAGAGAGTTGCCGCGTAGATCTTTCGTCTGCGGGATAGTCCCGGGGATGGATACCAGAGACACATGCCAAATCTTGGGGGTCAGTTCTGGTGTGTCAAAGTCTGGAGTGGCTATTAAGCCTTAGAGAAAATTCAACCAGTCGCACTGCTTACTGGAGAACGAAAAGCACCCAGACAGTGGCGAGTTGGCAAAAGTTCAGCCAGTCGCCCCAGGACTTGGGGTTTTCGATGAAGAAGTCTGCGCCATGGGGAAGGCTGATGTAGATCAGACCGACGAGGAGCTGTTCCGTGGCGCAGATGGTGTTGAGGACGACGGAAAAGAGCGACAGGCCTGAGGTGTCCTTGCTGGAATGGGTGAGCTGCAGTTGAGGGGAAAATGAGTAGACGGTCAGGCCGAGGCCAATGCTAGTGGGCGCAGTCTGTTAGTCTGGACGCGATTCCGGCACGGTTCGGACCTACATGCGAAACACGTTATGCAGCATCGGAGAGGTCGATCTTGTCACTCAACACAACACCTGCTGATGAAACTTTAGGGAGAATTGAAGCACATGGATCATAGCCTCCGCGCGAGGTGGGCACGATCCTATATTTAAGATCGGATGTTGTGACTATTAGTACTAGTCTGGTCTAATTTAGTTTGGTCACTATGCTAGTTAAGCTAGTAGGTCCAGCGTTACAAAAGGCTACTTGTACACCCTTGCTGCTGTAGAACAATCGTCATATTATACTTAGTATGCTTTGCGACATTTAGCAGTGATCCTTTATTCCGTAATATCGAGCAGTGGTGACCAGAAACTTACTATCAGCAAGGTCTTCTAGAGCGAACACATCGGAAATGTACATAAGAGAAAGAAACATCAACAAAGCCATTCCATGCCCAGCCTCTCGCTTGTGGCTAAATAAGGTACTCTGTCAACGTCATTGGCCTGCGAAATTGCAGTAAGATTTTAGTGAGATTGTTTGAACCATTTCCCAGGTTGCACAATGCACTGATGGCCGCCGGCGTTCCGTAAAGGGTCCTAGGCGGGAAACTGGGTAGAAGCGGCCGGTTATCATTCGCCTGGATTGCCGGAAGCGAAAGCGCCCGGGTGCTGGAGAAAAGTTCTAGCCGGCGGCCGGCCGTTTTCTGCCTCTGCCTTCCGCTCGGGGCGGATAAATTATGCATACAGGATCTATTTTTAGCCCACATGCTTTTCACAGGGCTTCGTAATCACACAACGTTAACTACACACAATTAGTCAAGTTGATTTGGTTAACTAGTCGGTTGCAGATGCCAGAACTGCGATAGTATCATCTATGTATCTAGTTTCGAAAGGCCGTTCAAATGTAACGTGACTAAAAGGGACACTCCAGTCAACTTGTCCTCAAACTCTTCCAGGGACGGGCTTCACTATCCCTGACTTGAACGCGTCCTTGATCCGACCAAAAAGTTTATTCTTGTACTCGAGTGGCCATTGTGTCACTATAGCTCGGTGGATCGGTGGTTATACCCCGTCGATATCTCCATCTGAGCCCAAGTAACTTGACTCTACTTGCACCCAAACTCTTTTAGTCATTACCCCACATTCCCTCGCATACTATATATATCTCACGTCACGCGGACTTCGTCAACAACATTGCCCTGTGAGTGCTGAGTAGAACCACCGTCCCACAGTGGCAACCCCAGCACGTCAGCTATCCCCTTGCCGAACGTTATGGTAACCGTGTTCTATAAAAATCCCATCACAGCCACCACGAACCAACGGCACCCCCTCCCCCCACCGGATCGTCAAAGATCCGACCCTGCAGATCCGGCAATCTGTTTCAGCTGGGATGACACCATTGATGATTGATCAGCAGCGTTTACCCCACACACATTCATCCACAGCCCCAGGCACAGTACACATCATGTCCGTTGATCATGGATCCGAGCAGGGGTGCGGACTACGTAACCTTAGTCGAACATTTCAATCCTCAGTAGGTATACCTTCTCCAGCACTATCACATGAGCACCCCAGGACCGGGGCCATCCTCAATAAGTCCAGCGCCTATCCGTGACTTCACCGGTAGTCTCGAAGCCATAAACCAAAGAACCAAGAATTGCACCTGCATAGTATGGAGTAGGGATACTCTTTCTTGCAGACAACTAGTTAACTAACCACAATGACTCAATAATCCCAAGCCCGCCGGAATAACCAACCACAAGCGAGGGGCAATCCCTCCCCGTGGCCCCACTCGTGCGGCCAGAAGCCCGGAAGAACGAGACTCCGATTGGCAAGTGGGATTTACCCGCGGCGATCCGGCCTCGCCAGTTTGCCGGGGCTGGATGGACTCCGCCCCGTGGCCGACCGATCGATCGACCCGGTTGCGGGTTCCAGCCTCCCCCCCCTTCTCCCCTTTCCCCTTTTGTGGGATGTGTGGCTTCGGGGAGGCTATTTCGGGCGATGATTGATTTAATGGGTATCATGTTATAGAAGGTCTAGAATCGTTGTGGCTTCGTATTCGTAAATTTGCATAGGTCTGCTTAGTGGGGATCTAGGTGCGATCGATGATTGAGCTTGGGATTGGGGTTTTTGATGACCAGCAGGAGAAATAATGTGGTGTTTGAAAGTATATTCTTCATTATTGGTTCGTCCCTTGCACGGCAAGGGGGAAGGTCTGATCTATGATCTATAGGACGTGGACGCTCTAGGTGGTATATTCTAAGAACAGGAGTGAACGCTAAACAGGATGGATGACGCCGAGATAGTGGAACAAAGGAGATAGGATACAAAAGGAGGAGAGAGTCTTTTGGGCCGTGATCTTGAAGCTCTGCTTCATTATGGAGGAGGAGAGGGATGATGAGGAGAGAGGAAGGGTGAGCGAGCGAGAGGATAGATAGATGAGGTGAAGGTGGTCTGTCCGAGACCATGAGGATGCTCAAAGCTTTCGATCGGATGAAAGCGCGTCAGTAGCTGTTGTACGGACGGGACGTATGAGTGATCCTATGGAGGAGTCGGTCTGGATTGGAGCAGACGGATTGCCGATGGAGTCGGAGGTGGAGAGACACCGGATACGGCGTGGTTCCCTGGGTCTGGTGAAGACCGGTAATGGGTGGTTGGGGATTGATTGAGTTGATCAAAGACGATGAGACGGGGTCGAGAACGAGTGAAGATTAGGTAGGTTGAGTTCAACAGGCGACAACAGGCACTCCAGATTGAGACCAGTGCACACTGCCACTCCGGCGGGAGAAGATCTTCTCCATGCACCGGCGGCCCTTGTCGAGGAGGCTCTTCTTCTCAGTGGGCTCCGGGGCCCATTTGATAGACGGGGTCTTCACGGCGGTCGACTTGACAGCGGCCGACTTCATCGGGGCAGGAGCCGCGGACGAGGGCTTGGAGCCGCGGCGGGAGCGCCGGGGCGGGACGGGCAGGTCGTTGTCGAGGTCATCGTCGCTGTCGCTACCCATGGAGCGGATGTGAACTTGGATGTCCCGCTTGACGAGCTCCATGGACTTCTCATGGACGCGGGCGTGGCCGAGGCACCGGCGCAGATCGGGCTGCTTGGCGCTGCTTTCGTGTTCATACTTCTCGCCGGAAACGAGGCAGAGGTGGAGATGGAGCGAGGATTTGGTCGCGAAGGGGGAGCGACGCTGAGGGCGCACAGGGGGAGGAGGGGTCGGTTTGGTGAAGAGGAAGGAAGAGGTGTAGGACATTGTAGGTTGGGATTGGGTGGGTTGGTGGTGGGCGAGAGACTCGATAGTGGTGGTATGTACGCAGGCACTACTCCGTCACCCAAAGGGCGGGGAGAGTCAAGGTGAATTGGTGTTGGTCTGAAGGGGGAAGGAAACGTAGAGCTGCTTGCTTGGTTGACACTTTTTTTTTCCTTTCCATGATTGCCGGACCTTCAGAGTCTATATAGGGTGCCAGGGGAAGCAAAGCCAGCTTGCGATAAGAAAAGCGCGAGTAGGTCATGGGGTGAGCAAAAGTCTGCTTGCCAGGGCTCTAGAACTTCCCCCGGTGGATCAGTAAGTGGATCCGCCCATCAGTGGCCGACTGTTCCAGCCCTGCCATCAGGCCGACAAACCCCTCGACCGCCACTGCCCAACTGACAAAATTGCTCAGGAACCACTCGGTGACAATGGATCATGAAACGTTAATGATAATGCACGGCCAGGGCCACTGCCAATCAGCGAGTGGTTTCACGCCCATGCGATACAGGCACACAGGCACAGGCAGGCACCGGGTGTGATAGACTGATAGCAAAGACCTCACCAGCCAGTGAATAAGGTTCCTTACACTCGAAGAGGGAAAGATGTCCGTGCACGGGCACGTGGGTCAGATAAGCGATTCATAATGCATTCGGTGTTCATTTTTTTTATTTTTGGGGCCGGGTGGAGCACTCTCTGTGTGTGGCTTTGAAACCTGGAAGTCTCGAGCATCGACGCGACAGCTCGATCACCTTCACAACTCACCAGGTGTACGAGTCTTTGGCCCAGAGTCAACGACTCCACCACAGTAGCGCTGACGTTCCCTTTGCTGCTGCCCCTCCTTCCCCCCTCCCTCCCTCTCTTCCTCCCCCTCTATTAGATGGTGTCATCAGAGTGGCAATTTTCAGCGGCCAGATTGACACTGACTCACTGAGTCACCGCCATTCACCACCGACTGGGTCAATTGACGCGATCCTGGTGCGTAATTTCTTCTAATTGCGTCCTGTGCCTGGACCAAGGACGATTCCATGACAGTCTTAGATTGAGTGATGGCGTCAGAAAGCAGAATCCATCCCACCATTCTCAATCAATAGTGTGTGTGATCTGTGAGGGTGATGCATTATCAACTTCGGGATGGGGGAGGTGTCAATCAATCCTCGGACCGGCCAACGGAATCGGCCCCCCGATAAGAATTAGCGTGTCTGGTGCAGCTCGCAAGCTACCTGCAGCATGAGAGTTTCCGATCAGCAGATCGACACTCGCTCAACCGTACTTCCCTGCTTGAGATGATTTGGTTTCTGCAATCTGCAGCCCGCAGCCTGCAGCCCTCCGCTGGTGGCTTATAATTCGGTGAACCTCCCCTTCTTCTATATTTTGTGATCTGTATTATCTGTTTGTCTGCATGAACCACCCTTCGATTACATTTTATTCATAATTCCCATATTCCGCCGCCAACTCCGGTCGCAAAAGCCAAAAAAAAAATAAAAATAAAAAAGCCACATTTCCTCCCGCTTACCGTCGGCGTGGCACCAACGGGTTATGTAAGCCACGCGCACAACGCTGGTTAACTTTGTTTATTTTTTTTTTACCCTGTGTGCCATCATCCATCCTTCGCATCGCTTCAACTTGACTGACGGCGACACAACCTGCTCCTTTGGGCAAAAGCAGTGGAGGAAAGTGATGACTCGAGTGGGCAGGTGGCTTGCCATTGCCCCTCCTCCCTTCCTCCCCGATGGTCAATGCATCGCGTCCATTGCTTGGATGCGTGATTTTTTTTTCTTCTCTTGTGGCCTGCGAAACTCTATCAGCGGGGAACAAGCAAGCCTTTAAGTTATACTCCGTCCTCCGTAGGGACACTATCGACAGTCGGCACGCCACATACGGACGTTTTCTCTGGTTCCGTCAAAACCTAGCTAGTAAGCTCGTGTGAGTCGATGGCGATCTAGAACGAGTCTATTTTTCCTGCATTGCTGTGGTTTCTGGTTGTGCGCAATGCGACGGCGGCTAGTGCTGTGCGGTGTCGTGCTAGTTCTTCAGTCTTCACACAGTGACTTAAGGTCTACTACGTAGTCTGACTGCTGCGCAAAGACGCACCGGAGGTCTGAGCTTAATCCCCCCTTCTCCTACCCCTACCCTCCCCATCCCCCTTTCCATGCTCCCTTTGACTCCTGCGTGCCCAATCACCGAGATTGCGATGCCCACGCGGATGGCGTCGCCTAAATTGCGATTGCAGCGGGAGGGTCGGGAGTATCATGGATCAACGGTCGGGATTCCTGGCCTCTGGCCCTTTTCCTCCCTATCTGACCGCGCAGCAGTGCCAAACCCGGGCTTGGGTGTTCAATTTCTTGATTCTTGTCTAGAATGTGGAGTGGAGTTCACCCGTCGGGTACTGGATGCTCTAGAAGGTGGATGGACCCTGAGGGTTAGGTTATGCCTAGTCTACAACTCTGGACTACGTACCTAGTTCACAGAGTCGATAGCTCCGCGCGTTTGGCATTATGCAATCGAATTGCCCCTCCCCTCCCCTCCCCTCCCCTTCCCCCTCCACCCTTCGTCCTTGAATCTGTTCACATGACTCTCAGCCAAATTGATTGCAATCCTGCATGCATATATACCCCCCCCATCTGCCTGCCTGCCTGCCCCTCTTCGAAACATTTACCCAATCCACCGAAGAACAAAGCAAAAAGCCGGAGATCTATTAAATCACTTTGCCGACAAGGCAAGAATCCCGAACTCCAGGGTTTGCTTTTTCGCTTTTTTTTTTTTTTTTTTTTTTTTTTTTTTTTTTTTTTTGCTTTTCCCTGGATGAAGTATCTTCGGTCCCTCCCCCTCTTTTTCTTTTTTTTTTTTTTTTTTTTTTTTTTTTTTTTTTTTTTTTTTTTTTTTTTCTTTTTTTCGCCTGCCGGCTTGGCTGGCTGGTTGCTGGTTCGGATTGTTGGCAGTGATAAGCCACGGCCACTAGACCCGAACCGGAAATCCCGGATCTCGGAGATCAGCCGGCGCCCATGGATTGGGATTGTGGTTGGTGTTACTATCTGTCACCGGCACAAAACCAAAAAAATCCAACGAAAAGGAAAAGTCGTTGGCGGAGTCTTATCAGTATGCAACAAGGATAAGCTATGGAAGGGATGGATCGATTATTCCATCGCCCAGAGGTTGTCGAATGTCCATGCGGCGGGATTGCCGAAGAAGAATTCGTCGAGGGAGAGGTCTTCTTGGCTGAAGGTTGGCTGTTGTGTGTTGATCAGTTGGGATGTTCTGATGTTTTCTTCGAAAAAGGGGTTGGGGAAAGGTGCGAACTCACTCGGGATAAGTCCGGGTCGAGGAGAGACGCTCCGCTTAAGTCCGGGGGTAGATGGAGCTGGGCGGTGGTGTCGGGCGGGTTCATCTATGCGACCGTCAGGACACTCGCCAACACAACCTTCATCTTCCACTTATTCTGGGAGAATGAAAGGGAAGGCGACCACTCACCGTAACCAGCCGCATCGGGAACAGAAGCTCCTTGGCCTTGCGCAGATCCTCCTGATGCGCCAGCACCCGATGATACTGCCGCACCACCTCGTAGATCGCCTCCTCCTTCTGCACCGCCGGGTGCGCCGGGTCGGGGAGCCGCGACCGCAGAAACGCCGCCGCCGCCGCGATGTACCAGTAGTGCGTGTACCCGGTGCCCAGGCGGGTGGTCTTCTCCTCGAGGAGATGCAGGACCGCCTCGATGTAGTGGATCAGCGTGGTGCTGTTGGATTGGAGGAGGATGTTATCTTCCCTGCCTTATCAGTCTGTTTGCTCCTCGACGTTTCAGATGAAAGATGGGGCTGACGTACCGTGCACGCTGGCAGCGATGTACATGTTATGGCAGATCACCAGCGCGCTCTTGAAGTAGTCGTGGCGTAGGAGCAGCAGGAGGTGGTTCCCCGCCTCGGTGAGCTGGCGGTGCTGGTCGATGAGCCGGAACGCGGCGTTGAAGCACACCATCCGCGAGAGCGAGTAGCGCGGGTTGGTGTCCGCCTGGCGTGCGAAGGGCGCATGGAGCAGGATGAGGAAGTGTCGGAGCTGGATGTCCAGCAGCGCGCGGGGCAGGGCTGGGTTACGCCCTCGCCCTGACGCGCCCGGGGTGCGGGTGTCGTCGTCGTCGGGCCACGGGGGCAGTCTGTGCAGCGCGGCTGTGATCCGCTCCTCGCTGCGGAGCACCTCCTCGTACACGGACTGCGCGTGAATGTCGTTGACGAGGGAGTTCAGGGCGGTGCGGAGCGGGAAACTAGACGCTGCAACCCGCAGGAACGAGCACGCCGTGTATACCTCGGCCGGCTGGGAGGGCGGGAGCGCAGCCGCGTCAACCGCCAGCGCCTGGTCATCGATGTTCAGCGGCGGCGCGGTGTCCGAGGTCAGCGCCGCGCCCGCGGACGGCATGCCGCGGTCCGTCGAGATCTGCAGCTCCAGCTCCAGGGTCGTCGCCCACAGTCGCCGCCGCATCTCCAGGTCGAAGACCGACACGCGGTCACCCAGGATGGTCGGGTCGCGGTGGAAGCCGGCCGACATGGCCTCGCGCACCAGCGTGCCCGCCGCCGTCCACGTGCGCTTCTTCTTCACCACGTTCACCATCTTCGCCACCAGCAGCAGGCACCGGATCTGCCAGATCGCCAGGTAGATGTGCTTCTGGCTCTGGCGGGGCAGCCACGCCTCCGCCGCCTCGATCCACAGCGTCGCGCGCTCGCGCGCCATCGCGCTGTCGCCGATGTATTTGGGTTGTTGCTGCTGCTGGGCCGGCGGCGCCGCAAGACAGCCCACGCACGCGAGCACCAGCGTCAGCGTCACGACGAACGCCGGCCGCGCGGCGCGGCTGTCTTCGCGGAACGTCTCGTACTCCCGCATGAAGCTGGGGTAGTGCAGGATGCGGTAGATGGTCTCGAAGGTGTCGAAGTAGAGGTGCACATGGGCGTCCATGGTCTCCGGGTCCGGGAGTAGCCCGACGAGCTCCCATTCATGCTGCGGCAGCAGGTCCGTCCGCATGCCCTTCCATTTCACCTGCAGCGCCTTCAACTCCCGCTGCAGGCTGGGCAGGGAGGTGCGCTGCATGATCGTCTCCTTCATGAACGATCGCAGCTCGGGGAACTTCCCCAGCATGAATCAGCAAGCTTTCTTGCACAGTGACGAGTAAAAGAGGAATACTCACATGAGAAATCAAACTAATCGGATTGGTGCTCCCGTAGTAATGCGTCTTGAAGTTCTCGCCCCGCAGAATCGTCGTCTGCACCCGCAACCGGTCCCCGCCAGACCCCGGGGGCCCGATCCCATCATCATGACTACCGTTGTTATCGGCAACGTTACTGCGGATCGACGGGCGCTCCTCATTGATCCCCGTCGCCGACGACGACGCCCCGAGTAACTGCCAGCTCCCTGCGTTCTGCGGCGCCGCTAGCGATATTACCCTCGTCTCGGGGGATGCCTGATCTACCGTCGGGTGCTCCAGCCCCGGCCCTCGGACAGAATGATTCTGCGGCACCGGCGCCCGCGCCGGCGGGGGACTGTGCAACGTGTACGCACTATTGTGCAACAAGACGGACCGTTCCTCGTCCGGCAGCAAGGGGAATTCATTGTAGGAGCATGACTCGGCGATGCCACCTTTCCGACACCGCCCGCAGGCCGGGACCCCGCGGTCGCATTTGAGTTTGCGGCGCCGGCAGGCGTAGCACGAGAGGGCCTTGCGTCTGCGTTTGGGCTTGTCCGAGCTCGGTTGCCGGGGGGATTTGGAGATCCGAGATGAGGGGTGGGATTGCATTTCCTGTTAATCGGGTGTAAGGGAGGGGAGGAAAAGAGAAGTCGCGTAGCATGTCAGACTGCGTCGTAGCTCCGAGGCGGGCGCGCGGCGGTTATTTAATCTCGGATATAAGTCGTCTCGGGGTTTAGGGGGTTGTCTCGGTCGGAGCTGTCAGTCTACTTCATCGAGGGTATTGATTGGTGGGTGACTGATTTTATCTGATTGATTGATAACAACCGAGGGCGACTCGGAAGGCCCGGTTCCGATTGGCTGGGTGTCAGGGTCCGCGTTAAGCACACGTGTGCTTGGATGCTGTCGCACAACACCTAGCCTGAGCATGAGGTGTGGACGGATCGAACGCTATAGTTACACGACGGCTGTCTGTAAGCGCTTCGGTGTCAGCGGGTGTCCACGTGCCCGGAAAGCGGACCGCTCGGAGGAGATACCCGGTTGTCGCCCGGCATGTGCACGCACCTACGCGCGTGTTCTCTGGATGTATGACATCATTGCGTCGCACCACATTGCCGCTGCCTACCAGCCCACAGGGAGTGCAGTGAGATTCTCGCTACAGAGGAAGACGTTTCTTTGATAAGGCAAGGCTTGGACAATACCTAAACCCTAAGCGGGTTGATACAAGTCTACACTAGCAATGATGGAGCCAAGTTACGCTCGACTCGCGAAGCCTCCCGCTAGAAACTCATATTCAGGAAGAAGTCCAGGTCAATCGCGTCTGATTGCGCAAAAGGATAGAACGAGATGTCCTCTGGCGCAGTGGGGATGGTAGTGTCGTCCCTCATGCTGTGGCTGCCCTCGCCCAGCGAACGCTCGAGGTGGTCGATGCCCTGGCGCTTCTTGTTCACAGACGCGCGCACGAGCTGCCGGACAGTGGCTAGCGCCTCTGTAGATAAATGTGTATTGAGTCGGTCGGAAATGCTTTGCAGGGTCTCCATCGCCCGCGGGACCACAGCGAGACTGTCCGGCGTGTCCAGCGCCAGCAGCACGCAGACGAACTGGAACACGGTGCCTAGGACATTCCACCAGGGCTGGTCCAGAAAGACCAGTCTCTGTGCTGGAGCGAGCGCGGCCGTGCCCGCGCTGACGATCTCCTCAATCTGCCGTGAGCGCAGTTGGAAATTGATCAGGCGTAGTCGGCGGTATAAGCAGAAAATGAGATCGGCTTTCACCAGCACCAGGAAGTCATGATCGACTTCGATACGGACGACCTTCCTTAGCGCGAATACCTGATCCTCCGCGTTTGCGCCGACTTCTCGGCCCGGGGTGCTCACGGCTACGGCCTGAACCAAGGTACAGAGTTGAGAGGAAAGGTCGGTCTTGAAGGTGGCGGAGAAGTCCTCCTGCCGGGCGTGCAGCGTGGGATTCATCACGGACCGCCCATAGTCCCAGGCGATCAGCGTTTGCAGACATTCGGCTACCTGCGCAGTGCGTCTGGGGTTGTACGGCTGTCTTGATGCCGTGTCCGGCGGGGCCTTGCCGGGCGCCAACATGAAGCCGTCAGGCCCGTGCTGCAGCCCCGTGGCCTCGACTAGATGCATCATCGTGCAGCTGCAGAGCCACGAGAGATGTGGTCGGCTCGTGGTGCGCATGTACAACGTGCGCAGGAAGTATGCGGCCACGTGCTCGATGGTCGGGAACCGGCCGACGACGTAGTCCTCGAGGATGCTTTTCGCGTGCTGCACGGCCCACAGCTCTTTTTCTGGAGTCAATGCTCCTTCGACGCCAGTGAACAACGACCCCAATGCCACGACCCCGCAGATCACTGCCTCGAAGCTCAACCCCTGAGGCTTCCCGTGCCAATGCTCCTCGGCCCGCTGAAGCAGCCTTTCGTGGTCCAGGAAGTTGAATAAGGGGTGAATGGTGGTCACATAGACATTGATCAGGCGCTTAGCCACCACCCAGTCAATGACCTCGGCAACCTGAAACCGGACGCTGGTTTCCGGCTCGCGTCTGACCCCCGGATTGTAGGCGAAGGAATGCAAGCGTGGGGGATTGGGAGCCTGCACGTCCAGCCCCACAAACAGTGGAAACGCGACTGAGGACTGCCGCCCCACGAACCGCTGCTTCCAGGGCTCCAAGATTCCGTGAGGAGCTGACGGGCTACTGGTGCGCACCGCGCTCGTTCGTGGTGCAGCTACCTGCCCATCATCCGATGCTACACGCCGCGCATCTGCCGGCTGAGTGCTTGGGACATACTCACACTCGACGCCGGAGCTCGCACACATCCTGCATGGAACATTCCCATCGCATTTGACTCTCCGCGACCGACACTGCGTGCAGGCCAGGCGCGATCGCTGACGCTTCCGATCCAAGCCATCAGCCTCATCACTCGACGACTGCGAATGACGTCGTCCATGTCTACTCGACGTCAGTATTCGGCCACAGTGCCACGATTCGGGTGATACATAGCCGTACTTCCGACTCCCCTCGTCGGCTGCCACATAATCCGGTTTCAGCTTGGATGATCGGGATTGCTTCCAATTGTCGTGGGTGGAGGGGGGACATGTATGGGGGTTGTATACCGTCACCCGAGGCTGTCCTTTCTTGGTCCCGATTCGCACCTCATATTTACAGACAGGATCCCGGCACTTGGTGATGTGGCGGGCGGGGTCTGATTTGGCGACGAGGTAGGATTCATGGCGATCGGCTGTATGGCGGAGGAGGGTGTGACGGGCCTGAGAGATGGTGTCGAATGTCATTCCTATGCAGAAGGGGGTGACGTCCCTGGGGCTGGTGCAAGTTGCAGCAAGTTAATAAGCATTTTACACCTAACAATGTATGCGAAGGGCCTACGATTGGTGGGATAGATCCATTCTCTGTGGTGTGGCTGGGTGGATGGTCCACGATGGTGGATGGGCGGGACAGAAGGACAACCCTGAGATAATGCCAGATGCCACCAAAAAAGCTGGGCATCCGAACGAAAAGACGGACAGAGACACGTGATTGATTCAGTCACGTGACATGATATAACCCATTGGGAAAGTCGGGGTGCGATGGTCCATGGGTCGGTAGCAGCGTTGTAGAGCTATGGGATCTATACTACTGTAAGGACATGTAGAAGATACTACAGTCTGACTGACAAGCAACAGGCTGGCTAGTCCCCATCCCCGCTGCAACTACCTCACAAGAACGTTTTACATATTCTACAGCGGTACACCCAAACGGATCTCCAAATCGAACTCTTGTGCATGAATCAATTGGCTGACCCGGACACAATCTTAATACGAGTGCCCATAGCCTGGACCTGAACAGGCCATGATTTCAGAATGACGCGAGGGACAGAATACCTATACCAATAATATAAGACCTCCGCTTCGAGACATTTTCCATTAGTACCTATACCCTTCGGTATACATACAAGAACCACAATCTATCACCCTCAACTGTCACTAGCAGAGCAATAATGTCCCGCAAACTCTGCATCACCGCCGTAGACGGCCACACTGGCTCCTTGATCGCCGAGCTGATCTTGACGGATCCCAACTTCAAGAAAGCCATCGGCTCCGTGGTCGGTCTGACCCTGCACCCGGACGCCAGCGCCTGCAAGGAGCTGAGCAAACTGGGGATGAAGATCGTGCCCCACAAGCCGGGCCGCCTCCGCGCGATGGTCCAGTCGCTCAAGGAGATCGGGGCGGACGCGATGTGCCTGATCCCGCCCGCGCACCCGGACAAGCTCGACATCACCAGCGAGCTGATCGAGGCGACCAAGCAAGCCGGGGTCGCGAATGTGTGCATGATCAGCTCCGCCGGCTGTGACCTCGCCGAGCGGGACCGACAGCCCCGGCTGCGGGAGTTCATCGATTTGGAGGTGCGGCTGCTCGCGTGCAAGGGCGATCCCTCCACTTCTACCGGTCACTCGCCGGTTGTTATACGGTAGGGCTTGCGAAGGGAACGGGCGGATTTGAAAGAGGGCATCCTGAATGACTTGAATACTCTGTAGACCGGGCTTCTACGCGGAAAACCTGTTGCTCTACTCCCGTCAGGCGCAGGAGGAAGGGCTCTTGCCGCTGCCTATGGGCAAGGATCACAAGTTCGCGCCTATCGCGCTGGGGGTATGTTTTTCTCGCCTCTTGGGTTGTTACTAGGATAGTGGACTGACGGCTGCCAGGATGTCGCCCAAGTCGCAGCGCATGTCCTCTGTGGGAAGGGCAAGCATGGATTCAGTGACAAGCACCGGGGTCAATTGATGGTGCTGACGGGTATGTACGAAGACACACACTGAACTTGCATGCGCAAAATGAATGCTCAATACGACATAGGCCCGATGCTTGCCACGGGTGAAGAGCTGGCGTCTGCAGCCAGCCAGGCCCTGGGAGAAGAGCTGAAGTTCGAGGATATCTCTGAGTGGGTCCCTCCCGTATTGTCTTTCACTAGCTACGGGGTATAGTGTCCGAGACTAAACAGTGCATCCCTGCAGAAACGAAGCGAAGAGAGTCTTACAAGCGCAGTCGGACAGTGACCAGTCTGAGGTGCAGTATCTGCTGGAGTACTACTCGTTGGTGCGTGAGGGCAAGACCAACTACATTTCCACCACCGCGTTCCATGACGTCACCGGGGGCCATCCCCAGGAACCCCCGGACTTCTTAAAGGTCTATGCCCAGGAGTTCCATCCTAAGCGCACCAACAAAAGACGTAAGTTGAGCGGGGGCCAGTGAGCATGGTTACAGTGGCTTGCGGTGATGTAGTTAGTTGCTCATTGTAGCTCCCTTCGATGGCGGGTGGTGGTGGCGGTCGTGGATGAATCCAGCTCGTGTTGATGCCAAGGATCAGAAGCCAGCTTTCGTGTTACCCCACAAAATTTCGATATCTGCGGGGATTGAATGTGAATACTGCTTATTTGCCACCTTAATTGAAATACATTGCTTGTGATTCGTGGGTCCGCTGAGGTCGATCGCTTTACTCTTTCATTCGGCGGGGTTAGGGCATCGTCGACTTGAATGGTCGGGATAATGCTTCCGGGGCTCTCAACCACGAACAGGACAATGACTCTTCCATCATCCCAGCAAGCCGTAGACGCAATTTGCAACACTCCAGGTGTTGTGTGATATAGTAGAGCAGTCAAGCGCTAAGAATGACGTGACAGTCGAATGATCCTGAGGCTTGGTTCCAGGCAGGCAGTTGTTGGATAGTTTTTAATCGTCGCCATCTGTGCTGTCGAGGTTTACTTGCCACAGATCATGACCATACATCTCCACCTCTTGAAGGAACACTATTCACGATGACTTTAATCAGCGACGCCATCAAAAGTGACCACCGCGACCTCGAAGAGGCCTACAACAACATCCTGACCGCCGCAAGCGATGACGAGAAGCGCCGGTGGCAGAACCAGTTCACCTGGGAGCTGGCTCGCCACTCCATCGGCGAGGAACTAGTCCTATACCCAGCGATGGAGGAGCACCTCACCGATGGGAAGGCGATGGCTGACAAGGACCGGGCGGAACACAAGACGGTAAGCTTAGTGCACTTTGCCCTTCCTGCCAGAGACGCCTCTGGAGACTAAGAGGTGAATCTAGGTGAAAGACCATCTGGAGAAGTTCCAGAACCTAAAGCCCGACGATGCAGAGTTCATTCCGACCCTCCAAGGACTGTGGGGCTCTCTTTCGCAGCACATCAAGGAGGAAGAGGAGCAGGATCTTGTCAAGCTTGAAGCGAATCTGGATAATGAAGTCTCTAAGGCCATGGTCTCTTCGTTCAAGCGCACCAAGATGTTCGTCCCGACTCGCAGTCATCCCTCGGCGCCCGACAAACCGCCCTTCGAAACGGTGGCAGGATTACTGGCTGCGCCCATCGATCATATCAGAGACCTGTTTAGGAAATTCCCGGACCAGGCTGCTAGTGACATTCCACCTTGAATGTTGTCAGAGAATATGTCGTGGTGAACTTGTGTTGATTTATGTTGTTCCAGCTCGATGATTGATAGGCCTGGGGAGAATGTCATAAGTGTACCAAGTGTTGGGGAAATGTGAATTATAAGCTTGATGTTTTCGACAAGGTCTGAGGAACAAGAGTAGCAAGATCTCATTAGCAATCGAGTAAGAATGAGCTTCATAATCTAGGGCCAGGTACAAGATTTCGATGAAGCATCCCTTGAACCGGACGAGCTAACATGCTTTGGGCATCCATTCTCTCACGATCAACACACGACCCACTGGCTCTAGAACATCAAAAGGCTCAGGAGAGTGTCAGGTCCGGCACGACTCAGGGACACCGTCTTACTCCGATGCAGTCATGAGTCAATTAACTCGGAGTTGGCGGTGTAAAAGTGCCAGATTGGGATCGTGTCCGGTTTAGATTTACCATAAACGGCTAGGAAGCGGAATAGCAGAAAGCGGGACCGGAACTCCGACAACCGATCGCCGACTTAATTTTCCCACTTATGCTCTCCCTTCGGCTTATGAATTCGAGGATTTGTGAGTTTCTCGATCAATCCTGCTTGTCAACACGGCGTTAATCACATATTTGGGTAGCGGATATACAGCATCATTCATCACCAGACATACTTTCTGACCCATCGAGGACTTTTCTACGTTAGCGTGTGGTGAACGGAGCATATGATGATGGGTTGCTCCCCAGGTCCGCGGACCGGACAAGTTATGCCTATGCGCTGGGACGCCATGTGTCTAGCCGGTAACTCCTATCTCCACACTCCGGGCCCACCAGGCAAGCTCCAGCTTTTGATTTTTATTTTTTTGCTGCCCTGGAAGTTGCGCCAGGTGACATATATAAGCTAGAGGTCCACATGGCTTCAAGGTGGTGGACCAAGAGCTTGGTGTCGATTCCAGATCCCCGACCACGGATATCTTTGGGGTTACGTTAGTTAGGGCTTCATCTACGACGGAACGATCCATCAAGGAATTCACAATAGAACACTCGTAACGAAGCACAATGGCTGCGGTGCAAGAGGAAAGCACACAAAGAATCAAAGATGCCGAAGCAGCCGCTGGACAGCCGCAGAACGAGAAAGTCGTCGATCCATACATCGTGGATTGGGAGGGACCCGACGACCCCCAGTGTCCCATGACCTGGCCTTTGAGCAAGAAAGTGCGGCAGCTGGCCGGAATGGGAGTCAACAGTCTTCTCACGTACGTGAAAATGCATCCCAGAGAGTGGAAGGATATCGTCCCGGAACATCTAGCTAACATGCAAGATCCAGACCTCTATCCTCATCGATGTTCACCCCAGGCGAGGCGGACGTGCTGGCCGAATTCCACACAACAAATTCCACACTAGGGTCCTTCGTTGTCTCCATCTTCCTGCTGGGCTACGTGGTCGGCCCCCTGGTAATTGCGCCGTTGTCTGAGATGTACGGCCGTTGTCGACTCTACCACATCTGCAACACCCTCTTCCTTATCTTCACCATCGCATGTGCAGTCGCCCAAACATTACCGCAGCTGTTTGTGTTTCGCTTCTTCGCCGGAGTCGCCGGTAGCTGTCCGATGACGCTGGGTTCCGGCACCGTGGCGGACCTCATCCCCAAGGAAAAACGCGCGGGCGTGATGGCCATCTGGGCCATGGGCCCCATTCTGGGCCCTGTCATCGGACCCATCGCCGGGTCGTTCGTCTGTGCGAACATCGGCTGGCGCTGGGTGTTCTGGATCATCGCGATCGCGGTACGCTTGTCCCCCCATACAACCACAATGAAAAGATCCCCTTCCTAATGACGCATATTCTAGACCGGAGTAATGCTTATCGCCACCCTATTCTGCTACCGCGAAACCTACAGCGTGGTCCTCCTCGAGCGCAAAGCCGCGCACCTGCGCAAGGAAACGGGCAACGAGAAATACCGCTCCAAATTCGACCGCGGCACGCCGCGCAAGGAGATCTTCCGGCTGGCGGCGGTGCGGCCCGTCAAGCTGCTCTTTCTGTCACCGACCGTGCTGCTGATGGCGCTGTTCGGCGCCGTCTCCTACGGCTACCTGTACCTCATGTTCACGACCATCACCGCCATCTTCGAGGAGGTCTACGCCTGGCGCCAGGAGATCTGTGGCCTGGCGTATCTGGGCTTCGGCCTCGGGGCCATCCTGGGCGTGCAGGTCACCGGCTACGTGGCCAACCGCATCGCCGCCGCGCACACGGCCCAGGGCCGGTTCGTGCCCGAGTCGCGGCTGATCCCGTGCCTGTACGGCTCGTGGCTCCTGCCCATCGGGCTGTTCTGGTATGGCTGGTCCGCCGACAAGCAGGTGCACTGGATCATGCCAATCATCGGGACGGGGATCTTTGGGGCGGGGCTGATGTGTGTTTTCGTATGTGCTTTCCTTTAACACCTTGCTGTGATTCTGGTGCATGCTAACCGATGATGCAGCTGTGCATCAACACCTACCTCGTCGACTCGTATCTCCTGTACGCTGCCTCGGTGACAGCCGCCAACGCAGTGTTGCGCTCGCTGATCGGGGCGCTGCTCCCGCTAGCCGGTCCTTCAATGTACGATGCCCTGGGGCTGGGGTGGGGCAATTCTCTGCTGGCGTTCATTGCCCTGGTCTTTTGCTCGTTCCCGGTGTTTTATAGCCGGTATGGGGCCCGGATCCGCACGTCGCCGCGGTTCCAGTTGAATTTGTAGTGGGTGCGGGTGGCACTGTGGTGTTTCTAAGCGATAAAAACGATTTTCTTCTCTCATAAAAATGTACTTGATGACAGATCTGGAGCTTGGCTTCATCTTGGGATTAGGTTGTAGAGTTTACACTAGATCAAACAAGCATGCATGACCGGAGGATGTGGTGAGTACGTAGGGCTCATCGTCCGCCCGGGCCCTAGTCTAGCCATTCACTGAGCGTGAGCAACGGGAAAAGTTCATCCATTCTACGAAGTCGCTGCTACCGCTCCCTGCTGACACCGGGTGGTTGCTACGGATGAATGGCATGGTAGGTGATATTTTTCCCGGTGTGGGGTGAGCAGTACACCGTGAGCAAGCTGGACAATTGAACTGGCGAATTGTTATTGTGGCCGATCAGCGTGCACTCGATCAGCTTTTGAAGTGGTAAGTCGACATACTCTTTTGTCCTCGTCAATCACCTCGGAGTCACTCTCCTCATGAAACCCTGTTGAATCAGCATGAATACAAAAGGAGCCTAGCCTCAGCTGCTTACGTGAGTTGACATTACATATATCACTTCCTCATGCGGCCCTAATAGTAGGCACATTTCATACGTGAGCCGGAATTCTACCTTACGATGACAAATAGCCTGATGCAAAGGCAAGGAAGAATATATGCGGTCTAGGCTGCTGGTTAGGGGGAGGCAATGTTGACCACGATCTTGCCCGCATTTTCACAGGACACGAATCGCTGCATGTAGGAGGGAACATCCCGGAGCTCGATCTCCGTCACGACGGGGGAGAGCAGGCCGGACCTGATGTACTGCATGACGCGATAGATTTCCTCCCATCCGCCCATGAGCGTGCCCTGAATCCGGATTCCTTTTTCGACCACCTCGGCAATGGGGAAGGATACCTCCCCGCCGTGCTTAGGGACACTGGTTGGTTCATATTAGCTGGATAAGAACCTTAACGAGACTTAATCGCGGCGGGGGAAATGACGCACCCAACGCAGACGATAGCGCCACCTTCACGCAGATATTCGATTAGATTTGTGTACGCTGCCGTCGATCCAGCCGTGACAATGACCCCGTCGATCCAGCCGTGACAATGACCCCGTCGGCCATCGCAGGTGGCACATCAGGTCCCCGTAACTCGCTACTGGCGCGTGAAAGGCCTTCGAGAAATGAGGCAGACCCTTCCGAGTCCCGATTCGCAGGGACGAACGCATCGTAGCACTCGGAGCTGCGTGGGCCCAGCCCGGGCTGCTTCTCCGGTAGGTCGACGCCAATGACCTTGGCTTTGTACACTTTTCTTGCAATCTGCCCGGCTAGATGGCCGATAGAGCCCGCAATACCGCTGATCACCACCACATCTCCTGGGCTGGGGCTCAACTTCCTTAGCGCCTTGGATGCAGCGGCGCCGGAGCATAGGGCAGCCGCATAATCACCCAAACTCGGCCCGGCGCCGGTGTGGATGCTATCCAAAATGAAGGCGGGCAGGGGCATCAAGGACGAGATCGGAGCCCTGATGTACTCCTGGTACGTCCCGGGGTGGTCTCGTGGGAAGTCGCGTTGGGAGGGACAGCGCTCGGGGAGATCGTGGAGGCAGGCATGGCAGTGGCGGCAGTGGTGGGACAGGTATCGCGCCGCCACCAGGTTGCCGAGCAGCAACTCGTCCTGCGCCATCACGATTCGTCCAATGCCTTCATGGCCGCCGATCATATTGTGTTGAGGATAGCCCTTGCGCAGTCCAAGAGAGAATATGATATCCTTTTGTCCCGCGGTTGGAGGATACTTAGCATGGTACTGTAATGATTTGGGTTCGGAGATGACAAACGCTACTACACAGACCGCTCACATAGAGCTTCACGACGACTTCCCCGCTGGCGGGTGGGTGTGTTCGAATGTCTTGATAGTTCAGGTTCAGCTTGTCGCTCACTACAGGCGTAAGCACAGCGGCGTGTTGGGCGGGCAGTTGGAAGTTCGGTCCCATGTGCCATCCTGTGTGCACTGGTTCTCGTGATAAGACCAAGTGATCGCCTGTCTGACTTGATCCGGACCCCTCGTCAGAGTTAGTTTGGACGACGAGGACGAGAGATTCTAGTCAAGGCAAGAAAAGCAACTAACCTCTACTCCGGGCCGGTGAGGTAAGTCAAGGTGATGATCCTGCGATGTAGATTGCAAGGTCATTGAGGATAAAGTGCAAGGTAGGGGGGTACCAGAACGAAAGAGATTATTAAGTAACCCCTTCTTTATGTAGAGAAATAATGACATCGGTAAGCCAGACATCCTTATCTCCGGTTTCGATTAGATGTGGGGAAGTGAGCCCCCCTCGGAATTTATATTCCGCCTCCCACAGCCGGAGGCGAGGATCTCAAGGTGCGTTCTTTCATTCTGTTGAGGCTCTATGGATGACGTAAACAGACAGCCATTCTCCCCCCAAAGTTCAGCATCTAGTATCGTGGAAAAGCTGACCCTCGAGCAATTTCACCTTGAAGTACACTAAACACCTGGTGGGATAAGGGACTTTTAGACATGGACTTTAAAGAACTTGCCACAACCATAAAGAAACAGTCCAAAAGTCACATATTGTAATTACCCTTGCTTTATAAGATCTAGGTATAAGGGAACCCGACTAGCCTGTCCCATAGCATCGGGGCTTTTTCGGGAAGCATCATGCTATAGAATCCCGTCCACTTCCAAATCAAACTGCATCGCATTCGGCAAATTTCCACTGGCCGTCGCTTGATAGTGTTTTGACTATGTGAAATTCGGTGTGCCCTTAGTGCTCCCCTTGGATTCTAGCCGCGGATGGTAATTACGTTCATCAATCTAATCACACTTCCTTCTTTGTGTTCTCTCCGGTATCATCATATGTGCGTATGGAGATGCATACTGTGGATTAGAAAATGGAGAAAAACTCAAAATGTCCGTCCCATTTGATTATTGTGAGCTCAGGGCGATCATCACTTGAGTAAGAATATCAAATCATCAAGCTCACCCGTCCCCCACTTATTCGAATTCCAAAAAGTCCAGAATGGCATTCACCTCCGCCGACCCGCCAGCGTCCAAGCCCGCGACAATGGCCCTGACCTCGCCCATCAGCCTCGAGATCTTCTGTCGACAGTACCGAAAGCTCCCCGTCGCTTCCATCTGCCGCACCGCAAATGTTTTGACCGCCTCGTCTGTGGTCCGCTGGCGCAGGATGTGCAGTAGCTGCCGGTTGGCAAGGTCCTGGTGGATACTGTGGATGATCGGGAACGAGAACTTGCCCTCCGTCAAATCCTCGCAGAACCCTTTGTTAGAGGTGTATGCCTCGCCTTTCAGGTTCTGATAGTCGTCTCGGATCTGGAAAATGGTTCCAACGAGGTTAATCAGCGAGACGTAGTCCCTGGGACGGAAGGAGTATGAATATCAGCACGTGTTGGTAGTCGAGAAAGAACACCAGGCCAGACCGGTCTTACCCTGACTTTCGGCTCTCCAGCTGCATCAGTCTGATCGCCAGCCTGAACAGCCCGCCGGTCTTGTTGGACACCATGTCTAAATATTCCTCCTCCGTAGGGCAGGTTAGCGAGTCCCGCCAGTAGAGGTCCATCCCCTGTCCGCGGTGCAGATTGAGCATTTCCTCCGTGAAGATGGGGAGAGCAGACGGGTTGCCCAAGCCCTCCAGGTGTTTCTGCGCTAGGAAGTAGGCATGGTTTGCGGAATTGATCGTCTGGGCGACCCCGAAGATGCTGTGCGCCACGGGCAGGCCCCGTCTCAGCGTGGACCGGTCTTGGATGTCATCAATTCTATCACATGTCAGTGAAGTACTGGGGTTACACGCCGATAGTCGGTGTCTACTTGCAAGAGAGAGGCCGTGTGCAACAGCTCAATGACCCGACTGATCACATTGAGCTTGTCCTGAGGGACCTCCAGGAGTCGGTTGAACCCCGCGATGAGTTTACCTCGGAAGCTCTTCCCGTGCGAGGAGAGCAGGTACTCCATGGGACCGGAGATGATCTGCAGCCGACTCATCTGTTAGCATGACAATCTAGCCGTTCGGAGAAGACATTTGCGAACCTCCTCCTGGTTAAGATCAAGGCTGGTTGATACTCGGTGGCCATGGATCTCAGGTCTACCACCCTGGACCCCGAGATTCCCGAGCAGAGGTTGCCACTCCGCGATACGTGGGGCTGGCTTCTCGTCAGAGAATTCATTTCTCCCAGGCGGGGATGAGGTGCTGTGCTCATCGATGCCTAGCGCCTGGGACTTTGGTACTGGCTCAACAGTCATTGTGTTAGAGTCACTCTCGCAAATTAATATCCTGACAACTGGTATGGATATGCGCCCCAGTAAGGCTATGGAGAGGCCATTGTCAGGACGATTCCCGGGGTATTCAAGGCAAAGCCTACCCACCTCACGCACATCCACATTACAAGGCAAATGCTGCACAGCTCACAGCTAAGGCAACCATTGGATGCCTTATAGGCAGTTCTACAAAATCTCCTCATGACGTCAGAATATGAAAGAGCACGGCGCAGCAAGCAAGGAGGGCTATTGCATTCCTACATGAAGATCCTCGTATGGAAGGAGAGGAATCGCTTCAAGATACGGGTATTCAACATCCGTAAATCAAGGGAAATCAGGTGTCACATTGCCAAGGAACATGCCTTGTCAGAGCCTCTAGTGAAATGGACTTCGATTGCAGAGCTTGCAGCGCTTGTGATGTCAGCGAAGTAAAGCCAAACCCAGAAGTGTGGATATGCTCCGGTGATAGAACGCGGACAGACTGCAAGGGGTTTGCACACGTCAATAATCCCTTACGCAATTGTGTCACCATCGCACTTCCCAACGGATTGGGGCCCGTGTGTTTGAAAAAACACGACCGGGAAAAAATACGACACTGTAACCATGTATGCAAAGTAACAGATACGAAGATGTAGCGTTGTATGTAAATTTGGCAGAAATGCACTCGCATCGGAAGTAAAACAGCATAATGACTGTAGGTTTACGTAGGAGTTTGCACTCAGGACCTGTGGATAGCCATAATGGAATAGGGTGTCTTATTTGGACAATGAAAGGATACATGAATCTCTTATGTGAGTAAGTGGCTAGGAAACCTGATTACTCAGAATAACAAAGCGGAGATGATGCAGTTTATAGATGGAGGGTATATGTCCTCTACCATGAAGCAGCGGCAAGATACGCTTGCAAGGTACACGTACAGAGCCACATACAATCACGCATCAAGAGCGGGCATAGTATAGAGACTGGCTGCAGCGTACAGATTCCAATCAAATATTGGGACAGTCAGTCGGCCTCAACATACTCCAAACCCTCCGTGAGAGAGCCATACTTGGCATGAAAGTAGTCCAACGAATAATTCGTGCGAGGTCGCCAGGGCCCGACAGATCCTGCTTTAGGTATGCCCCCTTTACCGGCCGCGATGTATGTTGAGTTCAGGTCCCAAAGTGGGCGAAAAGCCAGATCTGACCGTTTTTGTAGACGAGGTAGGGCAGCTACACTGCCCGTCCGTTTCATGTGCCTGATCAATCGACAGGCGGCCACAGCCGTCACATCCACTCCCATCGTCCAGGACGCGCTCGTGAGATACCCGAGAGCGAAGAAAGCATTCGGGACGCCGTCGAGCATCATCCCATTCCACATGAATCTATCCGACAGTTTACATATCTGCCCGTCGATGTCTAGTCGGATCGCACCTCCGATCTGGAGTTTCAACCCCGTTGCTGTGACAATGATACTTGCACCGACGGCTTTCCCATTGTCCAAGAGAAGGCCGTCTGCGGTGCAGTCCTGGATGTTTGCTGTTTCAATGCTGACCTTTCCGCCACGGATGCTGTGGAAGTAATTTCCGTTGGGACATGCTAGGAGCCGTTGGTCCCAGACATTGTACGTGGGTTGGAAGTGCGGCTGGAGAGGGACATGTGCTGGGAGCTCTTTTCTGACCCGGCTCAGCAGGTAGTCTTTTGCATATTGAGGCCATCGGCGAGATGCGTGATAACCGATCAAGGTGACGAGGAGCCACCACAGACGCCTGAGCTTGTGAGCCACTGGAGTCGGCAAGAATCTCGTTAACAAGGACTTAGCCCCCGGTAAGTCAACGGACAAAATGTAATTCGGGCTTCTCTGGATGACCGCGACGGTGGACGCGGTCTCTGCGAGTTTCGGGACAAGGGATATAGCCGTCGCTCCGCTGCCGATAACAGCAATCTTTTTCTCGGAATGATCCAGATCTTTGGGCCAGAACTGCGGATGGATCACTGTTCCTTGGAACTGGTCGAGACCAGGGATTTGAGTGGGCAATGGCTCATTGTGGTCGAAATACCCTGTCGCAAAAATCACATATCTTGCGCTGAAACAGTGCGTCTCATCATCAGCCGTAGCTGCCAAAGTCCAGGCATGGTCGTCAGACGACCAACTTGCTGTCGTGACTCGATGGTTGAAGAGAATGTGGTTGTGAATCCCGTGCTCCATCGCAGCATTGTCAACGTAATTTCGGAGTGATTGTCCATCTAGCATAATCTTGTCGCCATGGTAGGGGTACCATGTAAATCCGAACGTGTACATATCGGAGTCGAGTCGGACCCCAGGATAGCGCATCAAATCCCAAGTCCCCCCGACAGTATCGCGGGCCTCGAGAATAACATATGTGTGGTCAGACAGCAGTTTCTGTATTCGATATGCGGCATTAATTCCAGCAACGCCTGCGCCGATGATGATGATGTCGTATTTTCCAGCGAAAGACATTCTGAGAGCCGTGAGACGAGGAGGTGTTGGGTGTGGAGACATGAAGATAACTTAGCACGGCTAGTTAAAACTAAACCGCAATGCTCGTATTGCATATTTCATGTTGAAAATTACGACGATACATACAACATTCCTTAACATAGTAGGTCATGTACTGTATGTCCTTCCATGTTCGGGCGACAACGATCCTTTTACCAAAGATTGCCTTGACATGTTGCAAAGAGCTCAACCAGATACTGAATCAGGTAGGGTATGTGAGATCTTACTCATCTCGTAAAGATGGCGGGTGGGAGAACATGAAGATACACATAGGTTTAGTTTCCTCTTGGCGTTTGGACGCAGGATTGCTGCTCTATGCGTTAGAAGAGATAAATGAATATGTAAGGGGGCAGTATAGAACTCTGCGTAACCTTTTCCCTGAAGAACCCTCCAGACCTATCACATCATCAAGGTTCATTGACTCATTCAGACACAGTATTAGTCCAAAGGAATGACCGTGAATGATGCGGTGAGGGACTGCAGAGACTAGAGGATTGTTCTGATTAGCCGTACGGGGGGGAATAAGAGCCGGAACAAAAAGCCCTATCACGATCATCCGGATCGGACCATGCCGATCTGATCTCAGATCGGAACTACGATCCTTTCCCGATCCGATCACTTCAGGATATACTCCGTATCCTCGTTGCATTTCGATCATCCCGACACTAACCCCCTCACAGTTTGGCCGACGCATCTCCCATCAACCAGTGCATGAATGGATCCTGAAGAAGTCGTACCATGGCCCCTCGCTGCAAGGTAACCCGCACCTCCCATGGTGCTGGGACCGAATTCATCCGAGCAGGTAGCATGCAGACCGTCCCCTCAATTCTGTTATCTGGGCTATCGAACTCCACCACCTTTCCCAAGACTGCGCCAAAGTCTAACCCATACACTCCCATGCGACGCAGACTGGTTGATGTAACGTCTGCTTGCCTGAACTTTGGACTCCAGTCGATACTTTCTTGCTTTTCGCGGATGAGCGTTTTCACGGAAGCATCATCCACGCACAAAAACGTAGCATGGACCTTGAGCGCGAGGTCGGTAAGAACCTGCAGCCCGTTGGTCGTGAGACTGGGTGATTGTGCAGTATGGAATACGAACTCCAGAGCGGACTGGATGGGTGACGAGGTCGCAGTTTGGACGATCCCATTCCCAATGTAGGACTTTGGCAGTGGCGGTATCAGGACTCGACGAATCTCAGTGATCAGAATGAGGGAGCTCTGGGCCGAGTCGCCCTGCCCCTTGAGGGTTTCTGAGCAGGGTCGATACCGCGCTCTCATAATCGCAAGCCATAGTGTAGCGGAGATGATATCATTTGACGACAGTAATTGCCTGGGCTCAGAGGATACGCGGTTGTTCTCCACACGCCCCCAGACCAGTGCATTACACATTGTTTTCAGATACGCGATTCTGGCAGGACTCAATGTCAGACGCCGGCTGATCAGGCCTTGTGCACAATTGAAGTCGACTATTGCGAGGTCATGCAGGCGCCCCGCTGACAATCCTCCACTGACCCCACCCGAGAGGCCAGTTTCCAGGATCCTCTGTCTCCCTTTCAGAAGATCTGCTCCCAGGGAAGGCCCCTGCCTTGCACTTCCTGGCTCTCGACAACATTCCGCCAATGCAGCCTGGATGATATGGAATCCTGCAGCGTCCAGCACGGAGTGATGGAAACATACCGCTACGACCAGCCCATCTTGCATGATGTTCGCTTGCCACCGGATGATGGGGCATTGTTGGGCAGTCGCTGCGGCGAGGGGCACCGGCAGATAGGCCTCGCTAAACAGGAAATTGTTGGAGAATCGATCGTCAGAGCAGGTGGACCCGTGGTACTGGCCGGCCATGTAACGATCCTCATGATGTCTCACTCGTAGAATGGGAAATTCGCGCAAGGATTCCACTGTCGGCGGATGAACAGCTCGCACGGTGGGGGCTTCGTGACCATGATTCGAGTTGATCAAATTCCCTGCTAGAAATGGATTCGCCCGGAGTAGCCGATGGAGAGAGTCTCCAATGACAGGCACGGCTCTTTGTGGATCGTCGAGTAGAAAGCCATAGAAGAATGCTATGTAGGTAATTGGCATCATGTGATCCAACGGTGTGAGCTGTACCGGAGTGAAGTAGAATGACATGATGCTATAGAGAGAGCAATTGAGGTGCTTATTTTAAGGAAGCAATGTCTCTTGAAAGGTCCAATGCTTTAGAGCTTGTTTTATATGCATGAAATAACTATACAGTGCCCCAAACGTACACGGATTCAGTGTGGGATTCTGTTTTACGTTGTTGAGACCCATTTGCTTGCTATGGATCACATGCATAAAGTTGCCATCCTACTTATCTGAGCTTGTGGCAGGTGCTAGGAGTAGAAGGTAGTACAGAAGCTCGCCCATGCATCACTTAAATTGAATTCCTCTTGCTAAGACATAAAACAAAACATCTACGAAGGGAGATCGGTATGACTACGTGGTCTTGCGTCCTGCTGAGTCAATTCAACTGACCAGGTGCAGGTGAGACTCCAGAT